CTTGGAAGGCTGGCTAAGCAGTCACCTGTCGCCTGAGCCAGCCCCTGTCACTCCATCCCAAACCACCATAGCTATGAAAGAGCCAGACAAGACCCCTTTACAGAGTCTCTTGGGCAATCTGTATTATGAGTATGTATTCTTGAAGTTCTCAGTGGGACAGGTCAGAAGGCATTGAAACTCCTAGAATTTTTCCCAATGCCTGGCACTCACCAGGTATGTGGACTTAGTAACTGTGGAGCCCACACTGTAATGTGCCAGGGAAGGTAAAACTGGGACAACCATGCAAACAAGTTCAGGAAGGAATTGTGAAAATTAGCTCATCGATCCTTCTCACTGAATGATTGGAAACTCCCACTATGTAACCTCACTCAAGCCAATTTCCCTTTGTGGCACTCAGTGTTCTCCCTCTAAAATGACAGAACAAGGCAGCACCAGACAAATTCTAAAGTCCCTTCTAAACCCAAGGATCAATGGCCCTGATTTTTATCTACTTCCAGAGAAGAAATGTAGGCAAGTGTACACACTCGGCTCTTTCCCTGTGCCTATGCTTTTCTAACATTGTAACCTTGTGATCTTCTAAGAGAAATTCCTCCAGAGAGCAATGAGCATTTTGGAATCTGATTGCAAAACTCTTTGTGACTCAATTTTCTCCCTCCGCCACCTCCACCCTCACCTTAACCTTTCTCAATGCTGAGTTGCTAGAGGACCTAGATTGTAAATCTCAGGCACTTGAACTTCATTTGTCCTATTTTGAGTCCTGCCCCATCTACCCCCAGACGCTAGGGGAACAACATGACCCACCACATCCTGTCAGGCCTTTTCCCACTCTGCCCTGTGCTCTGGGGCTAATACATGAACAATGCTGCCCATTTCTCAGGAGGTTCAGTCCTACGGGATGGAAGAACCATGTCAATCACCTGATGGCCTGTAGCCAGTGTCACCTGTGACAAAACACCAGGGAACAGCACCTAACACAGCTTGGGGGAAGAAAAGGACGGTCTGTTTGGTGAAATCTTGATGGGAGCTATAGCAGGTACTGTCAGTATCCACCCACATCCCATAGCACTCCATGCTCAGGGTGCCTGGAGGTTAAAGCAGCAGGAGAAATCAACAATAAGCAGAATCCAGGGGATGAATTCTCCTGCCTCACCACTTGGTGGAACAATCGAGGTGTGCTCTACATATCACTCAGAGTGTTCCCTGTGCAACTCAGGTCCCATTGCCCATGACAGCTACTAACTCATCAACACACTGTCAGACTGCCTCTCTGTTCTGCTTGGGATTGCCTCTCAAATAAATTCACCATATCCTAGTCCCTAGTTCAGGGTCTTCTTTTGAGGAAACCCACACTAGGTATAGAGGAGTGAGCTAAAATGGAGAGGAAGTTGATCAAGAGATGGAGGGAACACCCAGACAAGGGAACAGCTCAAGGAAAGGCACAGAGGACAGGATGGGGCATGGCATGTAGTGTAGCATTGGAAAGACACATCCTTTTGGTCCTAAGAGGGGACAAACACTTCTGCCATCTTTTCTGACCTCCAAAAAGTGCTAAAAGAAGAGAAGAGACTGTAAAAGAGGGCTGGGGAAGTCCCCAAGAGGTCCACTGCCCAAGTGGTCCTTCCTAGGAATCTTCAATCCTGTACCCAGTAACCCAAGAAGTAGGCACTGTGTATCCTGAGAATGAACTGCCCAACTACAAAAGGACATTTCTGAACTGTCCCAGCATTTCAAATGCTTTGTATCTATGTAATTATTTGAAAAAGGTATTCTTGTGCTTAAAGAGGAATATGACATGGTCAAAAGTTGAGGTTCATGGAGAGCAACTGAGTGCAATGATCAAGTCAGATGGTATGCCGCAGAACCTAGTCAACCTCTGGGAGGCTCAGTTTCCCATCTGTAATTTGGGAATCACAGTCAGTACTAAAGAGAATTCACTATGATAATGCATATGGAATGAGGTCTGACTACAGTAAGTACTCAGTTGTAAAGAGGGAAGTGATGACAAGCAGAACGTACTACCCACTAGGCAATCCATTTCCTGAGGATGGACCATAAACAAACCCATGCAGGAACTTCCATCAACCTCCCAGCTCAGGAGCCTGACTAGCCAGCCCTTAAGGATGTGTCTGCTAGGACTGAAGAAGACCAGAGCAACCCAGAGGACCAAGCTCAGACAGCACTATCCATCAAGCTACCCAGGCCAGGTCCTCGCACTCTGATGCATAGCCAGCAAGGAAGGTAACCAAGAGAGCCTGGGCTCTAGACAAGCACAGGGGAATGATCTCAGAGTTCTTTAGGCAGAACCTCTCCACACCCCTTGCCCAACTGGTGCACAGAGGAGCACTGCTGACGTCACTCCCTGTGGCCTTATCTTACAGGCCTTTCTGGTGCATCAACCCTCTTCCTTCTTAGGCACTCTATTTGAACAGAGTGAGTTTCAGTGGGTTCAACTTCCCCCTATCTGGTCAGCCCTGCCTGGACTCCACAATCCCCTGCAGGCCACAGGGAAGTCATTCTCCTCACCTGGTCACTCCTCAGTTTAATTCTGAGGAAAACCAGAAGCTTTGATTCTTGTGTAGAGAGCTCTCTGTGCAAAGGCAGGATTAAGGGCCTTGCCACAGCTCCCAAAGGGCCAAAGGCTGGTCTCTCTGAATCAACCCCCTTCCTCTGCCACCTTCGCACCTTTCCCACAACTTCCCCTCCTACTTAGTCCCCTGATTACCCATGGCTCTGTATACCTCTAAGGCCAGGGACCAGACTCCTGTGTGGTAACTGCATAGGCCCCACAGGTAAGGCATCACAGACCAGGCTCCCCTACCCCAGCTCAAGGAGATGACCGGCTGCTTCTGAACAGCAAGGCCCTGGGAGGCACCAGACTGAAAAGTATTCAAAAATATCCTTGGATATTTGGAGATGGCCTCAAAGGAAACCGAGACTTCCAATTATCCAATCAACCCAGCAGAAACCTTTCCAAGGTGCCCTGGGGTTGCTCAGGGCTGCGCAGATAAGGAGTGACAGGCGGAAAGATGCAAAGTTCTGGTTTCAGGGTCTGTGCAGGGGTGGGGGTGTGGTGTCTTAGCTGGGGATAATCAGCCTGCTCCCAGCACCCCCTAGTGGGCCTGTGTGAAGGGAGGGGTGCAAATTAAAGAAAGGCCTTCAGGTGACATGAGCCATCTCTGCTCTGGAGCTCTGGGGGAAAACAGTGCTGTCTGCTCTAAACAGAGGCCTTGTAGACAAATCTCATGTTCCCTCCTCATATCTCAGGGAGACCTGAGGCTTTTGGTAATCAGGATCCACCATCCCAGCCTCGGGGCAGGAACGCTCTTTCCGCATTTCTGCTCTCTTTACTTATTCCCACCCTGTATGAAAGACAAACACCAGCACTCAGAGCAACCAAACAAACTCTTCTTGGGGCTTTCTGGATCTAGTTTGAGCTGTACGTGCCAGAAGACACCTTTCAGGATCCTCTCTCCTATCAATTTCCTGTGGATCTCTAGGAGTCTTCCTCTAGACCTGGAAGAGCAGTCTTCCTCCTCTACTGGCTTACCATTCAGCTTCCAACCTTCCCAGGAAATGGGAAGCACCTGGCAGAGAGGATTGGATTCCTGAGAGGTGACAGAGCTGCCCCTGCCTCACTGCGCCATTAGCCCTCACTGCGCCATTAGCCCTCACTGCCAACTCTGACTCTTCATTCCTCATGCCTGGGAAAGGTGGAGTAAGGAAAGATGAAGATGGGAAGGACTGGGTGGAGGTGTCAGGCCTAGAAAGGGGCAGGCGCAGGCCCCAGAGCGGGGAGGAGAAATACCAGCAATGAGAGTATTGGCTAAAGACAACAAGATCTTGGTGGGGAAGGAGGGCCTTGGGAGGGAGAACTGGAGTATCTCAGACCCTCTCAGTAGATGGGGAGGGGGAGGAAAAGCTGAGAGGCAGGCCTCTCTCTGGCATTTGTAGCTGAGCTGCTGTCTAAATCACTGGTTCCTGGGATATATGAAACAAGATTGAGGACTGTAAAGGGGGCTCCAGGAGTGCCACACTCCAAAAGGGCAGCTTCAGGTGAGTGTGATATACTGCTGGATGAGTAAACTCCTAGCTTGAATCTCCAGGGTGTTTCTCACTGCATTGACCCCAAACTAGCAAGAGGGAGCTCCTTCCCCTGAAGCCTGGATAGTTGTTCAGCGATCTGGCAATCAGAGAGCCAGGGAGGAAGAACAGGGGGATATCAAGCAGGCACTTCAAGGCCTGCTTAGAAGTAGCTTGCCACTTCCAAGCCAGCCCCTGGCAACTTTCTCTGTTATCCTGGGTTCTCCAGTAACTCACACCTAGCAGCTATCAGCAATCCCTGAAGGAAAGGGCTGACACTGGGGGCCTGGCTTTTGTGGGACCTATGTGGAAGGAGGTTCTCAGTCTCACGGTGGTTTAGGGGCTTCTTTCTTCTCCTGAAAGCAACCCTGAGCTCTCTCTCCCAAAAGGGACCCCAGAACTACTTTCTGTCAACTGGGACTCACTTAGGGCATTTATAATGAGAAAAACGGAAACGAAATCTTCCTCCAGTCCCACGATTTTAATCCCAGCACAGCGTCTCCCAGCTGAGGGTGTTCGAGTTAATGGAGCTGCCACTCTCTACCTGGGGAGTTCAAAGGGAAAGGGGGACAGTCTCTGCAGAAGCTCATGGAATGGGGACAGGAAAACAGAGGGGGTTACTGAGATTCAGTCCCAGAGTGAACAGATGAGGGAGGCCTCCAGCAAGAAGAACGAAGGGCATCTCTTAGAGATGGAAGAGCAAGAGGTATTACAGTGCAAGTGGGAGAGGTGGTTCCGGGAAAGCGGGAAGGAGAAAAGTCACTGGGCACCCTGCGACGCAACGCTGGGAATGTGCTCTTCAGGGAACATGCAGGACCTGTGCGCCTCCTCAGAATTCTATGGGAGGGTATATTTGCCCTTCGTTTGGGGTTTCCGTTGGATTTAATGGGCTGTCGGCTGTTTTTCCCCAGAGACTCGCCATGCGATTGATCCTGCTGCAGCTGTGGCTGCTGACCTTGTGGCGCCAGAACCGAGCGGGGCCTCTCCAGGAGAGGGTCCCGCTCTTCCGACTCACTCAGCAAGATCCCTCGGAGAGCAGTGGCAGCAACAGCACAGATTCGCCCTGCGAGGGGCTCCCCGCTGCGGGCTCCACCACTTTGATCCTGACGAACCGCAGCCTGGAACGACTCCCCGGCTGCCTGGCACGCACGCTGCGCAGCCTCGATGGCAGCCACAACTTGCTGCGCGCGCTGAGCGTATCAGAACTCGGCCGCCTGACAGAGCTGCAGGTGCTGACGCTGCGCCACAACCGCATCGCCACTCTGCGCTGGGGCCGCAGGATGCCAGCCGGGCTGCACACGCTGGACCTCAGCTACAACCTGCTGGCCGCCCTGCCACCGTGCGCGGGGCCAGCGCTGCGCAGCCTCCGCGCGCTGGTGCTCGCCGGGAACCCGCTGCAGGTGCTGCAGCCGCGGGCCTTCGCCTGCTTCCCGGCGCTGCAGCTCCTCAACCTGTCCTCCAGCGCGCTGGGCCACAGCGCCCAAGGGGGCATCTCTGAGCAGGCGTTCACCGGAGCGGGCGGAGAGCCCCTGGCCACGCTTGAGGTCCTGGACCTCAGTGGCACGTACCTGGAACGAGGTGAGTCTGAGTTGTCAGCGGTCCTGAGTGCAGAGCCCTTCCGGGGGGAGGACTGTGATTTTCCAGGGGTTCAACAACAACAAAAAGAACACCAGCGGCATTTTCTAGTACACGGACCCTGTTCGAAGCGCCACGCAGGCTTTAACCTCTTGTGCCCTGAGAGGTGTGAACTGTCACAATGTCCGTTATACACGCGAGGAAACCAAGGCACAGAAAGGTGGAACCACTTGACCGAAGTCTCACCCGTCATTAAGTGCTTGGTGACCTTAAATCCAAACCTAGCCATTCTGCAGCCCGAGCTCAAAACTTTAGCCACTGTGTTCTGCTGTTTCCCTGCATGGCTGGATAAATCCTTGTAGAATGGAGACAAGCCCTGGCTTTGCAACTGGTTGTGAATGGATGAACTTGGCACCAACAGACAGTGTAAAGTGGGTGGTGGGAAGATGAACTCACTGATTCTTCTACTCCATTGGCTAGGAAGTGGAGTCATTAAAACTGACTTTGATTCATAAAGTCGGTTTTACTGGTTTTAAGAAGCAATTCATATATCCATAACCACCTATTCCACCACAAAAAGGAAAAAAGAGCACGAGTGGGAAATTCAGAAGGCAAGAGGCACATTCTCCATTCTTTGGGAGAGAGCCACCAAATTAAGTTTCCAAGCCTTCTCCAGCCTTGTTTCTGCTATCCTCCTTATGTTCCTTAAAAGCTTCCCACTCCTTTGGGCCATTGGAGTGATGTCTGGTTACCAGAGGGCAGGGAAGGAAGTAGTGGGCTTGAAGACAATGTCCTTTCTCAGCTGTGTGGCCTTGGGCCAATCATTCTCCTCTTTGACCTTAGCCAACTTGGGCTTGAAGAAAGGAAGGATGGGTATCCATGGTGGTCTTTTCAGATGAAATGCCATGCTTCTGAGATTCCCAAAACCATCAACTGTGCCAGTGACCTTCTTTGACACTGGTCCTACCACTTTCTTTCTTTTTTTTTTTTTTTTTTTTTTTGTGGTACTGGGGCTTGAACTCAAGGCTTTCACCTTGAGCCATTCCGCCAGCCTTTTTTATGATGGGTATTTTCAAGATAGGGTCTCGAGAACTATTTGCCCGGGCTGGCTTCCAACTGATTTCTGCTTCCTGAGTAGCTAGGATTACAGGTGTGAGCCACCAGCACCCAGCATTGTTGTTTCCTAAATGATGTGCTGTCCCCCTAGGTTTGAGTCTTTCTGAGTGATTGACATCTTCCCCACTGTGTTTTCAGTGGAGTCTCGCTGGATCAGAGACTTGCCGAAGCTCATGTCCCTCTTCCTGAGGAAGATGCCCAGGCTGAGGGTCCTAGAGGGAGACATTTTCAAGATGACCCCCAACCTGCGGCAGCTGGATTGTCAAGACTCCTCAGCACTTACTTCTGTTCCCACACATATCTTTCAAGACACTCCTCATCTACAGATCCTTCTGCTTCAGAAGTAAGTGTTCCTAAGGCACATCTTAATCACATGATTGATTTTTGCTTGTTACACTATTTGTTGTATTTTATAGAACAAATGGGACCTTGATTTTTCTCCTACTGTTCTTCCAAATCCTCTCTGGGGTTCTGCTGTTCCTCATCTTTTGGGTGATACCTTGGGCAGGTCCCAGATGGTCCATCCAGCCTAAGGACCAGAAACTCTATGTAGTAATATTAAAACTCCAAAGTCTTATGCATTTAGTTTCTTTTAAACCCAGGCTGAGAAATTTGCAGTGGAGGAGGGGATGGGGACACCAGGCATCCACCCTACTGAATTCTCCCCCTTCCCCACCTGTTATGCGAATTCAGTCCCTTCCAGGGTTTGAGTGGGCCTAGGGAAGAAAGCTGAGGGGGTAGAAAGGCCTCTGGCCTGGTAGATGTCCAGTGTGTCCCCTACACTCACCCTTGTGCCCAGGAGCACCAGTGACTTGACTTTTTTTTTTTTTTTTTTGGTGATTTGACATCTAACAGGAAGGGCAGCATCCCTCTGAAGATGACCCCAGGCCACCTCTGTTCCTCAAGGCCCACATTTATGCCCTAAAAAGCAGGCAGCTTCGTTTTGTTGTTAGTCCCAAAGTAGTCAATTCCCCATTTTCCCGGCTAGCTTTGTCCAGCCACTTACCTTTAGATTTCTCATGTGTGATTCATACAAGTTCTTTGTATCACCCAGGTTCCAAGGGATATCTGTAGTCCTGAGGACTTCCCTCCCCCAGTTTGGCTCAAGGATTGAGAAGGCTCTTTTCTCTCCTATGTTGTGGTTGGGGATGGGGATTTGGACAGTTTCCAAATCGGTCTTCATTGCCCAACCTCTTCTACCTTCTGACCCCTTCTCATAGAGTTTGAAGGTAGATAATTGCTCCAGCAAAACCCATTTCACAGTCTATTCTCTTGTCCTACATAAGGGGCCTAGCATCTCATTTTAGGATACGGCCATCCTCAGCACCCCACTCAACGCTGTCAGCTTTTTATAGTCTTTGTTGAAACTGAGCCTGAAACAGCCCCACTTTGAACATCCTGTTATTTAACAGCTTTTTTCTATGCATTGGCCATGTATAAAATATTATACTTGGAGCCTGACATTTTTCAATTAATAAAGAAAGAGTAGGAATACCTCTCTACCTGCCAATGAGATAGTGTTGTGAAAGCACCGAAGAGTCTTGCAATATCACTGGATGAAAGTTTTGTTATTGGTAGAAAATCCCTGGGATGTCTAGGGACATGTCTTCTTAATTCTCTTTTACTCAACACAGTCACTAAAAATGAAATTATTCTCCTGAAAGGATCAATAGTCGTCCAAAGCAAACCAGAACCATTCATTCATTTTGTTCCTTCATTCAAAAGATAGCATACATGTTGTGAGGGAAAATGCTTTACATCTCTGACTCTGACTCCTTTGAGCTTGATAAAAATCCAAAAACTATGTGAAGTGTCAGAATACAAACGTGAAGTTTATTTATCTGTAAAAGAGGTATGGTAATAATACTTCACTTTGGGGCTTTTCATGAGGGAAGAAAGGGTAGTACATGTGGAGCACGGAACGCCATTTCTGGCATAGGGTAGGTGTCCTATACAATTAATGAAGATGATGGTAGAGGTGATGGCAGTGATATAATGACAATGATGGTGGTGAGGATGATGGTAGGATAATAATGGTGGTGGTGAGGATGCTGTTGGTGGTGGTCATGGTAAAGATGGTGATAATGACATAGGTCCTACTATGTCACAATTTAGTAGAGGCAGCAGACATCGGCCAGTTATATTGATCACAACACATTGTGGTCAATAGCAGAGGCACACTCCGTGTGCTGTGCTATAAAGTAGGTGGAGGTAATGACCCATCAGATTGGATCCGAGAGGCTTCTTCAGGAAAAACATGATTGATCCATAGCTCTAAAGGTAAGTCTTGTCTATGTGGGTTTGCTTAAGTTTCAATACCACACACATAGCTATTATTCCAGATGTGATGACTTTCACCTGCCCACAGATCTGGTGGTATGTCCTTCCTCACCCAGGACATTAGTGTCAGCCTCTGAACAGAAGGAGGTGGGGGCAGGCTCACAGACAGATGGAGGAAAGCAAAAGCCAAAAGCCATCCTTGGGCCAGAAGGGACATGAAGGTAAAGCAGAGCTGATGTTGCTCATGATGAATTCTGAGTGTTTGTAAAGGAAGCAGAATTTGGGATAGCCAAGAGACTCAGAGAGTAGAGAGAGTTGAGGCCAAATACTCTGTGTGGCCTTATGGAAGAAAGGGGAGAGAGCCAGGAGAAGATCTTCCATTGCTGGATGTGAAGGTCTATTTGCCAAAATGCCCACAGTAATTCCTCCCATCCCTGTAGGCACACCCCTTTGCAGTGTGACTGTGCTCCTTCCATAAAAAGTTGGTGTCTATTTCTCCATACCTTGAAGTTGGACACGACCATATGACTTGCTTAGGCCAGTGGAATATTAGCAAATGTGATGTAGGCACAAACTAGAAACCAGTTGAGCATTAGTGCTTATCCTCTCTTGCTGGTGGGGACCCCTCCACTACCATGTGAAGGTCCAGGCTGGCCTCCCAAGTGGTACATGAAGAGGTCTTGGCACACCCCATTCAGGCTCCATATATATGAGACCATTTTAGATCATTCAGCCCCAGCTGAGCTGACCCAGACTACAGGAACCATGAAGCCAACCCACAGAATCATGACAGAGAAAAAATTAATTATTGCCTTAAACAACTAAATTTTGGTGATAGTCTACTTAGCAAGAGCTAAGTGAGGCATCTTCTAAATGACTGATATTGTGTGTCATCAGCTCCTGTCCAATTACAATAGCATACATGCAATAGAGATCTCATTGAGAATGTTGGGTTGGAGTGTAGCTCAATGGTAGAAGACTTGCCCAGCAAGTATGAGGCCCTGGATTTGATCCCCTGCCCTGGTCTATAATAACAATACCTACTTTGATGAGAAGATTTTATATTTATAAGTGCCTTCATCATCACAGAATCTTTCTGATATAACCAGTTGGCAAAGGGGTATTACCCTCTTTCATATGAGGGATGACATTGACTGAATTGGGTTGGCAAAAATGAACCTTAGTCATTAAGGGTTTTATTTAAATACCTAACAGAATGGTTTGTCCATGACACCACCGGATTGCTCTCCGGAACATTTTCAATCCATTTGTAAAAGTCTGGCTTAATAGATTTTTGGTGTGTATTCTTTCAGCTGCAACTTGAGTTCCTTCCTTCCTTGGACAGTGAATTCCTCCCAGGTCCTAACAGTCAACCTCTTTGGAAACCCTCTCACTTGTAGCTGTGAGTTGTCCTGGCTCCTCATGGATGCAAACAGAACTGTCTTAAGCAGGTAACACATTTACAAAGCAGATGGCTGAGGGTTGAGGGTTAGCGTTGGTGAGTTGAAGTTGTCCCAGTTTACAACTTGTTCATGTGCCCTTGCTAGGCATTGGACAGTGTTGGGCAAGGCAGCCCTCCCCCAACATAGTCACGCTCTGTAGTGATGGAAGCTCTACCCCCCATTCTAGCCCGCCGGAAAGGCCAAAGTACATGGAAGAACTGACTTGGGAAATTTTAATGGGCCAGGCTGGGAGGTGGTTGCTTATGATTTACACTCACATTCATTGGCCAGGAGTCTGTCAACAGGTCACCCTTAACTGCAAAGGATGTTGGGCAATGTGGTCTGCCATGTACCCAGGGGGAAAAGAAAGTGGGTTAAGTGAACAGTTAGCTTGTCTCTGCTGAAATAGGTGTACCATTGTTCCATTTTATAGACAAGGAGAACGGGGCCCAAGTAAGTAAGGAACTTGCTTAAATTCATGCAGCTTCTGGATAGAGGAAGCAGGATCTATCTTCTTCCTAATCTGTGTTCTTTACCACTGGGCCCTTGAACACTCAAGATGGAGTCTCACTTCCTGCTCCTAGGACATTCAGCCCAAGGCTAGTAGGCTTAAGAAGCTATCTCATAGGACAGGAAAAAAAGAATTCTTAAGAAAGATGGAAGGCAGTTGGCTGGGAAAGATGGAGGCTGGGGTGCTAGGGCCATGTCCCATCCTGAGCAAAATCCATCACCTAATCATTCCTCTTGAGTCAACCCTCATGCTGTAGGGTTTTCTCACCTCCCACCCAAGCCTGACTGTGATGTGGGGTTCATTCTACATCACCCTCTTCACTTTGCTCCCAAAGGCAAGCATCCAGTCTCTTTGCAGTCAGAAGTCTCATCATGGCATTAATGAAGAGGTTGAGAGTGCAGATAGGAGCCAGAGACTCTGATGGCTTCAGTTCATTTAATATTGTTGATTTGGCTGAATTACTTCTCTTTACCCCTACTGCCTTGTCTATAAAATGGGGAGAATAGCACCTACCTCATAAGGTAGTACAAATTAACTTGGTTGATAGAAGTGTGAAGAATAGTACCCAGCACATGGCAAGTGCTCAGAAATGTTAGAACTAGTATGAGTACATTACCACTGCTAGGAAGCAGACAGATGAGAACAGAACAATAGACTACCCTTAGAGAATGTGGATATGCCCCTCACAGTGCCCGCCCCCAGTTTGGGCTCTGCCATTTGCTAGCCATGGATTTTGGGTAGTTAGTTCCTCTTTCTGAACTACCCAATGAGAGTGATAGGAACCTCCTCCAAAGTCTTCCTGAGAGTCAGTGTAGTGACACACGTGGAGTGTGTACTGTGTTCTAGCTGTTACCTGGCAGAGATGTGCTGACAGGGGCATGGCAGGAGATGACATCCATATTGAGGATTCAAAGCCCAGCCGAAAGTAGCCCCAAAGCTAGACATTTTCTAACTGTTTGGCTTCCCCTCTAGGGCAGAAGACACTGTGTGCATACCAGTGGTGGGATCTGGAGTCCCCTTCTCAGCTCCTCTTTCCCTCTCCCAGCTGCCTGGTGTGTGCAAGTCTAATCAAAACACCAGCCTCCCGGTTTCAACCCCACCCCATGTGGACAGCTTAGCTTATGCACCATTGACACAGGGTCTCTCCACTGGGCAAGACACAGTCTACTCTATTCTGCCTGTGGAAGGCCAGCAGAGTGTCACCAAGGTCCCCTCCCACACGGTGGCTCCCCTCACACAAGCTGCATGGATGTACAATGATGTTGGGGAGGGAACTGCCCTGTCCACTACCAACTCTACAGCAGATTATGACAGCCTTCCACTCAGAACTTCCCCCACAGCCGGGGCACAGCATGGAGAACAAACTGTCAGGCTTGTTCTTGAGCCTGGTATCTCACCTGCTTCCACCCCACCGGCCAGCAAACGCCTTGGTCCCTTCCCTCCCTCACAGAACCCCATGAACACGTCTCAGCCCCACCAGAGGACACAGATCACCACCCAGGCTCCCAAACCAAGTCCTACGGAGGATGGGATCCCAATCTTGCTGTTGGATGACAGTGAAGAGGAAGAGGGGACCACGGAAAAGGTGGGAGCACCTCCCCAGAATGTCTTATGTGATTATCACCCCTGCAAGCACCTGCAGATCCCATGTGCAGAACTGCAGAGGCGCTCACGGTGCCTCTGCCCTGGCCTCAGCCGGGAGGACACCATCCCGGACCCTCCCAAGCTGCAGGGGGTGTTGGAGATGACGGACACATCAGCACTTATCCACTGGTGTGCCCCCAACTCAGTAGTGCTCAGGTACCAGATCCTCTACTCTGCAGAGGGTGGGGTGGGGAACCAGTCTGTGGTGGGGGACATCTATGCCACTGCCCGGCAGCACCCGTTGTATGGGCTGTCACCGGGCACCACCTACAGGGTGTGTGTGCTGGCAGCTAACAGGGCAGGCCTGAGCCCACTGAGAGCCTCGGACTGGAGAAGGCCATGTGTCACTTTCACCACCAAGCCCAGCTCAGTGGTCATTTTTACTGTGCTGAGTGCTGCCAGTGGCCTGCTACTGGTCAGTACCCTGGTGCTGTCCGTGTTCCTCTGCAGACAGTGCCCGATGCCATACAGGCAGAACTATGACATGCACCTGGTAGACTTCAAAAACCATGTTTTTTTGAGCTACTAGGGGTGTAGCTCAGTGATAGAATGCTTATGTAGCAAATGCAAGGCTCTGGCTTGATCCCAGCACCCAAACCAAACAAGCTGGTGTTTGACTACCCACTGAAGTTCCAGACCTTCTATTAGCCCAGCTTCCTTCTTTTGCATGCAGTAAGGAAAATGAGGGCCCCAAACCAGTCCTGTCAGCTTTAATTCCCCTGAAGGTAGCCTGCCTGTGGCACACACCAACTGCTTCTCTCTCCAAGGAACAACTGCCTTCTCTTCCTTCAACTTTACACTGTTCCCAGAAACCACATGCCGGATACTCCCCTTGGCTCCTGGCATGTTTGTGTTGTCTCCTTTGGATTTTTCGGCATTTAGTGCACCCTCAGTATCTAGCATAATACAGCCTCTTCCGCCATACTGGCGATGGCATCCTTAGGTCTTTTCACCGAAAGTTCCTCATGTTACTCAAGAACTGGAAGCCAGGGGAAGAGCCACTGGTGGTTTTCCTAGAGCCTTCTTTCGTTTATTAATTGCATTTTCAGGTATGGCAAAAAAAAAAAAAAATGTACTTCCAGGTTTAGTTAAAACTGGTCTTTTGGGAAAAAGCTGTTTGCTTAAATGTTAGCACTTAAGCATTTCACCCAAGACAAAGTAGACAAAGGTATTATGAATTCCTTTTGAGGAGGTAGGGGTTGCATAATAAACTCACTTTCAGGAACTTTTTTTTTTTAATAAAGTTTTATTTTTTCAAATGTACTGTTGGTTGGACCTGTTCATGCATCTTCACTAGCAGCTGGAGCATTTCCATTCTTAGGATGCCTTGTGTAAATTGCTTGAGCTCTGTGCTTTGAAACCAATTTGATCCGTTCTTTACTAAGGAACTCCTGAAGGGCTACCCTGGCCAGAGAACCCCAAATCTTCAGTCTCTCAGAGACCACAGCTGGAGTTACAAGCTTATAGTTGGGAACTTCTTTACATAATCTGTTGTAAGTGGCTCTGTCAAACAAGACTAGGTTGTTGAGCTTGTCCTGAATTTTGCCTTTGGACCACTTCTATCTGGCCTTGCCCTCAGATTTGTTTATTGGGTCCTTTTCTTTCTTGGCCAACTTTCCCATGTCTCTCCTCCTCTTCTTGTCCTAGGACGGCATCGAAAATCTTGGGGAGCAATGGCGACCATTGCAGCCTCACTAAGATGCTGGACAAAAAGCTCAGAACTTTTTTTAATTAGAGGGGAGAAACAGGCAAAAAGAGAATCTCTGGGTTCTCCCTAAAAGTCAGACCATCTCCACTCCCAAATCTATCAGTGTATTTATGATTTGTGTCTTGGTGTGGAGTGTCTACTATATTTTTTTTCACTTTTATATGAATGTAGGGAAAAAGTATTCTATAAAATTAAAATTGGGGCCAGATTTCTAGGTTTAATTTTCTATGTCAGCATTTATTAACAAATCTGTGGCCTCTGTGAAAAATTACCACAAACTAAGTGGCTTAAAACAACAGAAACTTATTTTCTTACAGTTCAGACCAAAATCAAGACTATCATCAGCAGGGCTGGGTCTTCCCAGAGGCTTGGGGAGACTCATTCCACACCCCTTTCCTAGGAATGCTGTTGGCAGCATTCCTCAGAGCTCCTTGGCTTGAAAACATGGCTCCAACCTTGACCCCCATCATCTCATGGCATTCTGTGTCTATGTCAAATTTCCCTCCTTAGAAAGACACTAGTTATGTGATTAAGGCCCACTGTCCATAATCCATTATGTCCATCCTAACTTGGTCATAGCTGTTAAAGACACTATTTCCAAATAAGGCCACATTCCTGGAGGACTTGAGCATATCTTTTTGGGAAATGCAATTCAACCCACAAGAGCACTCGTTTCTATCATAAGAAAAAGCCAAGTATGATTCTCACATACCTTGCTTCCAAACAAGGTAAAAACACCGTGTTTGGCCTGAAAAACTGAATTACACTATGGATTTCCACTGTTTGAAGTTTTGAAAGAGCTTTTCAAAACTCTAAAATGTATCCCTAATTTCATCACATATGTAACCAAGAGAATTGGACTGAGTGATTTAAAAACTATCCGAGTTCCTGCTTAAAAATTACAAAATAAAAGCCAAAAGTGTGAGTGTTAAATCCTCACATAATTAGATGATCCCAATGATTTTATCCTACCATCGACTGAGTCTATTCTGTGAACACACCAAAATAAATTTGTCATGTTTTAGTCTGTACACATGTATATATGCTTTAACTTGCTCAATTAAATGTAATTACAGCAGAATTTGTTTTATGACAATTCAGTACTCAGAAACCTGAGGAGACATGGACCTTAAAACTAGGGAGACTGCAGGTTCAACCCACAAATCGCTCCAAATATCAACACTAAACCATGAATAACAAAGTTCAAATTTCTCCCATAAGGACTACAAGCTTTCCTTTTTTTTTTTTTAAAGCTGTACTGTGATTTGAACTCAGGGCCTCATGCTTACTAGACATGGGTTCTACCACTTGAGCCACCCTGTCAGCCCTGTTTTTTATACTCGGTGTTTTCAAGACAAGGTCTAACGAACTATTTGACCAGCCTGGATTTGAACCTCGATCCTCCTCTCTGCCTCTCAAGTAGCTAGAATTACAGGTGTGAGCCACCAGTGTCAGCCAGCCTTAGCATCTCCTAGCTATGAGACCATATAGGAGGTCTCAGAAGAAGAACAGTGGGTCACACACCACCCTTCCATTCCCTCTTACCTCATCCATATGATTCAGTGGTAGAGTTCCTTTGGAATATTCTAAGCCAGGGCAGCTGAGCTGCTAGTCTGGGAACAGGGAAACCAGCAACAGCAAGCAACAGAGGGGCACACTGATATGCACAATAGCATCAAAAGGTATGGGTTTTACTTTAAGCTTTCCATTTTTAACACAGCTCAACAGGTTTTGACTGGATAATCTCACTTTAGGATTCCATATTACGCTTGGGTTAAAACCAGGGACAAGAGGCAGCAGTAAGCCTCCACTATTAAGAGGAACTAACCAGCATTGGCCATCATCTTCCTCTCCCTACGTGAATCACCCACCATCCTAAACAAGATGGTGTAGCAGTAAGATCTTCTGAGTCAGGTGGTCCCAAACCAATTATTTTTAAACTATAAATATAAGTGATGCATTTGAATGGACTTTATGAGTCAGGAAACTTATGCACTAGCAGAGATAAATATGTAGCATGGAACAATCCAAGTTGAAGGTACAATTTTTCCAGCTCTTTTATTCCTTTAATATCTTAACAAAAAAGATTCCCTAAAGTTTAAAAAATCTTTGAAAAATATACAGTTTCATATTATTTACACACTATGAGTACAGATTCCAATATCATAAACATTGCTACATTAGAAACACAGTGGGAAGGTATAATTTTGCCTTTTAGATGCAAAGGCAAATGGACATGTTCTCATATTTCAATAACCTTTGTTACCTGATACATAAACTATTAGGTACCTGAGAGGTTGGAAGACTACTGATGAACTTCAATACCTTCTATTTTGTTAATCTTACTTATTTTCACATTTAAAACTTACTGCATTTTAAATCTCTTTACAACTTCATCCACAGCTAAGCTAGCTTTATTCTTATTCTAAATGATCATATGTTAAGCACATGGACTGTTAATGCGTACACAGATCTAAAAATCAAATATAAAAACATACAGTGAAGTTGTGTAGGATATATATTTAATCCTAGGAAATTCCTTACTACTTTGTGAGCAATCTTAATTCTGCTTAGAGAAATGCCAACTCTTCAGTTTTCATGCTCTGAACTACTTTAAAAAAAAAATTTAAAAAACTGACAATAATTGGAATAAGCCACCTCTTAAAAATTAATCCAGAAACCTAAGATTAAAAATTCTAAATTATAGTTTTATTTGTATTTAAAAATACACTGGAAATTCTGCGTATGCCATGATCAAGCTCATTTTCAATGCACATCACTTCGATTCTGATGACATGGTTTGTTCTGACAAGTCCCTTTTCAAGCTGAACATCAGAACAGGGAAACTCCTGTAGATTTCCACTGGCGCTGCTGCCGATGTGTATCGCTCCCTTGCTAATGGTGATGGGTGACTTTCATCTGCCTTTTATCACCTGAACAGTTTTCCGACCATAATAATAATAACTGTAAGCTGATGCAGCTGTGGTGAAAGCTGTAAAACACCTTTTATGGAAGGGAAGAAACAGGATTCAGATTCAAATCTAAAATACAATTAACTATGGGGATCATACTGTAAACATGTAAAACACCTACTTCAAAAGTACAAAGGGCTGTGTGATCAATTTTTTAACAATCAAAATCTACATATGCAGCTTTTATGACATCATTCGAATTAGTAATGCCAAAAAAAATTAATATAACTAATGAACCCTAATGATAATATTAGCAGATGTATTTTTACCCATTTACTACTCTTGGTATTGTATGTTCTCATTTTATTCTCACAAAAACTTCTTCTTACAGATAAGAACTGGAGACCCAGAGAACTTGCTCAGCAAGTTGAGAGAACCAAACTGGAGCCTGGCTTGGTTTTGGCTTTCAGTTTTCTTTACCAGCTTTTCCTTAAGTGAGTTGCCAGGTTAACCAGATTCTTCTTGAAATGATGAGCGATGCCTACGGCATGCTGAATATTTGCAGTCAACAACAGGCTCCTTTTTAGGACACCCAAACACCTCTGCCTTCATCCATCTAGTGAGACAGAATCATTTTTGTTTGATCCCAAACCTGCTCCTATCAGTCTGGTATCCTAAATGCACATGTAAATCAGTGAAATTAAGTGGAGGAAGAATCGCTGTTTCTAAGAACTAAGATGAATAGTTTGGAAGAGTCAAGAAAGGCAACCTGATACAAAACAAACAAAAACACTGTCGAAATAACTACTATGTAAGCCTGGACTACATAGTGAGTTCCTAGTCAGCCTGGGCACATGGCAAGACCCTGTCTCAAAAATACTAAAAAACAAATGAAGAAACAAAACAAAAGACTAGAGAAGTATGTGAAAAGACTAGAGAAGTATGGTAAAAATCTAGATGGTTCCTGCATGGATTGCTTTGCCTGTGTCTTGCATCACCTTGAAGAAAAATTAGTATCAGAGTGGTTGTATTATGGATTAGTTTATTGGAGAGAAAATTCCCACTGTTGAACCTACAACCAAAAAGCCTTCATCTTGTAATAGAAAATATTAATGAGAATGAATATACACATATTTTCAATTAAAATAAAAAGTTGAGCATAGTTACCATTTTTAGAGAGTTGTTAGCTTAACTGACTGAATAACCACCTACTTTATGGCCCGGACTGCATCAAGCACATTTTAATTGTTGTTCAAAGTGGACCAAAACACAGTTCTAAATCAAGGTAGCAGTATATTTAGAACAAAAGTTTTAATTTGACACATTTTTAAGACTACAAATAAGCAATTAGCATAATAAAAAAATTCAAAGTCCTTTCTCTATGTGTCCTTTCTACTTCACCCCATAATAGGCTGGACTCCTCTTCCCCTACAACTATTGTACACTGACTGCTGAAGGCTACCCATCTGTCTCTTCCTGTGCAAGGTCTATCTACAGTTGATGGCTCAAAGGACACTTCTCTGAAGTTAACCCTCTTCTTCCTATCACAAAGTATCTTTCTTCCTCTGAAACCCTAACAAATTAGCAGTACCACTCATTCCTTTGAACTTGCATGAGTTAGTTAGTTAACTTCCCCACCTCAGGCTTGATAGTAAACTTAAGAATGGCACCAATCAAGAAAGGAGAATGGTGGAGGGGTGAATTCAAGTATATATCTGCTATATTGTAAGAACTTTTCTAAGTGCCACAATGAACCCCCACCCAGTACAACAATTTAAAAAAATGGTATCAATCATAAAACATGGCCACAATTTTACCCAATTTGTGTACATTAATCATGTAAGTAACAAAGTCATTCTAGGACCATCACAATAAGCCATTGGGCTGACATTCTCAAAGAGTAATTCTAAATTTAGCTTACCACAGTATCTGAAGATAAATGCTATCAGCATAATTGAAAACTGGAGCTGCCAAAGAAGCTGCCACCAAGATTAATTGGACTGCTGTATTTACCTTACAAAAAAAAAAGTTATAAATGAATAGTGCCAACTGAATCCTATTTCAAAATATACTTTCAGCATGTTTGATGTTGGTCTTCAATACCCATGCCAAAGAAGTTGGCATTCCCAGGTGAGAACACACAAAAAAGTATCAGCTTCACAGACTGACTCACCTGTCCACACAGATGCTCTTTGTAGTGAAGATATTAACAACTACCAGAAAAATGCCACCACTATGAATTTCCATAGCAATTCAATAATGTTAACAAAATTCTTTCCCTTTTTTCTAGCCATCCATTAAAACAGCCCTATAGACTGGTGCTGTGGCTCACACTATTTAAGACAGACGTCAAACAGGACAGCTGTTTGAAGGCAGCCCAGGGAAAAAGTTAGGGAGACCCTACCTTCATCAATAAACTGGGTATGGTGGTATACTCCTCTCAGTGCCTGTCACCCCAACTACACAGGAGGGCACAAATAGGAGGATCAGGGACTGAAGCCAGCCCCAGGCAAAAACTTAAGACCCCTTTTTGGAAAATAACTAAAGTAAAAAAAAAAGTACTGGGGACATGGCTCAAGTGGTAGAGTGCCTACCTAACCTAGCAAGCATAAGGCCCTAAGTTCAAAACCAAGTACTGCCAAAAAAACAAAACAAAACAAAAAAAAATGAAAGAAAACCCCAAAAATCAACCCTGTGAATATAAAAATAATTAAGCTGCCTCTTCCTAAGTGAGAAGGAAATGAGTTATGTGGTCTGTCTGCAATCATAGCAGACCACAAAACAAACTGTAACCCAGATTTCCTGATGCTTTACCCAATGTTCCGTTTTACTGTCTACCTGTCAAACCCTGTGAGGTCAGAAAACTGAAATACATTCACCTCCAACAAAGAACCTCAAGAAGATATGAGCAGGACTCTCTATCCTAAAAAACAGCACTGGGGAAAAAAAAAAAACAACAACAAAAAACAGAACTAGAAATAGTTTAGAGACATGAGAAGTGTTTGCGGAAGAATCTCTGAATATGGTACAGTAGTGTATAAAAAAGACTTTTGGTTCATCAGCCATCTGCAGCCAGATGACAAGGATCCCACCTCACTTTTAAAAATAAATGATAAAGCATTTCTGGAAGACTTCTAACAAGAACAAGATTTGTGTGATTTATTTGTCCTGGCATTTTCTTAAGCTACTTTCCATGGAGTGCTACATTCAAATTGCTGTACTTGCTACAAATACAAGTCACACGAAGCTAAAAAAAGTCCCTATATATGTGGATAACAGGCCACCCTAGGAAGTCATGGTACAAAAGCAATGGCTCCTTTGTCCCAAAATAATCAGCATCCCTAACCTGTTAAATCTCTGTCACAAGGGATGGGATAAAAGGATGACTTAGGTAAACTTATCAAGGCTACTGGGAAAACAAATATGACTTGAGAGGCAATAATAGTATCCTTTTAATGTGCAAAGTCTGATATACAGTTGTTAACTTGAAAGACAGAGGAAATGGACAAGTAAGAGGAGGAGGTGTTTATTAGTGAATAAAACTTTCTTCTATCCCTTTCTACGAAACAGCCAATCATGGAAATAAAAGGGCCTTATTATGTGGTGTTTTTACCACATGGAGGGAGGGAGAAAAACCACAAGAGATTCTTCCTCTTTACATCTCAATCAAGAGGCAAGCCAGGAGCCGGTGACTCACATCTATAATCCTAGCTACTCAGAAGGCAGAGATCAGGAGGATCAGATTTGAAGCCTGGGGAAATAGTTCCCGAGACTCTATCTTGAAAATATTCAGCATGCACACAGAAAAAAGACTGGTGGAGTGGCTTAAGTGGTAGAGTGTCTGCTTAGCAAGCATGAAGCCCTGAGTTCAAATCCCAGTACAAAAAAAAAGCCACTACATTTCAATTCTCTTCCCCTTCCCTGGCTCAGACCACCAACGCAAGACAAAATGTGTACATTAAAGGTCTAAAAAGCTTAAGAGAATGAAAAAAAAAAAGTTTTAGATGACAAACAGATTTGGTTAGAGGTATCTGCCTGACCCTACTCTCTATCCTCTCTACTTAATACAGTTAAATTTGTCTCATTTTCAGCAGCTCTTGACCAAGATTTATATTCATTGTAATAAAAATTCACAAAGCAATAACTTAAAAAGATGTTGTGTGCCTCTTACCTTGCTGATGAACGTTGGTTTTAACCTAGCAGTAGCATAGCAAGGATTGAAATACTTAGCTAGCGTTCGCTGACAGAGAACAAAAAAAGGTAAAGTTTCAATTTATTATTTAAGTTGAAAACAAACATTCTGTTATTATGTGTAGATAATAATTATCTAGTACTTACTACATGCCTGGCCCTGTGCTAGAAAAGCTCTTTATACGTAGCTCTTTACATTAATTGAGAAGTATTTATATTCTTTATAAATCATACATATGCTACTGAAAACATTCATTAAAATCTACAATTTATTTCTCCAGACCTATAAAATTCTAACACAATAGCTATCCATAAAGTTTGCTTCATCATATATTTTTACTAAAGAAATTCAAGAACTCTCACTTACCAGTATTTCTTTTACAGTTAAAAAACAAAATGAGTAATATACTGCTCTACCTTTACAAGTTTGGGAACCAAAAGAGGTTATTATGCTATAGCTATATGCTCAAAATATTCACAGAACCAATGTATAAATATGAAAGCAAACCATCCCATGCTCATACAACTGATTTTTAAATAAAATCCAGTTGACATGGAGCTCCATGAAACACCTCCAACACTCTGCTGTTAGGGACTGAGCCAGCTGGACTGACTTTCATGTGCATCAATGAAGAATTAGACTTAACACAGAGTTCAGCATTTTGGAAAGTGACTATTGATGTGTTCACTAAATAACTACCTTAGTGTGTAATTCAAACAGGAGGGCAGTTAATTTTTTAAAATTCCTAGTAAATGAATCAATAATAATTGTCATAAATAACTCCCACAAAGTGAAATGACATTCAGAAGAATGAGTATTTACTTTTGCCATAAGTCATCAGTAATGCTAAAAGAATATTTTCGGAAACCAACTCACCGGTGTTGGAAGAGTTCGGTATCTGACATAAAAAACAGCAGCAATCAACATTACATCTCTTGAAATTATCATATAAGTAAGTGGAACTGAAAATCAAATATAAAATAATTTTAATGAAGATTTTGAAAATTAGTAATAGACATTATCCCTATAGTAAAGCCTTACTCAGCCTTACCACAAATTGATGTTTCTCATAAGTAAAAATTTTATAATAAATATTTACTTGATGATTTAAGAACTCTAAAATGAACCACTGACCTTTATTTTTTTTTAAAATAAAGTGAAATCCAAGCTATGACTTTGGAAGTCTACATCTGCCTTTCAGAATGTTGATCCTCTTGCCTCTCTGTTTTGTTTTTCCCTTAGTGTTTACAGACTACAAATCTGAAGATTATCAGTGCTACCTTCCCTCACCTCCACCATCATCTTCTGCTTTTTAATTCTCAGCTTTGTGAATTTGAAAAAAAGATCACCATATTCATTATGGTTAAATGGAAAGAGGTCATAAGGAGACAAGAAAGGATGTCAGAGGACTTAAACTGTTCTGGAGTTTTAGAAGCTTTCATTATTTACATCTGCATCTAAGACTATTCTCTAAACAGTAAATTTGTTACATGTACAACATGTGAGTAAACAGAAATATTTTCATTCTTCTCTATCGAGTTCCTGCCCAGGCAGGAATGAATCAATTTGTTAGCAGTTCTCTTATTACAGGTTGAGAGTATCCCTTACTCAAGTGCTTGAGACAGGAAGTGTTTCAGATTTCAGAGTTTTTCAAATTTTTGGAGTATTTGCATTGATTGACTTTAACCAGCTGTGCATCCCTAATCCAAAACGCTCCAACATTCAAAACTGGGTGAAATATCATTAGGGATGCTAAGCTTTTTTGCAGCATGTTCTCAGAGCCAGAGCTGACTGAGGATATTTTAGATGGGTATCTAAGGCACCTGTACTCCTTTGTTGAATGAGAATGGAAGCCTGAGAACTTACTTCACTTCATTACCTTCTGCGCTACAGGAAGCTTTAACCACAAACCTGCATCTTTTACAAGAAAAAAAAAAAATTTTGGTGGTACGGGGGTGTGAACTCAGGCCTCACTCTTGCTCTGCCACTTAAGCCATGTTCCCAATCTGCTCCCCCCCCAAATTTTTTAATTAACAAAATTCTGAGTTCAAAACTCAGTTCAGTGTTTCCATAATACCTTCAAACAATTCATGAAATATTTGAAGTTGTATCTATGATCCTCTAATATTTTTTACATTCTAACAGTTCTGCAATTTGAACTAAATCTCACAATGGATTACAGATTTAAACTTTAAATCTCTGCTGGTAATAGCTATGATGTAAATGCTGGTCCTTGGTTTAGTCCTCTATGACAATATTCCAAAGAGAAAATGCTATGTTCTCAACTGACAACATTGGGAGCTAACAAAAGACATTTTTAATCAGGCTAGAAAACAGCAAGCCATGATTTTAGAAGTATTTTGCAACCTATAAAGTTTTCTATAGTAACATTAGCTAGCAAATTCTAACAATGATCACATTTTTAATATGCAGCAACCCATGAAAATTGAAATCTATGTACAGTATGCATGAAGGAACATGCCACACTGCATCTAGGAGGAATGGAGGTCTCTGGAATCCAGGCTATGCTTGGGGCAGTGCATAAGCTCTAACGGCACTGGGACAATTAGCATCTCTGACTCATTTTACTACATATAACTGTCTGAGGATCACTTCACAATAAAATATTCAATTCGTCAAGAAGATACAATTCATATTTATATGTAGTTAACAGCATGACTTCAAAAGATAACAAAGCAAAAGTAGATTCGCAAAGAAAAATAGTGGAAAACTAGACTCACAGAGGAAATGCTAATCGACTGTGTCAGTAACCAACAGCAGCAGAGCAAAAGGGGATGAAATAGTAAAGAAATGAAAGGTAAACAACAGTAGTGAAAACTTAATCTAATGGGCATATACAGACCACAGAAGCACTGCAGAATTTACATTCACTTGGTGCACACATGGAATACTGATAAAATTTGACTATCTAGAAGGCTGAAAGACAAATTATACAGCATGTTCTCTGAATACATGGTAATTATGCTTGAAATTATTAACAAAATGATAACTACAAAATCCCCACAAGCTGACAACAGATTAAGAAATTTTTTTTTTTTTTTTTTTTTTTTGTGATTCTGAAGGGTTGAAGCTAGGGCCTTATATATATGCTAAATAAGTGCTCTACCACTCAGTTTTGGCAGGAAATACTTATTAACCAGATAGATGAAAGAATCACAATGAAAATGGGAAAATATTCTATACTGGACAATGACAAAAGCATTAACATAAACATCTGAGATGCAGAGAAAATGATACTTAGATGAGAATATAGTCTTTCATGCAAATTTTAGAACAGAAAAGCTGAAAAGCAGTGAGTGAAGTACCCATCTACAACTTCACTGTTCAATACAACAGCATTGTGTAGCTGTGAAGAACCAGAAATGTGTAGTCAAAACTGAGAGGTGCAGTTAATGCAAAATAAACACTAGACTTTGAAGATGTAGGATAAAAGTCAATTTTTTACTGACTACATGTTGAAATGTGGGATAAATAAAACATCTCATTAAAATTATTTCCACCTGTTTCCTCTTATACAGTCACTAAAGTATTTTATTTCCACTATACAGAATTGATCTAAAGAATTTCAAAAAAGAATAGCAAGGAAAACTCAAAGAAAGAAGAGAAAAAAAATGAAAATAAAACAGCAAGATTTAATGCAATAATAAATGTTATCAGAGACTGTCAAAACCCAAAGTTGATTATCTGAAAAGAGTTATGAAACTGACAAGCCTCTGGTGAGACTGATCAAGGAAAAAGAGAAGAGGGCAAATAACTAATATGAAAATTAAGACATTGCTGTATTTCCTATGGATATGAAAACCTTAATGAGGATACCATCAATTTTAACTTTTTTATAATCCAGATGAAATGGAAAAGTCCTGGGAAAATGTCACAACTTACAAAATGCTCAAAAGATGAACTTAATGTTAAATCACCTTTTCAAAACTCTCCCCAAAACCCCAGGCCTCAATGGCTTCAACAAATTCTATCAAACATTTAAAATGGAAATAACTATAATCTCACACAAACATTGCCCAAGAATAGAAGAATAAAGAAGAAGAAAAAGTTCCTAACTCTTTTATGAGGCTAGTTATAACTTTGATACTAAAACCTAACGAGGTATTTGGAGAAAAGAATTCAAGTCAACATCATGAATCTGGATGAGAAATCTTCAACAAAATTCTAGAAAACCAAATTTAGCAATATCTTTGCAACATACTGTGGCCAAGTTTAATTTATACCAGGAAATGCAGTTTGCTTTAACACTAAGAAAAGCAATAATGTAATTAATCAGTCATTAACAGCTTAAAGGGAAAAAAAAAATAACTTGACAATCATAATACACTGAGTTTTCAATGTTCAATCCTGATAAAAACTCTTCACAGACTCCCAAGAGAAGTGAACTACTTATCATGAAAAAAAGATCTTTACAAAACTTGACACGTGAATCATCTTCAATAATGAAATGTTAAAAACTCTGACCATGAGATTGGGAATAAGACAGAAGCCACTCTTACTCAACATTGTACTGCACACTGCAGTGAGGAAAGTAAAAGAAATAAAAGGTGAAAGGCGACTGGGAAAGAAGAAATACAAGCTGTCACGAACCATAAGTAAGTACCTAACTGAGGATGTAGAAAATCCAACAGGATTCATATTATAGTAAGTCAGCAAGTTTTGCTAGACGCAAAATCAACATTAGAAAAATAATTTATCATCTCATTAATAGAAATTATCACTAAATGAAAACTTAAAAGCCACCATTTAAAAGCTGTGATGGTGCATACCTGTAATACCAGCTATGCAGGAGGCATAAGTACGAGGATAGAAGTCCAGGCCAACCCAGGGTGTGGTGCAAATGCCTAGCAGGTGCGAAGCCCTGAGTTCAAACGCCAATACCACCAAAAATAAATAAATAAAAACAAATAGATGAAAGCTGATTCTAAAATTTAAACACAAATGAAAACAGCCTAGAATATCCAAGGTAGAAGGACTTGTTCTACCAGATATCAAGATTTTTAGCAAAGCAACAAGAGTCTTACTGGTACAAAGATAGATGGAGAAAAAAACCAGACAACCAGAAATGGACCTACATATTTATGGACAGTTCAATAAATCTGGAAATCATTTCTTAATAAAAAGTTTTGGGATAACTGGATATATAAGATGTTAGAAAATGAATTAAGAGAAAAAAAAATTTAAAACATCAACTAGGAAAAAAATCCTTAAAGATTTCTGATTCAAAACACGTAAAGGAAGAAGTATCAGAATGGCACAAGACTTTTCTATAGCAAGGTAGAATCTGCAAGTCTATAGAACAGGGTCTTCAAGATTCTGAGTGAAAATAATCAAAAACTGAAAAATTATACATAGTGTAATTTATGGAGGAGGGTAGAATAAAGACATTTTAGATGTTCAAGACCTCCACAAGTTTTTTGCGAAACCACATCCTTTTATTAAAAACTAGAGAATAACCACTAAAAGTACTTAGCGAAAAGAAAGACAAGGGAACAAGAAAAAAACAGTGAAGAGAAGTTCCAGCTTAGAAAGCAATTACTAACACCAATTATTTAAGTAAAACTCACAGTAACATTTCATAGTGCCAAAACCTAGAAACAGTTTCTATGTTCAAAAGGAAATGACCTAGGCAACCTGAACAAAACACAAATATAACTGTGAAATATGAGAGGTATGAAGACACACACATACTACAAAAAAAAGAATTTTAAATGTTGACAGAATGCTCAGCAGGTTTTTTCTCTCAAAATTATTCATATGCATTAATGAGAGCACCCCTGGTCCCTACCTGCCGCCCCTGAATTACATACACACCCCAATGCTGACTTTTAAAGCAGCACACAAATATAAACATTCTAATTTATTTCTTAATTTGGTAGCCTTCTAAGTTAGGTTAAAGGTCAAGAAGAAAAAGAACTTTGAGCTTCAAGAGACTGCACTATACTAAGATGACACTAGAGTTCTTCCTACCAAATGTCAATAATAATGAACACTGAAGGACCACAGGGCAGCTTGTTTATTCTCAGATCCTATTTCTACCTCTTGGGAAAAGACAGCTTAATCTGGACTGAGAAAGAAAAGTTGATAGAGAAATACAGCTGAAGTAGAAATGAACATCCAGAAAAGCACATGCAAAACAGAAAGCAAAAGATCATACAATTATATTAGAGTAAGTAGTCAAACAGTGTATAATTTGAAATTGCGCAACTGTCTAATAAGCTGACATTATAACAAGGTGAAAATCTACATATCATCAGAATTTCAGAGTTCTCACTATGATTAAACTGTACTTATAATCAGAAACTTAGGAAAATTTTAAATTACTTCCAAAAAGCTAGACACTAAAATATACATAGTATATATAATAGCACCGAAAGATTCTAGAGTGCTATGAATTGGCACTGTGAAATAGTTGCTTAATTTTAATTTTTAAAATTCAAACAATTTTTTAAATTTTAAATTTTAAAAATTACAATTAGAAACTGCTTCTACTAGTATAACAATAACATTAATTCTAAAATAAACAGCTTGACAAGCAAAACAGCTCAACAGTTTAAAATTGGGGAACAGTTTAAAGTTGAAAAATATATTTCTGGAACAAAAATTGTTTCTCAAGAGAAATGTTAAGCTGACTAATGCCATTCTTCCCTATGCTATTTTAAAGTATGCATGATGGCATTCTTACCTGGAATAAGATCTGCATAGGTCAAGCTAATATATAAGATACTGATAAGTATTTTATCAGCAAGTGGATCAAGAGCACTTCCCAAAGCTGATTTTTGATTGGCCCAGTTTCGAGCAATAAATCCATCCAACTGAAAATAAAAGTGTTTTTTTTTATAAATGTCACGATAGGAATAGAGTATATATCTTGAAGCTTAAGAAACATCAGAATAATAACTATACCTTCATAAAATGTTAATAAAATTAAAATCGCTTCTGTTTTTTTACTCCAAAACATACTCATTCTTTTTAGCAACTCATCTAAAATAACTGCATGTTTTTCCATTACGTTTTTATTCCAAGAGCTTCCACTCATTTCTTTTTTTACAATGTCCTCTTGTGGGATGAACCCAGACACAAATCTAGACACGTAAGGAACCCATAAAGTACTCAGAAAGGTTGACTGACAGAGCCCAGACTAGGATCTTTTTTTTTTTTTGATGAAACAGATCTTGCTATATAGCCCAGCCTGGCCTCAAACTCTTGATCTTCCTACCTTTGTCTCTAAGTACTTTGCCTCTAAGGACTCAGACCGGGTTTCAAGGAACCTCATCTTTAATGTCTGGGCTTCTTTTGCTTTACAGCCCAAGCAGTTGCATTTAGTTGCAAGAACTGCTCTTTACTGCGAGACACTAAACTTTCACACTCCCTACCTTCTTTTCTTTCTTTCTTTTTTTTCTTTTTATTGCAGGACTGAGGCTTAGGGCCTTCACCTTGAGCCACTCCTCCAGCCCTATTTTTTTGTGAAAGGTTTTTTTTCCAGATAGGGTCTCATGAACTATTTGCCCAGACTGGCTTCGAACTGCTATCCTCCTGATCTCTGCCTCCTGAATAGCTAGGATTACAGGCGTGAGCCACTAGTACCCAGCATCCTACCTTCTTTTCTATAATATGATCTAACTCCTTATGTTAGAACAGTATTTTTCAATTTTAGAATTTATTTAGGTCAGTAACACTGTTAGTTTTATGTTCTGATTGTATTTGTATTACCTGTACTTGGATTAAAAACTCAATCCTTTGTAGGTGGCTTACTTAAAATGGTAATACTTCAATTATTTCATTACTTATTGTTACTGGAAACAAACTGTATTTTAAAACAGAGGTCTTGGTGGCCAGTGGGCCAATGGACCTGAAGGCTGGTTTTATTTGATCTTCCAGAGCTTTTAGAAATAGTTAACTGGTTGACAGCATTGAAATATTCAAAATTTACCATAAAAATCTATATCTCCATCCATCCTAACCTGAGAAAGGGAAAGATCCGGTCATCCAGGGTCCACGAAAAGGACTGAAACTAAGCACTTCCTAGCGACACTAAGCCAGACAGACATTCTCTGAGGCCCCACCAGCTTTTACTCATTTTATTTAGCTACAATCTCAACAAATGTTTGAATTTTCTATTCCCGTTTCTAAGGAAAAAGACATAATTAATTCAGATGTAATTAATTATGATACATTTTTAAAAGAAAAATACTCCATGTTACAAGTATTCCAATGAGTGAGATAGCAGTAATAGAAGACAGCGTTAAAAGCTCTGCCACTTATCTGTGTGACCTTGGGTAAGTTATTTGGCCTCTCTAAGCCTGAGTTTCCTCACCTGTAAAACAGAGGTCATATTACCCACCTCAAAGGGCTGTGTATCTTCAGCACACACATGATTAATACTTGTTCAATGCTCAATACTTAGTAAATCCTCAAAAAAAAAAAAAAGCAGTTACTAGCTATTACTATCACAATTGGAATGCTCTGTTTTCTTCTTAAGTAGACTAGAGGTAATGCTGTCTAACAAAGTGTCTAGAATGGGGAATGGGCTTTGGAAAACCCAGCTTTCAGTGAGTTTCAGATTTCAGGGAACTTAACTTTCTACTTTTTACCATCATCACCCTCCTCACTATTGTTCTAACTCACTGCAGATTCCAGAGTAGTCAGTATCATCATTCCTCTACACACATCTACAACTCCCTCACTGTACCTCAGCCCTGCCACAAGACAACTGTCCATTCATCCCAGGCTTGCATGCTAGCAGCTGAACACAGCCCAAGAAAAATAAACAAGAGGACCAAATGATCTCACTTCAAATTCATGACCACAAATCTCCCATGAGCAGTCAATGCTGGCTGCCTATCCTACACCTGCCTACTGTATTTACCTTCTCTTTTTGTACTATGTGCTCTCACCTCCAACCTATTTCATTTCTCCTAAACCCTCTCTAGCCTCATTCCTTGTAGGGGTGGGGAAAGACTGAAAACACTTTCACATATTCCTACCCCCAAGTCCACGACCCAGCTGCATTTATTTTCTCTGCCTTCCCTGATCTCTATTCTCAAGCCCTCACCTTCTGCGACTTGCCTCCCTCTTTTCCAATTCCTTTGCACCATCTATCTCTCACTTCCTACCAGATGGTTTATTAATCAGCTAACAACAAAATTTCTCCCAGTACATCTTTAAAACGGTACAACCCTTCCTTGATCCTATTTCTCTATTCCCCAACAAAGCAAAACGTCCTTAAAGCAGTGTCAATTGTCATTACCACCTTATATTTGCTCACCAGCCCACTCCAATCAGCTCCTCTCCTCTAGGGATGACTCTCATAAAGGTCCCCAATGAATTTTGCATTTTAAGATTAGATGATCTTGTCATGATTACAGTACTTTCTTCAGTTACTCTCTGAGACATCTCACTGCCTCATTTTCTTACTTTCCCACCAACTATCCTCAGCATCCTTTACTGGCTTCTCTGTTTCTGTACTTATTGCTCATTTCTCTTATTCTAACTCAGCCTAGATACTTCATCCAGATTTGATCATCAATATCTGATGACTCCCAAATCTTTACTTCTGTAAAAATGATTTCCAATTCCACACTATTACACTCAATGCCCAACTGATGACTCCAGGCGAGCAAACCCATACACCTCTAACTCCAAACTCCCACTCAGTCCAAGCCCCCACCATCTCTCTCCCAGGCAGGCTTTCTCACCAGTTGCTCCGCTTCTACTCTTGCCCTCCTACAGCCCATTTCCCATACACAATACCAATCAGACCCTGCCATTCTCCTGCTTAAAACCAATGAGATGGGCCATCTGCTCAACTGTCAATCTGTAGGTATCAAAACCTCCACAGAATAAATGTGAAACATAGTATCAGTTAACTCAGGTTTCCATCTACATCATCCTACACATTTAGAAAAATGTTAATGAGATCTCCCTCCCATGAAGTGAATATTGGAATCTCATGCTGACCCCTGCACACCCTCCCAAAACTAGCAGACAAACAAAACAAGTGAGCCCCAAACTGAAAAAACCTTTGTCTGTTACATAAAAAATTTCATTACCAGTATAATGATCTTTGACAGACTTGGAGGTCACACTAACAATGAGTGAAGACCTTCAGGCTTCAGAGATAAAAGCAGGGACAAAAGAAAATGAGAGATTGTGAGATGGGAAGAGATGGTGAAAAACAGGAACTAAACTGTGGAAAAAGAAAGACAAGAGCTAATTTGAGAGGCTGTATTTGATGCATACTTGGAAATGCCATACAACAATGCCAATGCTCTCCTTTGTTTACCTTCAAATTTTTCAGCTAAGTTTGTATTGCTCATCAATGCTATGCTACTCGCCAGCTAGAATTGTCTATATGAACCTCTAAAGGAACAGCTGACATTACAAAGAAAGATACCATACAACTTTTACTTATAGAAAATTAGTTTCTCCTCTTACCAGATAAATATCAATCAAAACTTTTCAAATATAAATTGGTTTGAAGAAGCACCAAAATATTATTGCCTGTCTGGGCGCTTACATGGAACTCAGACCAGCTCTGTGCAAGAAGATACCATATGTATTTCCACATGGTAACTTTGCCCTGATTTGAAATTCTTCCTCTTCCTTTTTCCCACTGGCCCCAACTGTTTTGGTAGGCATGGTGTTTATAAGCCATTTCAAATCCTTTATGGGAAAAGGTGGGTGATAAATACAAAGGTCATACCTAATGACAGCTTCAATCCATAAAAGTAATGTAATCTTCTGTTATAAAATCATTTTCCCACTTCTAATTTGAACTCGGGTCTTCATGCTTGCTAGGCAGGAGCTCAACCACTTGAGCCACGCCTCCAATCCCTCCAGTTCTAATTTGAGATCACTCAAATCCTCATCTCCCTACTGGCACAGTAGTGTCAAGGAAGTCTTTTCTCCTTTGTCCATCTGCTGGGCCAGTGAAAGGGGAAGGATGTCCCATGTCCAGCCCACACCAAGATCTTCTGCAGGGTAGTCAGAGAGGTATGAAACAGAATTAGGAACAGAATCTACAGCCTCCTCCTGGCATTAACACTGAGCAGAGTTCTGGCCTCTACAAACTCCCTGATCATATCCTAGTTCTCTGGTTCATAACAACTGGTCCACTATTTCTTTCTCTATTAGGAAAACCAACTCTTGTTATAAATTATATTATTTCTATCACAATAAATAGAAAACACTCTTGCAGCTTCTCTCCTTTCTATCTATAAAGCAAACACTCAGCTCTCAGAAATTTCTAAGGCTATTTCTTTCATGAAGAAGTATGACACCAAGAGTAAAGATTGCCCCTTCTTATACCTCTCTACAACCTTTACTTCCTCCCTTAGATCATATAAAAAGTCTAAAACAGATGCTAAAGATGAGTTCTTACACAAAGTACTAGATCAAATTCATCTTGAGGATTTTCTTCTAAGGAAAAGCTGACTAAAGTTGTGCTATTTCAGAGCAGTAGTAGAGACCATGGGATTTGGAAGTGAGTCAAACAAGAATGCATTTATAACTTACCAAATCAGTTAGCCCAGCTAAAGCAAAAACTCCTAGTGCAACATTAAAATCTTCTTCAATAATCAAATAGCCCAAAACTGGGGCCAGGCCAATTCTCGTCATTGACAGCATATTTGGGATTGTCCATGGATTTTCATACTGAAACACAAAGATTACAAAATTTAAATGAAATACCATTAAGTTCATACTTTAAGTAGTTTTGTACATTAGAAAAATACACTTCACCAACTTAGGGGTAAGAAGCTACATAAACTTCACTTATGCGTAAGTGCTCCTATAAGTACACACATGTACATGTATAGAAAGAGAAAGTTTTCATCACAAAAACAGAAGAGACAAAGTTAAGCCTTTAATAGAACTTTCAACAGTTTTTAAAAGCAAAACTTCCGAAAGATCTTAAGTAGATAAACAGCCTAGAACCTGTTGGAAAAGAAAAAAAAGCCAAATTATTAATCCTCACTCCCCTACACATATTCACCAAAAAGAAGCTAACTGCCATATGTATGCAGTGTATGCAAATGTGGGAAAAGGGGGGCAGGGCGGAGACCCAGATTTCATTCTATAATCTAGTCATCAAGTCAGAAAATAAGAGATGGGAAATTGAGATACATGGAAATGAAGAAAATAAATGTGAAAATCTGTTCAAAACAGCCATGGAAAAGTTAAGACTCTCCCAACTAGAAGCCAAGGGCTTTCATAGTTCCCATGTGACCTTTGATTCCTTGAAACTTCATTTGGAATCAAGCTGTTAGAAGTTGGCACTAACAAAAGGGCTCTCTGGCAGCTGCTCTGAAGAACCTTCCTTGCCAAACAGAAACTGATCTGTGAGAGGTATTTCAACTTTAAAAAGTTTCAGTCTAGCCCAAGATACACTGCACAAGAAGGTACAGAAATAACAGCAAGAAAATACCTTTCCCCAAAGCCTAAATTTCCTCCCCAGTCAAGACTGTCAGTTCTACCCTATGGAACTCTGTCATCAAGAACTAATCCTACTTAACCTTTTTTTAAAATCAGTAACCAACTTGCCTGAACCTTAACATTGACTTAGAAAAAAAAGTGGCATTGTCCATTTCTAAAGACATCTTTTAAAATCCCATGAACCACCTTATAAGAAAAGATCTTCTCTAAAGATACTACCTTTGTGTTTATAAATAGAACCCAGCAGGAAAGCACCTCAGCTTTGCAGGGCAATGGAGTGTTTTCTGTTAGGGTCATGTAGCAGAATATGTCACTGAAAGCTACAGAACAAATTCCAATTCTCCAGAGATCAATCACAAAGCAAAAAGCAATACAATCCTCTGCTATGGACTCTTTTATTGACAGTAGCATATAATTATATGAACACATTCTCAGAATATATTCCAAATTCAAGTTCAAAGATTAGTGTGTTTCAGAGTCCAGAGGAAATGAAAGATAAGATTGTTGACCATACCGTGGTACAGAGTAAGCCAAATACTAATCCAATGTTACAGCACCTCACAGAACTGGGAGGAGGAGAGAAAGGCAGTTAATTTATGATTAAGAGAATGGACTAACAAAGCAAAAGATGAGAATGAAGAGCTCCAATATTAATCTGAGATATTTAAGGAGGCAAAATGAACCCCAAATTTTGCAAACAGCCACATCATTTCATTTGATTAATAAACAGAATGGGATGTTGCTGAATAGTGAAAGGGGTTCTTTTGCACTCCGAATAAAATATCTCACATAAAGTACCTCATTAATTTCTAATTGTCAAACTTGTAACAGTTTCAATCTTAACATTAGGAGAGCTAATCTCAGATTACCCAACCAGATAACCTGTGGCATACTCGACCAACTACTGCCGTTCTGGGAAGGACTTCAGCCAGGATGAGTGCAACGTCAAAGGTTCCAGCATTCAAACCCCAACATACTCTAGCTATTAGTGGAGCTGAGACCCCTGCCAGGATGTGGCTACCTTAACCCATGCTGCACAGCTGATGAAAGCAGTTCAGTGGTCCGCTGAAGACCTAACAATTGAAGATGTAATAATTGCGTGAGTCTTGTTAACATGACATCAAAAGCTGCCCCACACGCATGCTCTGGTGTCTCCTGACTGGACAACTCAAAAGGTGAGTGGACAAGTATTTCTTTCCGTTGCCTCAAGAGTTCTATGATTAGAAGTTGAGACTGGTGGAGTGGCTCAAACATGAGACCCCGAGTTCGAACCCCAGTAACGTCAAAAAAAAAAAAAAAAAAAGTCAGAAGTTGAAGGATCTTTAACTACCACCTAAGCTATTTATTACCCCCGCCTAACGGGTAAGGTTAACAAAGGTCAAATGATGGGGAAGCGAACCTGCTCAAGAGCAATCAAAAGGGTCCGGATGCCTTTCCCAAGACTTCCCCAGACCCACATTGGGGATTCACTTCAGAAAACTAAAATTAGACTTTTAATGAGCGAAGGCCGGTTTTATCAATGCAATGTGCAGATACCCCTGCAGCGACGGATTAAAGTAGGGGTGCTAACTTGCCCGTCGAGACTGTTAGGGGGACCCGGCTGGTGCCCCTGAAAACCACTCGGATCGAACGTCCTGCCCGTAACTTCCCGGGAATCCGCGTGAGAGCTCTGAAACGGAAGTGACCGCCCAGAGTCGATCACTCGCGGCCCAGGAGCGAGCCCCGCAGGCCGGCGTCCCCCGCCCCGGGCCACCCTCCCGCCACGTACCGGGCTGGCGGCGCTCGCCGGGTCCCACCGGCCGCCCGGGGCCTCCGCGGCGGCATCTCCTCCGGCCGCAGGCCCCGGGGCCGCCTTGCCCGCGCCGGAGCAGTGGTTCCGCGGGCCGGTCCCCGGCAGCCGCAGGCCGAGCGCGGCAGGGCGCAGCCACCAGCGCTCGGCCAGGCACCCCAGGAAACAGGACGCGGGCGGCAGCAGAGCCACGCGGGCGCGCCCCTTGCCCAGCCGCGCCCCCGGCGCCCATGCGGCCACGCGCAGGGACCCCCAGGAACCGCGCGCCAGACGCCACGCTAGCATGGCCTGCGGCCGCGCCACGGGGACGCAGGTGGGGAAAGCTCAGCAGACCGGGGGCCCAGCCAGCTGCTTCTCCCTAGAGCCCCAGCAACACCGGAGATGAACGGCCACTGCTGCCTCCATACTAATATTCAGACCTCGGCACGTTCGGCTTATACAGGTGGCCTGGAACCGCCAAGGAAGGACGCTTTTGCGACGTTTTTTACGACACCATTGAGGCCCGGCTTCGCAGCGTCCCCGGGCGGCAGCGGCAGGCGCGTGCAGTTGAGGCCCTGAGGGCTTTGGAAAAATGGTGGGTGTGTCAGCGCCTGTCAGCCAGCAGCTAGGAGCCAAGGCCGGTGCGCCGCGAAGGGAGGGACATGGCCCGCGCGGCTACGCGGCCGCAAAGACAGGAGCCATCTCTGTGTCCGCCCTCCGAGATGTGTGCTGCACTATCGGGTCATTGTGGGAGGTCAAAGACATTAGGAAGGTGTCTGGTATAAAAGGAGTAAGTTCTAGCTAACTGCTCTTTTTTTTCCTGAGTATTAAGTGAAGGTGCATGTCTAAAGGAGGAATGGAAAAATGTCAATAATAGCAGTTACTAATTGTTTACCTGCTTGCATTACTGTATTTAATCCTAACTCTAATGTAGAATCTATTACTATTTTTACTTTTACAGGTAGTGACATTTAGGCTTAGATTAAGAAATTTACGTATTCTTAAATCCAAAATAGTAATCTGTTCATTGTTAGAACTGATACATATTGTTGATACATTAACACTGCAGTGTTACAACTTTGCTTACGGTGTCAAACTTTTTTTCTCGATACTGGGGTTTGCATTTAAAGCCTCACGTTTGCTTAGGGCAAGCACTCTACTACTTGAACCACACCAGCCCTTTTTTGCTTTTAGTTTGGTTTTCAGCCAGAATTCCTGCTTTTTCCAAGATTGGCCATGTACCTCGATCCTGAGTAGCTAGGATTACAGATGTACACCACTATGTCCAGCTCGTTTTTTGTGAGTCAAGCTAATTTCGACTGGCCTCAAAACCACCATTCTCCTATCTCTGCCTCCCAAGTAGCTTGGATTACAACGTGGACCCACCTGGCTCTGAAATTTTTTTCTTTTTTTTTTCTGCTGTTGCTGCAGTACTGGAGTTTGAACGGAGGGCTTTCTAATGCTAGGCAAGCAATCTACCACTGAGCTACATCACTATTCCCCTTTACCAAGCAGACTATGAATGGTTCTTGCAGTCTCTACAGCATCCCTCTCATCCTGCGCTGGCATCCGTACTTTAAAGTTGTTCTTAAAGACTAATTGAAATGGGACATAACTGTAGATCTGAGCATTGTATCAAAAGATTTATCAGTTTCTTAAGTCCATCTGAACACTGATACTGAGAAAAATTTAAAATTTTGTGCTAGCAATGTAAAAAGAACAATTTTGTTTTAAACCACTGTAATCAAACAACACAAATAACAACAAAAAACCCACTGGACTCAAACATCTACATTTCTCACATAGATGTGGATTTTGGATAGTCCTGGCAAGGGGAAGTGGGCAGAGCCTTTATTGCTGTAGTGGGGGAAGCTGTTATATGGCCTATTAGGCAGAAAGTGAAAACAATGGGCTGAGGGTTTGTAATGGGTTTTGAAAATCCACTGAAGCTGACTGCAGGGGAAAGTAAACAACTTTGGCTGTTAGTTTGATCCTGTGATTAGAGGATGCTAACTAGATACAGAATCTAAAAACAAAAGCACTTACTTCTGATGAATTAGGTTTATACCTTTTTTCCTCTGTAACTTAACAGCTTAATCTTTGACCTTTTAGATAACTGTCTGAAAAATCCTTATTTCCTCTTTGAACAATAATAAATTATATAGTTTCCCTTATGTCCACTACTTTTATTTGGTTGGCACCTGTGTTGATGTATCTTTGTAAAACATGGTTTTAATTCTATTGAGATTTATCAATTTTAAATCTTTTAGCCCCCACCCTAGCCTTTGCAGACATCCTATTTACACTATTATCTCCCCTTTTTTTTTTTTGTGCTGGGGAATGAACTCAGAGCTTCCAACTCCTTAGGCAAGCATTCTAGCACTTGAGCCACACCCCCACCCATTTGCTTCTGTGAGAGGATATTGCTACTGTCTTGCCCACGCTGGCCTCTTAACTCTCCATCTTCCTGCTTCTGCCATCTGAGTAGCTAGGGTTACAGGTGTGTGCCACTATACCCAGCTTTCCTTTTGAAAACTAAGATTTTAATATTTACATTATGCTCTATGGCAATAATCCCAGTTATTTTTTAAATCTTACTGATGGCTAAATATCCAGTGTCAGACCAGTATTTTTGGTCTTATTTTGGTTAAATATTCAATATACATTGCCAGGCTTTTTTTGTTTTTTTAATTTTTCATTCATCTTCTGGTCTACTGAATGTTGTAGTTTACATTTTCCAACAATGGAAAATGAGTTCTTGTATGTTAAAGTGTTTGTTTGGCAGCCCAGTTCCATGTGACTTTATTGGTATTACCTCCTTGAAGGGGAACCAGGAAAACTCCCTAGATCCTATGAAAGGGGCATATAACCCAGTCTTCTTCAATCACATTTCTGGATGAGACTTCTCTTTTGAATTCAGCAGTTTGAGGAGGTCCTCTGAAGAGTCTTTTCTGGGGTGAGTAGGACAGAAGTATTTCCTCTTATGCTTTCTGTGGCAGTGGGAGGTCAGTAGCTCCCTTTCAGACCACTTCTAAACCATGGTGTTGCAAACTGTTCCAGGAAGCTTGTCCTCTTGGATTATTAGCCCTCTTACAATTCTGTAAGCTAACCAAATTCTTTCTCCTGCTTAAGTCAGTCAGTTTCTATTATTCCCAACCAAGAGTCTACAGATTGTGGGCCACATCAGACCCACTGTGTGTAATTATTAAACAACTCAAAACATCAAGAGTAATTTTTATTGCCAGTATGAAAATTTTATGAACTTCAAATTTTAGTGCTGAAAAATAAAGTTTTATTGGAACACATGTTCATTTGTTTAAGGATTATCAGAATGTTTACCCTAATGGACATCTCATGCAAATCTATTAATTACAAAAATAAGACAGGTCAAGAATATAACTCTAAATAATTTGTATCATTTAGATAAAATACTGTAAGTTACTTTTAGCCTTTTGGAGAAACTGTATAACATTAACATACAACTTTATCCCTTCTTAAATTACTTGACTATGTCTAACACTTTTTTCCTATTACATTACTTTGAGACATCATTTTTCAGAGAACCTTGGTTTTATTTGTTTTTTTTTTTTTTGGATAGTCTTCATTAAGACAGCTTTAAACTATTAAACACTAGGAGGTCCTAATCTGATAAAAATCTTTTTTACATAGTTTGAAGCTGGTAAACCTTTGGGCCTTTTTTCAAGAGGTAACCCTGGTCATTTAATGATCCAATAAAATTTTCAAAGTCAGCAACCTGAAAGAGAACATCAAGAGTTAGCACTGAGTAATATGCTAAAATAATGACTTTTGAAATTAGTCTCTTAATGACAAACTATCAAGTTTCTGGGAAAATAAAATAATTTGTACTTCTTATAGCACTCCAATATGCAAAATAACCTTATATTTGCATAAAACAAAGATTAGACTGTCTTGAAATTAAGTGAGTAATTTTTACATATAACCTATTTTACATGCTTAAAATGCAATTACACTGATTTTTGCTAACTCACTATAGAAAGAGAAGGTAGAATCATGTCCATTTAATAGAGGAGAAAACTGAGGTTCAAAGATGTTAGTATGACTCACCCAAAGGGCTTGTCAGGAAAGCATGGGGACTGAGTCTCACTACAATACTTCCCTAAAAGCCTTGAGAAGAGGTAGGCATGAATCTAAATAAATAAAAACTCATTTTGTTCTCCTTAGTAAGGCTCTCCTGAAATTATTACAAAAAAGTAAAAAGACGTGTTAAGTATTTAGGTTACCCCTACCTGAATATTTAGCTCTTTGGCAATCTGCCGAAGTTGATGAAATTGAAATAAATTATTGTAAGTTCTTTCAGCAATGTTGTTGAGAGCAGAAATAAATCGTTTTGCTGTTGACCTGTTGCTCATTCCAGAGCCATGCTGTGATCGTTCAAAATCTAGGTTCCCAAATTCATCAGAGTAAGTTCCTAGCATGCTTAAAGGGAAGGAAAGAAAAAGTTACCCAATGTGGCAAAGCTATAAAGATTATTTTACTGGGTTTCCAGGTTAGAAGAAAAATATTTGCCAGGTATTAGTGGCTCATGCCTGTAATCCTAGCCACTCAGAAGGCAGAATCAGGAGGATCATGGTTCGAAGTCAGTAGTTCAAAATAGTTTGCATAGTTTGCAAGACCCTACCTCAAAAAAAAAAAAAAATCATGAAAAAGAGCTGGGGGAGTGGCTCAAGTGGTAATAGCACCTGCCTCACAAGCATGAGGCCCTGAGTTCAAACCCCAGTGCCAACAAAAAAAAAGAAAAATTTGGAAGTGGCCATGAGACTCACTAGCAAAGTTTCAGATGTGTTTATTGAGTGTCCACTTTGAAGTTCACTATGGTATGGACTGTTTGGAATAAAAATATTTTGGACACAGTGTTTACTGTTTTTAAGAAACTTCTAAATTTGAAAAGAAATACATAAAAACACAGCACTGATAAACTGCAATATAAATTCCTGGAACATTCTTTTTGATTTCTGAAAAAAAAAAAAAAAGAAACTCTAAACATAATAAATTTAGCCTTTTCTGAGTAAAGACATGGTTCCATATCCCAGTGCAGCATGGCAAAGAACAGGCATCCCTGTCTGTACAAAGGGACATGTAAAACCTCACAGCCAGGTTAAAAGGCAAAGTTATTTAATAGGAAATAATTAATCAAATACATATCAATCAGCTACATGGTGGGTTTATAATGGTGAACAAAACAAGTACAGTCTCTGCCCTTAATGAGGTGGTAGGAAGGATCTTAAATTGTTAGTAATAAAGCTTCACTTTGTTCTTTGAATAGACAAGAGGCTATATTGAAGAAAACTGTAATACCAGTCAGTCAACTGTAATAAATGACAAGATAAGACAATAAGATACATGAGCATTTTCCTTTCTGAAACATAGTACACTCTTGTTTAAGGCTTTTATGATTAATTTATCATATGCTTCTATCTCATAAGAAAGTTGTCAGAAATGCTTTTAGTTAATAATAGGTAATATTAGTTATATTTACTTATACCATAGGCACCCCCTCTCAGGGACTATTTTGTTCCCACTTTACAGATGAAGACACAAAGTCTGAAGGTTAAGTGACTTTACCATAGGCTATATAACTACTGAGTGGCATATGTGAGACTTTAATCTATGTTACACGGCTTCAGAATTGAAGCAAGATTCATAAAATATTTGAGTTACCTTTCCTGAAACAGAAAAGACTCCAAATGATCTCTAACTTTCAAAAGTGATTCTGTTCTCTTCTGCTTCCTAGTATATTTTCAATTTTAGAATGTTCGTGTGAACTGTTTACAAAATATAAACATTTAGTTTAAAAAATGTGTATGTATGCACTTTGCTAACTCAGATGAGCTATGTCACAGTTTACATTTTTCTTATTTAGACTTCTGCTTCCCAGTAAAATGTAGTTTTACAGATTCAAAACCACATTAAGGGCAAGCTTTCAATGAAGCTAAAGAAACAGATAGAAAATTAAAGTATGGACAATGGTTATTAAAGTCAGCTTTAGTACTGACGCAGTACATTTAATAAGGGTCTAGTGTGTGTCAGGCATGATTCTAGGCCATGAAAATACACTGGTAGATGAGGTAGGTCCCTATTCTCACAGACTAAGGAGAAAGCATGTCAGGTAAAATGTAACTCACAATCTAATCTCAGTGTGTTTAACTGGGTCTTAATCTGTACCATGGAAATAATGGCTAGGTAATTCCAAACATTTGGAATCAAGCTATTCTTTTTTTCCAGAATTTGTTGTCAGCAAACTCTGACATACTGAATTAAAGAGAAAGGTTCCTCTTCTTCCACAGGTTGCTTATAAGAGCAAAGAATAAGCTCCAGATTGTTGCTCAGGCCTTCAGGAGGCTGTACTATTCTACCCATATGCATACATATAGCGGTAGCCTTCAGGGATGGAGGGTACAGGGCCAATACCAAACTGGGGATAAAGAAAACCAGGTAAAGTCTTTCTTATTAGGAAAGGGAGAAAGGATCCACAACTCAGAGCTCCTGGAAAATTCAGAAGGAAAGTACTGAAGACTAGACCCTAGAAATTCTTTGGAAAGTATAATTTTGAAACTTCTGGAATCCAAGACTTGCCTGGTTTTGAAGCCTTCTGTTGTTCATGGTGTGAGTCAGATAAAGGGATCTGCTCAATCTTATCTTTTTCCCCCCCTTTATTGTTGTGCTGGGGGGGGGGGGTACATTGTGGCATTTTCAAAAGTTCTTAAACTATATCAAATACATCATACTTGAATTCACCCCCTCCATCACTCTCCTTTATCCTCCTCCCCCACCAGCTCAATCTCATCTTAACATCACCATCACAGCCAGCATTCCTGAGTGTCCACTAATGTGCAAGAACCATATGGTACTACTGCATGACACATAAGAGCACAAATGTTTGTGGTGCTTTTACACAAGAGGAGACTTAGGGGCAGAGTGTAACTTGCCATGGCAGCCTCAGATTAGACTCTACATCCCTGGCTCTTCTGGTGGCGTAGCATTGCTTTTATTCACAATTGAAAAGGAACAATTGGGCAGAGCCAACTGATTCTGACATAACGCAAGCCCCAGAACATCAACTAGAAAACAAATCCATCTACTTTTGAAGAAATAGAAATTACCCAACAAAAGATATAATAGTTTAACCTTAATATATTTTTGGTCTTGGAAAAAATAGATTCCTAATAGATCTGTATTTTAATTGCTCTGACAGCACATTTTTTATAAAGCTAATTTCTAAATTACGATACAGTTGTAAAGAAGATGAGGGAGCACTTTAGGGAGTGACACAGAAAAATCTCCAATATGCGTTCCAAGTGAAAAAGGCAAGGTATAATAAAATGTGTATGGTATGTTGCCATCTGTCTGCAAAAGAGGGTAAAAGAATACACAGATACATATTTGTAATGTTTACTTCATATCTTAAAGTCCCACAAAAACCTCTCACTAGGGCAGGAAGAACTGCAGGAGTAAACTGTCTCCTATGTACTTTTTGAACACTAGAATTTTGAAGCCTATGAATGAATGTATAAACCTATTCAAAAAAAAAATTTTTTTTAGGCCAGGTGTGATAGTTCACAACTGTAATCTCAGGTATGTGGGAGGCACAGACAGGAGGATCTTGGTCTGAGGCCAGTTCGGGCAAAAAGCATGAGACCTTATCTGAAAAATAACTAAATCAAAATGGACTGGAGGTGTGGCTCAAGTGGTAGAGCACTTGCCTAGCAAGCACAAGGACCTGAGTTCAAAACCTCAATACTGCAAAAAGAAAAAAAATTTTAGGAAATCAATGTGAGTCAATGCCCTGTATAGCTATCTTTATCTCAACCAGCAAAACCCCTTGTTCCTTCCTATTATTGCTTATACTCTCTCTACAACAAAATTAGAGATAAGGGCAAAATAGTTTCTGCTGGGTATTGAGGGGGGGAGCGGGAGGGGGTGGAGTGGGTGGTAAGGGAGGGGGTGGGGGCAGGGGGGAGAAATAAACCAAGCCTTGTATGCACATATGAATAATAAAAGAAAAATGAAAAAAAAAAAAAAAAGAAAAAAAAATTTTAGTTTGCAGTGAAAAAAAACCCTAAAATAGTTGGCTTTCACTTTTATTGATAAAGATTTTGTCTAAGGTAGACATATGCTCAGTTAAAATAGAATTTTTGATCATTTCTACCACCTAAATATCATGATCTACCAAATAATATAAAATGCAAAGGACACAATTCAGCAGTATTTATCAAAATCATTGCTCCCAGCAATATCACTTCTGAGAATTTGAGGTATATATACAACTTCCCTTATATGAAGTACCTTATATAGAGCCTTTCATGGTTTCTATTATTAAAAGAATGGGAAAAATTCATGTGGCTAGCAATAGGGATCTGATTAAATAAACCACGGTATATCTACACACAGTAACATGTAGCTGTGAATAAAAAGGGAACTCCCTATGTCCTAATGAGGAGCTACCTCTGGAGATACTGTAAAATTCAAAAACAGTGCACAGCAGGATAAACAGCATACTTTTTACGGAGAAGTAACAGGTGGCTGGGTGGAGAGGGAGGGTGGGAGTTAATGGGACAAAAATAAGCCTTCTCAGGATATATATTTTTGAACTGATTTTAGAACTATATGAATGTATTAACTCATTCAAAAATATTTCTTCGAGGGGTTGAGGTGGCTCAAGTGGTGGAATACCTGCCCAGAAAGTGCAAAACCCTGAGTTCAAACACCAGTACTGCCAAAAAACCCAAAAATCTTCTTAATGTAAAGATTAACAAAAACCAGAAATATCTTAAACCAAGAAAGTATAGTTTGCTCAATGGAAAATAAGTGACTGTAATTTTGGCTAGTCTAATTAAAAATATAATTTGAGATTGAAAGGTAACCAATATTTCATTTAAAACAGCACTTAAGAGACAGGTATGGTGGCATACACCTATAATCCCAGAACTTGGGAGGATGAGAGTTTTAGATCAGCTTGAGCTACATATCAAGATCTGGTATCAAACAAACCAAGACAGCATTTAAAATTTTAGCCTTACCTATATTTCATAATTTCAACTATATCCTCAGCATCTTCTTTGGTTGCTTCCTCTCTTAATTCCAACCTTGCCCGTGCCTTTGAAAGAAAACAGCCATATTAAGATAAAAAAAGATAAATACTTTTACCACTGTTTGGTATGTCTAAGTGTATTTATTCACTGTACATAAAAACTGATTTTGAGAGTTGTAATATTAAAACTCAGAATTTTTTAAAAAATAGAAATTTTGCATATAAAAGCAGCTCATTTAAAATATGGGCAAAACTTACTTTACTTACTAACATTTCTTTTTGAGACTGGTCATTTCAGATTTGTACAACAATATTTGGTTTTAACTTGCCTTTAATTTTCAGGAAGTTGAACCTAACCAGTTTTTTAGAACAAAGAGGACATAATCAGATTTTAGGAGCAAAAAGCCTAAATGTCTGGCAGAATTAATTTTAACTGCCAAAGTTCTCTTAGCATTCTGCAATGTGAAAAGAGATTATTGCTGTTAAAAAATAAAAAAAACCAAACAGACACTATCCTTACTGATATGTCATGTAATCAAATCAAATACTCAAGATGTTTTTTGTTTGTTTGTTTTTTGGCAGTACTGAGGTTTGAACTCAGGGCCTTGCACTTAACTAGGCAGGTGCTCTAGCACTGAGCCAATGCATACCCTCAGCCTTTTCTGCTTTAGTTATTTTTCAGGTAGGCTGATGTGCTTTTTGCCCTGGTTGGCCTGGTCTTGAATCATCCTACTTCCTACCTCCCATGTAGGAATGAGAGGAGAGTACAACCATGCCCAGATTGTCTGTTGAGACAGGGTCCTGATTAATTTTTTCTTTTTGCCTGGGCTGTCCTTAAACCATAAACCTCCAGAGTAGATGCAATTGCAGGCACGAGCCAGCATGCCCAGCCCCTATACTTGAAATATTTGATGCAGTCCACGTTCACATGTACTCCACTTGGAATCCCAAAATCCTAGTTAATCTAACTACTTTTCAGAAACTCTAGCAATCTAAGTATCATTAAAAGAAAATAAAAGTTACATAGTAAATAACTGGTCCTGTGCCTAAAAAGAAATCTGTAACTTTGACATGTTATAGATGTGACCAAATTGTTTCAAAAACTTTTATCCACCCATTTCTAATGTCTCTCAGTAGGAAGAAAAACTGAATCGAATTGTGAAGAAATGTATCAAAAGGGCAGTCACACTAGAACCTACCACCTTCTTTAAGCCAAAAAGAGCATGAATGAACACACAAACCTCTGTCAGGCGAATTAAAGATTCCAGCTGCCTAGTAGTGATTGGTGAGCTATTTAACCGTTGGCTCTGTTTCCGGAGCTCCAGGTAGAAATCCTGAAGAACCTGAGCAGCTTCTGTGGATAGCCTTGGGTAGACATACTGTCGTGCATAGCCAATATACTTTCTCAATAACTGATGGGGAATTGGATCTATTGTTTCTCCAGGAACTACCTAAAGCAGATAAAACAGCTCAAGATTACAAGATAAGTACCAAATAAAATCTTGCTGCTAACATAACTTGTGTAAAGCCTCTCCAAATAAAGCAAACACTATACAGCTCTCATTCTAGTTGACTGAGATGATTTTAAGTAAGTTTAAACTCTAGTATCATAATATAAAGTTTTAGTATGAAAGTTTCTACTGTACAATAAGCCACACAGTGTTGCTTTGTTTGTTTGTTTGGTGCTAAGGATTGACCCAGTAACCCACAGATGCTAAAACACATGCTGCAGCACTACCCCATGCTCCCGTTCTCTACAACATACTGAACTTTAACATTCAAACAGACCAAACTGCATGGTTAAGGAAAAACATGATACCTTTAGTCTTTCTGACAATGGCTTCTCAGAAATCACCTCAAGTACTGATATATTTGAATCTTGAGTATTCATACGAGTTACCGTGGCACTGCTGACAGCTCTCTGCTTTCCAGCTCTTATTGCAATCACATGTTCAGACAGTAAGTGATCATGTTGCTCATTTGGGGTATCTAACAGGATAAAGACCAAATCAAATCTGGATAGCAGGGCACTCCCCATTCTAGAAATTGTGAAAGAAAGAAGAAATAATGATTGATATCAAAACAACCAGAAAACCTAGAAAACTGTTCACTTTCTTGCTTATTACTCAAAAAAAAAAAAAAAAAATCAAGCTTTTTCAGGTATGGTGGTACAAGCCTATAATCCCAGCACTTGGGCAGGAAGATCATGAGACCAGCCTGGGCTATACAATAAGACCCTGTCTCAAACAAATTAAAAATAATAATAATAATAAGCTTTAGGTTAAATAAATAAGCAAATACTTTTTTGGATTCAATATTTCTACTTACTTGAACCCCTCCAAAATGTACATGAGACTTACACACATATACCCTCAGTAGGTTGGAGATTCTCATAACATCAAAACCATTGAGTTCTTTAGGTTCTATTATGCTAACTGATGATGTTACACATTATGTCATACATTACCTAATTGAATAGTTCTTCATCTTTTATATCTTTTGTCTCACCAAAACACTGAGTCTCTCAAAGCTCCCATATCACATTTAGAAACAAAAACATATTTTTAATTCAAAGGCATCTATATGCCTAATTGACTAGTCATTAGAATAAAAATGCTCTAAGGTAGAAAGGAGAAAAATGGAGAGATGAGCCAATTCAGATTACACTACATATACACACTGAAATGTCATAATGAAACTCTCTGTACAGCTATCTTAAACCAAAAATTATTTTTTTCAAAAATGGAGAACAGGTCCTGTGTCTTGGGGTTGGTACAAGTGGAGGGGGGAAGATAGAAGGAAAGGGTGTAGGAAGGTGAATGTGGTGAAAATTTTACGAACTCATGTATGAAAATAGAAAAATGAGACCTGTTGCAACAATGGGGGAAGAAGGGATAAAGGAGAATGATGGAGGTGACTTTCACTATGATATATTGTGAACACTTTTATAAATGTCACAATGTACCCCTAGTATGACAATAATATAATAAAATTTTTTTAAAGGAATAAAAATGGGAGAAATGACCCAAGCATTGTATGCACATATGAATAATAAAATAAAGAAGTAAATAAATAAATGTAATATTAGGCAAAAAAAAAAGGAATAAAAATGCTATGTTCTATTTAGTCCTCTTCCCCGACCCCAGGGAAGCACCTCTATTGGAGATCCAAAAAATGAGATCCAGAGTGATTCAAGAATTTAATGAAGGCACCAAAACAGGTTTTGGATACCACTAAGCCAGAATTCAAGTACCTGGATTTGTGTCCAACAGGATCTTTTTGATCTTCACTAAAGAAAAAGTTACTTTTTTGGTGCCAGTGGTACAGAAATGCCCCAAACCTCCAAGTACAATTGTGTATTTTACGATACATCAAAGACTATTTCTATCTTAAATGTAAAAAGTTGTTAAACATTACAGTTAGCCAGACATGGTATCACACACCTATAGTCCCAGCTACTGGGGAAGGTAAAGTGGAAAAAGCACTTGGCCATGAGATTGAGGCCAGCATGGGCAACATAGCAAGACCTATCTGGAGTGGGGGTGGGGTAGAAAAAATTATTAGGAAACAAACATTTTCCCCCCTTAGGCTTAAGATTCTCATTATTTCATGAAGTACTCTTTTGTCTTTTCCTCACTTTTGCATCACTTAAATCTGTTTTCCCTTTTCCACACTTTGTTCAACCTGCACAAAATGAATTAGAAGAGAAAGTACACACATGTAAGATGTAAACACTGTTTTTGAAAAAAGTGGGATCATGCTACTAAGTATGTAACTTATGTAAGTATGTAACTAAGTAAGTATAATCTTCTCACTAATAGTAAACAAACCCCTGTCATTGTACAAAGCCACTTTCCATTGTATGGTCTTTGTTTCAGATTTTCGGCAGTCATAATGCTGGAATACCTGTCCTATGTATCTTTAAGCAGGATTCCTAAAAGTAGAATGTTTGGAAAGAATGGAACATACATTTAAAATACTTTATAAACATACCAAGTTGTCCTTTCAAAGTACTAAATTGTATATGGGAGAACTCATTTCCCCACCCCTTCGCCAATGATTATTATATTTAGAATTCTTGCCAACCTGGTCAGTACCAATGGCACTTCATTGTTCAAGCATATTTTTTGCACATTTACTGGACACTTATAGCTTCTGTAACAACTCCATTTATGTCCTCAATTATTTTTTTCTTATTGATTTCAGGGATTGTATATCTTCAAGGCATAAGTATTTGAAAAGACTTACTTTAAATTCTCAGAAACTGTTTTGGCTTTATTGTAATGTCCCCCAACTGGATTTGCAGCAGCAATAATGGAAGTTCTTGCAGGCAGGCTACAAACCACGCCCGCCTTAGCGAGACTGATACTTTGCTGTTCCATAGCTTCTAGCAAGGCTTGATGTTGATTCCCCATCTTATCAAACTCATCTATTCCACAAATGCCTACAATCATAGAGTAATAGACAAAAACATTTTCCTTTGGCCCAATTCCAAATTTTATAAGACAGAATTGTTCCACAATAATAAATTATTTACATTTTTTCCAACAGTTAAAATTATCAAATGTCATACAATGGAGAATTATTTTACGGCAAATAACATACTTGTCCTAAAAACTAGGTTTTGTGCAATATTTATTCATTTCCCCATTTTCCATATGCAAAGGCACTATGTGATGAGGGCTCCAAAAATGAAGCTATAAGAGTGACCCTCAAAATGCTTATAAGTACTTGAATTTAAAAAGTGAGATAAGACATATACTTTCAAGAAATATATTCACCTGCCTACCAAGTGCAAAGCCCTGAGTTCAAACCCCAGGATCACCAAGAAAAAGAAAAAGAAAAAGAAATACACTTCAAAAAACACATGAGATGCATAATTTTATGACTTTTGTGGAATGGGGATACTTAAAGAAGGAGGAGAATCTGGAAAGGTTTCAAGAAAAAAGTGCTATTTGAGCTAGGTCTTTTGGGGACTGTAGTTTAGTATGATTTGGGAGGAAAAGCACTGTACTCTACCATCATAAGACTTGGTCATATGACTGAGGCCTGAAAAAAAAAAAAAAAAGACTCTGGCACAATTCCTAGTAATACTAGGTACTGGCTATAACTTGTAAGAAAATCACTTAACTTCTTCAAATCTAAAACAAAAGTTAGGTGCTAGTGGTTCACCCCTGTAATCCTATCTACTCAAGAGGCAGAGATAGGAGGATTGAGATTTGAAGCCCTGGCAAATAGTTCTTGAAACCCTATCTCAAAAATACCCAACATAGCTGGGCACCAGTAACTTACACCTATAATTCCAGCTACTCAGGAGGCAGAGGTCAAGAGGATTGCAGTTTGAAGCCAGCCTGGGAAAATAGTTCCTGAGACCCTATCTTGAAAAAAACCAACACAAAAAAAGGGCTGGTGGAGTGGCTCAAGGTGTAGGCCCTAGATCAAGCCCCAATACCACAAAAAAAAGAAAAAAAGGAAAAAAAACCACCCAACATAAAACATACTTGGCAAGTGGCTAAAGTGGTAGAGTACCTGCCTAGCAATTGTGAGGCCCTGAGTTCAAACCCTAGTACCACCAAAAAAAAAAGCCCCAAAGTATCACCACTGACTAAAGGCATTCATGTGCCAGAAATGTTATTTCTAATCCATAAATTAGAGACCCTCTAACATTGGCTTGTAAATATTCTTCCTCCTGCTTCCCCATACAAGTTAAGTTAGTAACCTCTCTGGAGGGTTTGCTGTGGTTAAACTCATCTGTATCTACTCTGTAGTCAAATTTTCTTTTCCTTCCTATCTCCCTTCCTTTCTCCCTCCATCCCTCCCTAACTTCCTTCTTTCCACCAGGGATTGATGCCAAACCTTCATGCACATGAGGTAATCGAGACTTACTCATATCCTTGAATCCATTTCTGGTTGCATTTTCAGGTTCTCTACTTCATGAGACCAATTATGCCATATGTTGAATTCTCTTTGTTTTCTATCTCTATTATTTCCCCTCTATTTTGAACTTTGTTCTCTTCTTTTGCATTCACTGAGATTATCTCAAGCCTTTCTATAATTTATCACTTGGGAGGGTAAGTTTTATAGGCTACTTTTATGTTGTTAGTCATGTTTTACTTTTTCCCCCCTGGGTTTTTTTTTCAGATAAGGTCTCATTATGTATTCCAGGCTGGCCTCAAACTTGTGATCCTCCTGCCTCTGCCTTCCAAGTGCTGGGATTAAAGATTTACATCCCCATGCCAAAAATTCATGAAAAATTCATGGGGACTTTGTTAACTTCATTACAATTTTGTCTAGACTGGTATTAGCCTGCTCCAGCTGTTCAGAACAGCTGCTATCACTGACTGTCCATGCCCCTTCTAATAACACTACATGGTGTTATTAGAAATTCTCAAGGTGACAAGTATACTTCTTCAGAGGGTGGGACAGATTAGGAGCAAAGTCAAGGTACTTCTTTCTTTGGCTGTCACTTTTCAAAGTGTAAAGCAGGAGATAGCAAACTTTCTAAAAAAGCAGCAGAGCTAAATATATATATTTTTTTTCTCTGTGTGTGTGTATAGCCCACACACAGTCTGGCATATTCTTAGGTCGTTTGTTCTTTATAATCCTTTAAAAATATAAAAACCAGTCTCAGCCTGTGTAGTATCCTAAGACAGCCATAAACTGGGATTCACCTGTGGACTAAAGTTTGCTAACCTCTGGTTACTACTAAAGGGAAATGTTATAAATGTTTAAAAAAAAAAAAAAAGAGGAGATGGAAAGCCAGAAAGTGAATGGCCTGAGGTTACTCTCAAGACTTTGACTTTCACTCTGAACAAAATGGGCAGCCACTGGAGAGATGTGAGCAAAAGAATACACCTAAGTTTGTTTTGGTTTTTTGGAAATCCTGGGGTTTGAAGTTAGCGTTTCATGCTTGCTAGGCAGGTGCTCTACCACTTGAGCCATACTTCAAGCCTCATATTCTAAGTTTTTATGGTATTACTCTGCTTTATTAAAAACAATAGGAAGAGGCAAGGGTGATCAAAAAGCATGACAGTGAAGCAGCAGTGAAGTAGATACTGCACACATTTTGAAGTTAGAAGGACAAGATTTGCCAACAGTTAGCTATGGGGTATGAAAATATGTCAAAGATGGCTCCATATTTTCTGATTTGAGCAGATATAACAATGGAGTTGCCATTTAATGAGATGAAGACTGTATGAATAGATTTGAAGAGCAAGATTAGGATTTGGGCTTGAGGCATGTTACGTTCAAGAAATCTATGGAGATACTGTGTAGATAATAAGAAATAAGTGCTTGAACTTCAGAGAAGAGATATAAATTTGGGGATTTTTAGCAGGTAAGTAGTTAAAACCAGACACTATAGAAGATCTCCAAAAAGACAAGTAAAGACCTAAAGACAAAAGGCCCAAGAACTAATCACCTGAGGAACCAACTAGTTAAGAGCTGAGGAGATGAAGAACCAGTAAAGACTGAGAAGGAGCAGTGAGTGAAATAAGAATCTAGAAGAAGTATGGTGGCCTGGAAACCAGCAAGTCAAGTGTGTCAGAGGGAAAAGTGATCAGCTGCATCAAATGTAGTTGGCAATACTGGATTCAGAAATAATGGAGGTCACTGGTAAACTTCATGCAATGAATGACCTCAAATGGGTTGGAGTATCAGGTGTGGTGGCACACACCTGTAATCCCAGCACTTGGAAGGCAGTCTCATGGCAAGAGGATTGAGACTTCAAGGGCCAGCCTGGGCTATATGTGAGATCCTGTCTCAAAAGTAAAACAAACACACTCAGTTGGGCTAGAATCTGGATTAAGGCATCACAAAGACAAACTGAAGTAGTAAAGCCCAACATGAGGATCCCTTGTTGAGCCTTGCTGAATTTCTTCTAAACTATCATTCAAATCCTAAAAAAAATTGATGAGATGGGTTTAAGTACAGTAAAACTATTAATTCTAAAGTAACAGCTTCAGACAGCTGTTACGAAAAGTCCTGTGCGATCAAACGATGCCATTTACTTTCTTTTTACTTCCAAAAACTAGACTATTTTGAGCTAAGTTAACAACGATGCAAAGTATCTACTGTGCAGCTATGTTATGAACAATGGGAACAAGGCAGTCAGTAAGATACCCAAATCCTACCTTATAAGAACCTTACTATAAAGCTTCAAAACAGGTTTTAAGGGCTAAGTGTGTAGCTCAGGTGATAGTGCCTGCCAAGCAAGTGCAAAAACCCTAGTACTGCCAAAAACAAAACAAAACAAAAACACACAGGTTTTTAAACAAATTATCACAAATGTGATGGATGGTATGAAATAGAAGTGTATGGAGCTATACATATTCCAGTTATTTAATTCTTACAAATGACTGTATCTGCTATAAGATTCTGAAAATGAATGGCATTAAGTACTAATTTCAATTGTGTAGTATAGATAAAAATAATAGTACTATATTTCCAATTATTTCTGACAGTCACTGTCAGTTCATTAGTTTGACAGTGCTGTCCAAATGCCTCTTGAGCCAAATGTAAAGAAATTAATTGGGGGGAAAAAAGGTTAAGCTGGGTGTGGTAGTACCTGATTGTAATTCCAGCACTTCAGAGGCTGTGGCAAAAGGACTGAGAGCTCGAGGCTGTCTCAAGTAAACAAACCAGTAAGTACTATTCCCTTTCAACACTCACCTTGATCACCAAGTACCAAGGCACCAGCTTCCAAAGCAAAATCACCAGAGGAACTGTCTTTTGAAAGCGTTACAGTCAGACCAGAAGTGGTCGTGGTGTTACCGCAGACATACACACCACGTGGTGCAACACTACATGTTGCCTAAAGAAAAAAAAGTTTGAAAGCATCATTCAGAGTAACGGAAATAAGCGCTAATAATCAATTGCTCACAAAGGTTAGCTACAGGCCTCTTAAGATTTTCACTGTATTACCATTATCACCACCAAAGAGGAAGAAATTATCATATTCTAATTCACTCATATAGAAACCAAGACCTACAAAGGGTGAAAAATTAACACAGCTATGAAGGCAGGAAGCTATATGATTCAATCAAACCTAGGCAGTCTGACTCTGGTGTTTGTGGACATATGAACACTGAACACATTTCCATTGTATGCTTCACTTGCAAGTTCAAATAGCAAATCCTGAGTACTAATTTTAATTTTGAAAGTTCCAGCACTTCTTTAAACTTCACCTCTGAGCACACAAGTCATGGCAGATCAGAAAAGTAAATACCACAAAGACTTGAAAGCATACATCTCTGGAGTCAGGCAGACCATTTAAATCCCGGTTCTACCACATTTCAACTATGTGGTACTTGGATCTCACTAAGGCTCAACTTCCTTATATCTTACCCTAGTATTGCCCTGAGGAATAAATGAAATTGTGTATGCAAAGAACTTAAGCTAGTACCCGGAGCATGGTAAGTGTCCAGTGCAAAACCATTGTGTTTGGCTGTGCACTGCTCTGCACCAGGGGATGGTGTTCATGTTGTTTTGTCAGTGCTGTGCTCTGGACTTGTGTAGTGCACATCCCAAGTAAACATATGACGCTGGCTCAATAAACCTATGGTGCTGGTTACTATAAACTTGCAACTCCTTACTTGTTAGTCCTTTTGAAAAATCTTAAAATAATCTGAGACTGGGATAGTTTACTAAATGGTAAGAGGAAAATGAGATTAAAAATGTAAACAGCTCATACCTGTGTTAGCCTAGTTTTTAAAAACCTGGCTTACTTGCAATCTCCTCCACTGTTTACAATGTTTAACTTCCATCAATATCACACCTTTTATTTTTAAATCGAGCCAAGGGTTTTCAAATCACTATTCCAGAAGAAAGGGAAAGAAAAGAAGGAAGGGAGGAAAGGGAGGGAAGGGAAGGGAGGGAAGGGAGGAAGGGAAGAAAAGAAGGAAGGAAAGAAGGAAGGAAGGAAGGAAGGAAGGAAGGAAGGAAAGAAGGAAGGAAGGAAGGAAGGAAGGAAGGAAGGAAGGAAGGAAGGAAGGAAGGAAGGAAGGAAGGAAGGAAGGAAGGAGATAAAAAATATTCTGGGGGGGAAGGGATAAAGAAGAATAAATAAATTCAACTATGATATATTATAAGAACTGTAAATGTCACAATGTGCCCCCCAGTACAACAATAATATGAAAAAAGTATTTTGGAACCATTTATCTGCCTCAAGGCACTTCCTAAAAAAAAAAAAAGATGTACTAAAGAAAATGGAGATTTTATATACTATAAGCAACATGTATAAATCTAATTTTAAGATTTATTTGTATATATATTCAGACACTGTAAGGATTTCAGCATAGTGCCTATACTACACTAATTCAAAAGTCACACACACACACATATATACACACACACACACAAATATACTACAAAAAGCAGAGAAGAAAGCTATAACAATTCAGATTCCCATTCTGCACCTCTCCTGAATATTCTAACTATCCTGCTTTTACTTTTGTGTGAACTTTGTTTCACCTACAACTGGGCACTCTTATGCATCAGTTGTCAGGCTGTTGCAAGGGCTCAGAACACTTTTTTTTTTTTCCTTTTAAATTGGCTCAGCTAACCAAAAGAAACCAAACATGGATGCAATATTTTAATGGAACTAAAATGACTGGTGTAACATTCAACCAATAACTCACACATAAAGGACAGTTGGATGGTAATGTAATGACAAGGTCAAAGCAGTCTCAGTCCTGGCTACACACCAGAATCAACTGCAGAGTATTACATGTATACAGACATTGGATCCTAACTGGGAGGCTCTTAATTTGGTTGTCTTTGGGTTAGCCACAGTATTTTCAAAAAGTTCCAAAGGTGACTTTGATATACAACCAGGGTTCTCAACCCATGGACAAAGACTCAGTAGTCACAGGACTACAACTCACCAAGGGGCCATGAAGCCCTTGGTCTGTTCACATTTTCCATACTATGTTGGGAGGAGGGGGTTCATGGGCATTCTTAGAAAGGACATTGTGGCTGGTTTACCAGGTATCACTCTGAGGATACCATAAGCATTCCAATAAGCACAACTTCTGGAGCCAGAAGTGGTGGAAACACCACTGGGCTGTTTGGCTAAGGCAGAATCTTCCTGGTGACCAACAACTGACTGATCCAAGAAGTTGCTTAATTTTGGATTCAAAGAGAAACAGTGGAGAGGTATACAGATCCCTTATGTTTATCATGTTTATTGATCCCATGATTACTGGACTTATTCTTAAGCCCAATACAGTGCTTACACACTTGTGGGAAGAGAATGAATGCCATGCCTTACTTCCTTATCTATTCCTTAGCTACTGTGTTCACAGCTGAGGTCACAGCACAATAAAAACTAGAAAGTATTGTTATGTATGTACAGCCTGTGTGACACGAAACTGGCTCAATTTGAGAACAGGGTCAGACACTGTACATTACTCACACAAACTCCAACTCAATTATACCACTAGATAAACTAGGTTCTATGGAATACTAGACTCCATGCTTTGAGAAAATTCGCTTACCAATTATTCATATGTTATATAAGCAAAAGGTCAAATATTAAATAACTGATCTTCTACCTGTAGCATCTGACTCTTTCCCAAGCCCGGATCTCCAACGACCAGGATGTGTGGATCTCCTCGAATTGGAATTCTGTTTTTGTCATCTGCATATTTCTGGCTACCTCCAAAGAGTGCTAATGCCAAACCTGCTTTAACAAGCTCAAATGTGAAAAAGGTAAAAATATGATTACTAGCAAAAGAGGTATTCTTTCTTATATATTTACAACATTGATTTGTTTGGGGATTGTGTGTGTACATGTGCTGGGGATCAAACCCAGGATACCTTAGCCAGGAGAGTCAAACATTCTACCACTGAGCTACATCCCCAGTTAAGATTTTTTTGTTGTTGTTGTTCCTTCCTATTATTGCTTATACTCTCTCTTCAACAAAATTAGAGATAAAGGCAAAATAGTTTCTGCTGGGTATTGAGGCAGTGGGGGGTAAGGGAGGGGACGGAGTGGGTGGTAAGGGAGGGGGTGGGGGCAGGGGGGAAAAATGACCGAAGCCTTGTATGCACATATGAATAATAAAACAATAAAAAATAAATAAATAAAAGAAAATGTAAAAAACAAATTATTTATACAAAATATAAACAGATACACATATAATCCTATGATATACAGTTTTGGTTGGGGTTTCAAAAAAAAAAAGATTTTTTTTTAAGCATGATTGAATTTTAACGTTTTTAATAATAAAAATCTAAAACCAAAGTCAGGTATGGTGGTACATGCCTATAATTTCAGCATTTAATAGACAGTGTCAGGGTCAGCCTGGACTACACAGCAAGACCCTATCTCAAAAGACAAAACAAAAAAGTCTAGAAACAAACTTCTATATCATAAGTGATTAAAAAGCAAAAATTTGAAACATATAAAAATCAGAGAAGTGTCTCAGAAATTACTAAGTAAAATCCTATTTTTCAAGGCATCAATCCATTCCACAAAATGGATTTCTACTTGCTGGTTTCCATTTTAATTTAGTGTCCAGTCACTCTAAAAGAAACCCATTCCTTATACTGTAACTAGCAGGCAGCTTTTTCTTATAAAAGGTGCTGTACTTTGTCTCCCACATCATCAAACTTATTAATAAATAAAGACTCAGTAAAATATGAATAACTGGCCCACAAAAATTAGCTATTTTAAGGTATTAATGTTGCCATACTTTTTTAATTGAAGATAAAAGTAAAATACTTACTTCATGACCAAAAATGACAGGGCAAAGGGAGCTGAAAGACAGAATACAACTTATAAATTCTAATTTATACTTTGATCCAAAGATTAACTTTACAAATTTGCTTAGCATGCTTTATTTAGCATCAAAAAAGACAAAAATGTTTAAATCCCCTCAACTCAAGGAATTTTACTCTTACAGTAAATTTATAAAACTTCTTAGTTAATCTATAAAGGGGAAAATGCTTTAAAAACTGTGCCTGCAAAAGGGAGAACAGGATATCTGCAAGGAATCTTTATTAAAGTAACCAAAAATACTATTGATCTTCTGAGAGAATCAGCCTTTAAAATTCACTATAATCATGGTCTTCCACTTTAGGTTATAGGCTTATATTGTACTTTATACAAAAAGACATTGTTAGACTTATATAGTCAAGTCACTAAAAGGAGACTAAGAAGTAAACTCAGTATGAGATATATTAGGATGGGATAATCTTTTCAGTTTAATTCTGAAAGGGTCAGATTAAATAAAAATATGAATATAAAGTATATTTACATTTATCCATTTATAAACAAGGAACAAGCCAAAATGGATGGGGTGGTAGAGATATAATCAGGAGTAAAATGTGAATGTTTATTCCTGTTTAATATATGTAAACACAGAAAAGACTGGTGTCCCGCCCATATCCCCATGGCATTCACTGTTCAGCATACTTCAGTCTCATCACTGCTGGATTCCTACCAAGCACCTGCACCTGTTTGCCAAAGTGCTTTTAATGGCCATAGAAGCCTCATCATTAGGCAGGATGGGCAGGTCAGAAGTGCTGGAGCGCTTCATTTCCTGGGAGTAGCCTCAAATGCAGGCCCTGAGGAGAAGGAATCCTGGGGCTAGTTTTACAGAGTAGTGTTCCAGGGGCCTCAGGAGAATTATGTCCTGGCTACTAGTGGTAACCTGTTCATTAAGGCTGACTGTCATCCCTTCTCTGAATTATTTCTCCCTTCCTCTACCAACATTTCTGGGATCACCTCCCAAATAAATGATGTTTAACCAAATCACCGCTTCCAAAGGAATTGTGTCAGACTGCCCCACTAAAAACTACTTGCCAAAAAAAAAAAAAAAAGGAAGCTGGCCTAGTTTGCCAAGCTACAGATTAATAATGGAAGACTATGAAAATTCTAGTTTTGATGCTGAATTCACAAACATGGGGTGGGGGAGAAAACCAAGTTTTCCATGCTAATTTATCTTCTATGACCATGGCTAAAGAAGGACCACTAAAAATGTCTTAATTTATAATCAAAGAGGGGTTTGCATCCTCAACCAGGCTCTAGGATGGTAGCTTCTTAGACACCTGCCCAGCATACAATCCCACCCTAAATTAGAGTACTCTCTCCCCCAGGGAAGGTGTGGATAACTATTTAGAGGGATGTCTCTGAGGGATTAAAAGCACAGAATCTTGGAGCAACTCAATAATTTCCTCAGTTGGCATACAAAAGCAGAAAGAAAAGTCTCAAATTCTCCTGGATCCCAAAGCCTAGGTAAAAAGGAAAGCATTACAAGATCAATTTTTCTGATGCAAGGCATTTCAAAATCTTCTCAGTTCTTTACCTCACCCTAGGCATATCTATTATTCAGTCTTTTGTTTCTTCCTATTTCTTCAAATTATCCAAAAAATTATCAGATAAGGATCTAATGGCATGGGGGTGTTAATTCTGATGAATATATTATAAAATCCTACTTAATCTTCAGAATAACCTTCTGAAGTAGGTTGAGTAACACGCTTTTTTGTGTGAGATATTAAATATTCTTTATTATTTAGAGGTCAAAAACTTTTTCCTATAAGGAGGCATAGTACAAATAGCGATGAGTGACATATTTATGAATAATGTTTTCTGTTGCTGAAGAGGAAGATAGCCTTAAAACAGGGTTGTAAAACATGGTAAACTGTCAATTAAAAGCTGTAACCTCAAACAGAGCTGTAAAACATGAGGAATTGCCCATTAGAGCCATGCAAAAGTTCAGGATCCAGGTGAAGGGCACCATGCAGAGATAAGCACCCATTCCTGCATTCCTTTGTCTCCACTTGTAAATAAACTTTCCAAAGCAGGACTCCCCTGCTGTTCTTATCTAAACTTTAGGTCTCTAATCCACTACTAGCCCTACTTTATGGGCGAGCACATTCCTTGTTGCCTGATACCCCGCACTGCCTTTTAAATATCCTGTGAATCCTTTGTTCAGGGCTCAGACACAGGTACATGTCTGGGCCCACTAGCGTAAAATTAAAATCTAAGTTCTCTACTCCGAGTGTCGCTTGGTTTCTCCTCTCACTATACTGCCACAACATTACAACTACTCAACTCCTGCCACAACAGTACAAAAAGCAACTATGCTTTTATAGAGAATGAGTATGGCCCAATGTTTCAATAAAACTTTTTATTTATGGACACTGAGACCTGGGTTTCATATAATTTCATGTCATGAAATATTCTTTTGATTTTTTTCAAATATTAAAAAATTTAAAAACCATTCTTGGATTGGAGGTATGGCTGAAGTGGTAGAGCATCTGCTATGTAAGTGTGAAACCCTGAGTTCAAACCCCAGTTCCACCAAAACAAAAAAAAAAACATTCTTAGTTCAAGTCATACCAGAATGGGTGGTAAGTTAGATTTGACCCATGGACTTGTTTGTTGATCATTCTGACTAGGTTTTGTTACTTAACGCCAAGACATGCAGATATGTGGCAAAACTTCAGAGAACTTGATACATACTTGACAATGAGTTTAAACAGGTTTTCTTCAGCTTGAATCTCTTGGATGGCATAAAGGTCTTTAAGTGAGAACTCCATCAATGTTCCGTGCTTACATCCATCCTCCAATTTTGTTTTCTGTCCTTTGCTATTGCTAACAGAATTTGCTTCAATGTATAAAAGGAACATGCACTTGTCATTCTTATTTCGAGAACCTGTAAATTAAAAGTTTTAAGTGTAACAATCAGTATTTTAATTTTCCCTACAATAACTCAACTAGAATGTTAAAGTCACAGTGAGCTACAAATAAACCTTTTATTTCTATTTTATTTTGATTTTGATGAAACTGGGGTTTGAACTCAAGGCCTTATGCTTGCAAAGTAGGTGCTCTACTACCTGAACCACACCACCAGTCCATTTTGCTCTTATTATTTTGGAGATGGGGTCTCAAGAAGTATTTGCCCAAACTGGCCTCAAGCTATGATCATCCTGATCTCATCATCCCAAGTAGCTAGGATTATAGGCATGAGCATCAGCCTCAGGCTAAACCTTTGTTTTAAAGGGAAAGTTCCATCTTACATAATGAAAAAGGTATTCCCTAAATTGAGATTCAAAAGTATCTTATAAAGAGAAAAGGTGAATGCTCACAGATCGTTATTGAAAGACAATCATGAGGAAATAATTATTCCATACCTTCTTCAGCATTTGAGACTTTAACAATTCCAGTAATAGTCACTGTGTCTCCTGGGACACAGCTATCCACAAGGTCATGAACAAGCTCACATTCTATTGTTCGTGGAATCCGACCTGCTTCTCTCTGAGCATCGGACATAAGCTCCTGGATTCTAAGAAGTTGAACGATTTTCAGTTAAAATACATATTTTCAGTTGTTTCTTTGACTATTAATTATTCAGGGTCTACATGGGGTTGAGCTAAATAAAGGGCAGATTCATTTTTAAAAAGTTCAATGGTGCATCTAAAATTACTTCAGCAGTTTCTAATTCAAGATGGTAAAAAGAACACATGTATTTACCTAGCCTCCCTCAGGGATTCCCAAAATAAGAGTCACTAAGTGTGAAGAGAGATTTGGAGGCATGCAGGTGTCATCAGCAAATGAAGTATTAGTGACATTTTTGAAAACAGCAAATGGGAAAAGTACTCATGGATAAAACAAAATGAAGTCCAGAATACACACAAGCAAAAATTACAAGGGTACAAGGAGAAGTGGCAGCCAGTGTACTCAGTCTAAGAAGCTCCCAATTTTCAGGAGGCAGGAATAGAGAGTAAAAAGAAAACAAGATAATCAACTAAAAGGCAACAGCTGTTTAGATTTTTTTGGAAGGCAAATGAATAGCCAGATAGAGAAAGAATGAGCACTATTGTATGGAAGTGGAGCTATTCCCTCTACAGCTGAGACTCAAAGAGAGGCTATCAGGGCTCCAGAATAAAGTCTCCTCATTCTGACACATGAGGAGCCCAAATCAATTCAAAAACACATTTTTAATAGTAAAAACTCCTACTCTCTTATTCATTGGTAAGGACTTAGGAGGAAAAACTCCTATCTACAAAATAGGAAAGGAATCCTACCCCATCTAATCCAAATAATTCTCAGCAAACTTTGCAGAGTGAAACAGCAATAATTCAGGGAAAACATTTAAAACAAAGAACTGTGTAAAAGTTTTGAGAAAATGTTGCCATTGTAAACAAAAGCTCCTATGAGAAAGGAACTATGAGAAAACAAATTTGGAATCAGAAAGTTAAAAATATGTATATAAAAATCAAAGTTTATAGGAACGACAGAAAAGGCAAAAAAAAAAAATTAGAAAACAGCATAAAGAAAATGAAAGGGTGAGGCAAACACAAACAAGTAATGCTTGGCATACATCTGTCAGGAAGCTCCAAAAGAGAAAAGTCATGTATTATGCAGTTGACAACTCTAGGACAAAAGGATCCATCTGTGTCAAGGAGGGGGAAGACATCACTGGATATAACCTCACCATTTCAGAACACCAGAGCTAGAGATCACAAAGAGAGGGAAAGACCAGTTCCCTCAAAGGAATGAGAATCAGACCTGTCATCAACAGCAGGAAAGATTTTAACAAAATAGACTTCAGTAGCCAGGCAAACTCTTACCCCCATTAAGAAGCAAAGACATTTCCAGATATGCTAAGGACCCAGAACATTTTACCTCCTGTGAACATTTTCTGAAAATTTACTTGGTAATTCATCTAGAAAAAACAAATTTAGAATCTTCAAAACTAGAAGACAAAGCCCAGGTAAATAGAAGGCCTAATTCCAACAGTGCGTTGAAGAGAGCCCCAGGGTAAAGCAGGGCTGCAGGTCTAGAGAACAAGTGGCCCAGATTCAAGTAGAGCACAGGAAGATGCATTTTTTGGTTTTGTTTGTTTGCTTGTTTGTTTTAAATAAAAGCCGGATTCCATGCATTCAATAGTATATTTACATTCTGAATATGTCTCCTGAGAGGTTATGAGTTGGGCCAGAGATGGGGCCTATCTTTGCTCTGACTTCCAGTTTCTCCACATGATCTCTCCCTCTGGCATGCCTCCTGCCACTGTGGTGCTATCTGCTGCTAGTTAGTGATGTAGTCAAGGGGGCCTTTGCCAGAATCCTCATTACAATGTTGGAATTACAGCCTCTAAAACTGTAAGCTAAATAAATCTCTTTTTTTTTTATAAGCTCCAGCTTCAGGTATTTCACTATAGTAAAGAAAAATAGGTTACTACAGAATGGAAAATCATGGTGAAATGATGAAGACATACAATAGGAAAAAAACATCATTTAGAAACCTCAGGGACTGGAGGTGTGGCTCAGTGGTACAGTGCCTGCTTTGCAAGTACTAAGCCCTGAGTTCAAACCCTAGTCCCACCAAAAAAAAAAAAAAAAAAAAGTTACCTGTAAAATAAATAATAATTTTAACTAAAATTAGGGATTGGGGGTATGGCTCAAGTGGTAGAGTGCCTGGCTAGCAAGTACAAGCCCTGAGTTCAAATCCCAGTACCACCAAAAAACAAATAAACAAAAAACCCAAACTAGAAACCTCAGGAAAAATAAAGTGCTAAACAACAAAGTTACAGTCCACACACAAAGCACATTAAAATAGGATAATGCTGAACAACCAGTGGAGTATATCATCATTTGACCGATGCTTGGATCATTTTAATTTAAGTGACAAAAACAACAAAACCAAACAAGCCATAAATTATAGCTCCATTTCTTGAAATTTGATTCCCTTTACTTAGTTCCCTGCTAAACAACATTTACATTATCATAAAATACAATATTGGCCAGCCTTGTAATCCTATCTCTTAGGAGGTAGAGATCAGGAAGATCTTGGTTCAAGGTCAGCCTGGGCAAATAGTTCATGAGACCCTATCTTGAAAATACCAGACATAAAACAGGGCTGGTGGAGTGGCTCAAGTGGTAGAGCGCTTGCCTAACAAGTCTGAGGCCCCGAGTTCAAACGTCTGAGTTCAAAAAAAGAAAATACTATTTGTTGTTTTTGTTAGACATAATCTATAAAAGAGAAGAAACTGTGGTTTGAAAACAGAAAATATACCTTGACAATTTAAAGTAACATTGGAACTCAGAAAGTCTAGAAGTAGACGACATGAAAGCAAACACAGCATCTCTAATGTTCTCTATTTACATAGAGAGGATGAATTTAGTAAAGCAAGGAAAAAAAAGAGACGAAGAATGTTATCCAAAATTATGTTATAAGGTAGCAGGAAGTGGCAGGGAATGTGACTTTCTATAATAATTGAAATTCTTTTTCTTGGTGGTCTTGGGTTTGAACTCAGGGCCTCAAGCTTGCTAGGCAGGTGCTCTACTACCTGACCCACTCTGCCAGCCTAATAATTGAGTTTTTAAAAACATTTATTTATTTTTATTGGTCTCTTTTATCATAGAGCTTTTACTTGTCCAGGAAAAATTTATTTTCTTTTTTTTATTCTCCTTTTATTTTATCATTTTTACATTTACTTACATGGGTATACATTGTGCCACCTCCCCACCACCCCCTTTTTAACACATTTAAATGTTACATTAAACATTTTCATTTATTTAAATAATTAATATAAATGTGATTGTTGAACATTAAAATACTAACTTTGAAATATTCCTTATACATCTCCCATGCGCTACAGGAAATAGCCAGGCACCTGCATCTATCATCTGCATGACCTCAAACCTTGCTCCATGGTTAACCACTGCCTTTCACTCTCAATACATATTCAAAAACTAGCAGAGTTAAATGAAAAGTCTTAGAATGACACATGTCCAGATGACTGTGCTGTAAAACATTAGATAACCATCTGATGACCATCTAATGTTCTTTTCTTATTAAAAGAACATGTATTTTTCTTTTTCTTTTTTTGCAGGGGGTGTGGTTTTCTGAGATAGGGTCTTGCTATATAACTCAGGCAGGCCTTAAACTTGTGATCCTCCTGCTCCAACCTCAAGAGTGCTGAGATTAGAGGTGTGCACCACCACACTTGGCAAGAACATATACTTCTATGTGTCCCTTTAGAAAAATTTTAAAACACAAGATAAACAGAAGGAAGAAAATAACAATGGCTCTCACCTCCCAGACAGTAAAAAAATGATATGTTTTTATATTTCTTACCAGTAATTTAAAAAAGATTTTTCAGAACATAAAGCCAAGATTATACATTCCTATGACCTGCTTTATCACTGAATACATTTTATACATATTTTGGTTGTTACTTAAAAATATTCTCCTACACCACCACTTTTAATGGTCATTCAATAATCTACTTTTACCATGCTCCTTATAATTTTCTTCAGATGTTTTAGGCTGTTCCCAATTTTTTACCAGCACTATGAAAACATATTTTCTGTAAACTACTTCTGGACATATGACTGTTTTCTTTAGATGAACTTCTAAGAACAGAGACTGCTGGAACTGTGAAGCTTTAACATTCTAAGGCCACCATCTTAATCCAACAAGAGTTTCAAGGCATTAGTTGAGAAACAACAACTCAATTCCTATGGGCATGCCAAGCTGTCTCAGAAAGTAGAAACTAAATTTACCATATAAATGGCAAAAAGAAGAATTTTCTTCTAAGGCAAAGTCACTTATCTATAGAAGAAATTACTAGTATCATTGATAAAGTTTTGCTGTAACTCACTTAGAATATGAGCAATACCTTACTTTTAAAGATTCAAGAAAAGGACTTATTTTTATTTATTTACTTTTTCTTTTGTGTGATGCTAGGGATGAACCTATGGGCCCTGTGCATGCTAAGCAAGCATTCTACCACTGAATAACATTTCCTGCCCAAGAAAAGGATTTAAATAGCCTGTTTTCAATTGTCTACCATTAAGTATGATTTCCCAATATCAGAAGATCATCATTCAAATCTAATTAAAATACTTACGCCTATTTTCTTATCTGCTATTTTTATCTAAAAACAAAGAGATTTTGATCAAATAGTTAAATTGCCCTGGGTCTTCTCTGCGTTCATCCAACTGTGAACCCTGTAGAACTCTGATGCCTTCATCTCCTATTAGGCTGTACCACTCACAGGGCACACAATCACATTCAAGAGTCTTAGCACCTCCTCTTTTATAAAGCCAGGTGCTTGTAAAGAGCTCAGCATATTACACAATACTTATTATATATGTTGGTCTTGGTTTTTAACAGGGCAGAAGTGGGTGGACAGGGCACAGTAGAAAGCTACTTTTCCCTAGGTTCTTAGTTTTTATGGACCAGGCTTCCTAGAGAGCACTCTGACTTCAAAACTACCTGTCAGTAGCTGGGTGTAGTGGAACATCCCTATAATTCCAGTACTTAAGAGGCTGAGGCAAGATGATATTGAGTTTGAGGACATCCTGGGCCACACAGGCCCTGTATATACAAAAAAAAAAAAATTATTTTGTATTAAGGGATAAATTATGGGCCTATGCCCAGAAAAAAAAAAATGGAATAAATTAGTGGATGAAAAATACAGAGTGAAAACTACCTGACTTGGAAAAAAAAATTTTAAAAAACTTAAAGCCTATAGTAAATAGTATAAAATGCCTAGTGGACAGTGAGGAAATGAAATTAAATAGATCCACTTTGAAGGGATTCTTCATCTCAAAACTTCAATATTATTTCTATCACAACTCATCATGGAATGAATTATAGCTTTGTTTATGGCCTACATTCAGTTCAATGAATCACATAATTGATATATAAAATGGGCTATTTCTCAGTAGTGATAGTATGAAGCATCCTTCCTGGAATATGATAGAGAATAAATTTCAAAAAGGTTAATTATTTCAACACATAAAATCCTTACCAAATAAACTTTTACTATGTATTTTATCATTGTTTACAGTATAACATAGTAAAATTATAGAATTTACACAGCAGTATAAGAGACCCCAAAACCTGCCTTTTATTTAACAATTTGACTGCTTACTTGATGGACTGCCAGTCCATTGTAACTGTGAGAGGAGAGCTGCGAAGAGGAGCAAATGACTTCCCATGACATTCAGGCACAGGACACTGCAAAAGAGTAATTCACATTCAGATTTTGATCTACTGTAATCATATCTCAGGAAAATTCAAGTTACAATACTTCATTAAAGTACAAACACTAAGAGCTATAATGACTCTTTACTTCCTTCTACAACGGTTTGATACCACGAGGTTTTGAGGACCTTTTCTAGCTGGTCCCTCTCCAATTGTGTCTGCTGTGGGCACACAAGTCTCCTTGCCCACCTCTCACACTATGCACTTGTTTCTTCCTCTGTACTAATGCAGCCTCCCACTCTTTGGGCTCTTTGATCCCTCTCCTACAGTCCCAGATACTCAGCCCCAATCTTCTCCCATTCAAAAGGCGTTTTCTAGGCCTTCTTTAATCTCCCACTCCCATTCAGTCTCCTTTTGTACTGTTTTTATGGTGTATTTACTGTACCACACAAACAGTCCTCAACATGTAAGCAAATTGTGTTCAACTTTCATACATCAGTTGTTTGGACCTCAAGATGCATTTGTAAACCCAGACATTGTGGCAGAATGTACTTTCCAATTGTACTGCAACAATATTCCCCTCAAACTTTTCTAGAACTCTTCCCTCAATCAAGAGATGGAGTCTAATTCCCTCTCCTAAAATCTGGGTAGACTTGTGACTCACTCTGTAATCAAGAAACTGTGACAGAAGTCATAATGCATGACTTTCAATGCTAGCTTACAAAAGGCAAAGCCATTTCTGCCTATCAACTGGACCTCCTAGTCTTGGAGCCATCAGCAACCATATGAGCAAAGTGGTATCAATTACATTATTCTCTGCACTTTTTTTATAGTTTTAAAATCTACAGTTAAAAAAAAGTCAGTATAGAGAAAAAGAACAAAACATGTCATTTCCTAATGGTAGAAGGAATAAGCAAAAGAAAACTTGATGTGTGTTATCTATTAAGTAAAAGGAAAATAAATATGAATGGAAAAGATGCACAGTAACTTAGGATAGTAATAGACTCTGGAAATGCTATAAGCAAAGGGTTAAAAAGAGAAAGTGATGCTCTATAAAAACACAATGGAGCTGAAAAATGTAAATTCTGGCTGGCAGGTAGAGGAATGTTTATTTACTTCTGTATTTGCTGTACCCTGAAGTATTTCATAACTTAAAAAAATAAAGAGAAGCTCTGTGTTCAGAACATTGGAAATTGTTCTCTGTGAATTGATTAGCCTTCATTACCAAGATAAATAAAGAGGCAGTTAAAGAATATATCACCTTTGTGGGAAGACTATATTTTCCATCTGGAAGAGAAAAACTCTGAACCTCTCCACATGCAGCACAAAGAAAAGCCATCTTGGTGCAAAGAGGCTTTATGTTACTAACTCGAACCACTGTCCCTCTAAGAGCAATGTATTTTCCATAGTAATTTGCTCGGACATTCTTGAGTTGTGTCAAGGGCTCATAGTTGTACACCCTAAAAATAAAACAGGAACATATTTGTGAATTTACAATGAACAGGAAGTTAAGGATGTCTGTATTTTTACATGTTTCTTTTAGGAGCAACTATGGAATTGTACCTTTACGTATAAGAAATTTTACAAGAAATAAATTATTCTTTCTTTTTGAACTCAGGGCCTACACCTTGAGCCACTCCACCAGCCCTTTTTTGTGTTGGGTATTTTCAAGAATGTCTCGCAAGCTATTTGCCTGGGCTGGCTTCAAACTGTGATCCTTCTGATCTCTGCCTCCTGAGTAGCTAGGATTATAGGCATGCTAAGAATTAAATTATTCTCAAAAATAAAAAATGTTGAATCTTCCCTTTTCTTAAAGCATAGGCCACTATCTAGGGAAAAGGGAGTGGTTAAAAAAAATGTCAACAGAACCACTGGGTTCTAAATTCTTTTCAAAGAACTGATAGGAAATTTTTCCTATCTCCTACAAATTTTGGAAAAAAAATAAAACCCTGATGATTTTCTTATTTACTTCAATGAATCTGAAATCTTAAAATACAACAAAGATGAATTCAAGAAAAATAATTTCACTTATTCTTTTGTATCCAGCAGAAAACTAATAAGGTAACAAAGTATATGTCACTCTGTGTATTACAAGGAGTATTAAATTTATACATCAGTCTTGGTAAGTACTCATCTGCAACAGTGTTTACAAAAATTTTTATGCTGGGAAATCAATTTATTTGAGCAGAAAATGTTGATTTCTATCATTTTCTCTTGGAATGACTTTCAGTGGATTCACTTTGGTATGATTATTACCAAAGAACTCATACCATTTTTATTGATTTCCTTGTTTCTATAAAATTAAGTTCTCATCCTTCAATTCCCCTTCTAAATAATATCAGCAAGAGCTGGGTGCCTATGGCTCATGCCTGTAATCTTAGCTACTTGGGAGACAGAGATCAGTAGGATCGTGGTTCAAAGCCAGCTTGAGCGAATAGTTCATGAGACGGTATCCCGAAAAAACCCAACACAAAAAGAGCTGGTGGAATGGTTTAAGTGGTAGAGCACTTGCCTATCAACAGTTTAAACCCCAGCTCTGCAAAATAAACAAACAAATAAATAAATAAGTAAATAAAACCAGCAAGTTTCTCACCTTGCATAAATGTGCGGCACATTTACCATTGTTTCTCCATCACTAGACAATCCTTCTTGGGCTTGTAATTCAGCTGCATGCCTTTCGAGGTCCTTAGTCAGTATCTAAACAGGACAGACACTCAAAAGTTGAAAATAAAATATTCTCATTAAGCAGAACTCTTTTATAAAGAATCTAAAGTTTATTAATACAAACAGTTTAAAACAAAACACAAAATAAACAAGTCTAATAGCCTTTCAAAAGTCTGATATTTAATTATGACTATTTATTTTACAGTGGATTATTTGACTTGGGACTTTAGTGTCCCCTGCACTGGAAAATTCCAACATTCCTATCTGCTACATTTTGTCCTAAATAAACTTAGCATTAAATCCTTAGAAAACAATGGGGTGGGGGGTTGTCCTTAAATTGGAGCTGGGCATGGTCCTTCACATCTGTAATCCCAGCATTTGGGAGGCTAAGGCAAGAGGATTCCAAGTTCTAGGACAGCCGTGCCACACAGTGATAACCTATATTTTAAAAAGCCCTTACAGTAGTCTGCATAGCCATTACAGCCTGGGTTCCACTAATAAATGCTTTTCTACTCCTCCATATTCACTGAATAATCATGATGGAAAAAACAAAGACAACCTTTAAAATATCCAATACTAGCTCCCTTGGCATTTAACATTAAATATTTAACACTTACTTATATACAAAACAATACGCTGACAATCTAAGGCAAAATAGGATACATATGCCCAGTTAAAATTGTTGTAAGGGCCATAGAGATTTACAGACAAAATACAATGTGAATTTTGAAAAGGGGTCATAAGAAAGGTTTTACAGACAGACAATGAAATTGGACCCACAAGAATTTAGATATGTAAGGTGAAGAGAATTCTATGTTGAATGGACAGCATGAGCAAAAGGCAGCATTTAGATAATACTAGAGGATCATATAGAACGAAGGAGAGCAATAGATAGATGAAGTTGAGTCACATCATAAAAAGCTCTCAATGCCATATAAAGGGTTTAGATGTCATTTAGTAGAAGCAGTGACCACAGTTTCCAAGGAAAGATTTTTTACAAAGGCATAATGAAGGCTTAGCTTAAGAGAGGCAGTAAGGATAGAAAGCAGTGAACTTAAGAAACACTTTAGAAGAAATGAAAGATAGGCACGTATAATCTCGGCTACTCAGGAGGTAGGTCCAGAACAAAAAAAAAGTTAGCAAGACCCCATCTTGCGTGGTGGCACACACCTGTGATCCCAACTACACAGGGAGCATAGATAGAAGGATTACAGTTCAAGGCCGGCCCTAGGCAAAAATGTAAGACCCTATCCGAAAAATAACTAAAGCTAGAAAGGGCTGGGGGTGTGGCTCAAGTGCTAGAACACCTGCCTAGCAAGCAGGAGGCCCTGAGTTCAAATTGGGATTTGAACATGCACATTTTTAAAAAAAGAAATAAAAGAATGTGTTTGCCTGGATATGATATAATAATGAGATGAATGGGCCTGAAGACAAGAGGCCAGCTTCCCAGCTTAGCGTTCTTAGCAGTGTACATATTTGTGTAATGAACTGTTCCTTGCACCTACATATCCTTAAGTCTCCTGCTGTGTCTAAATTCTGGCTACTTGCTCAAGACCTATCAAAAACCAACTCCATGTCTTCCTCTGAGCTTTCTCCATTCTTCTCCAGAAAATGTCTTACGTTTGCCTCCGAATAAACCCAGTACTTTATCTGTGCCTGTCCTGAGATTTATCTCCTTTACCTTGAATCATTTACCTGTTTGCTAGTCTAAAAAATGCTTTCACTTTGTTGTGTCATCTGACCCTGAGAAAACTCAGGCAAACACAGATACATTATTTCCATCTTATATATGGGACAGTCAGGGAAATACAGTGATTTGCCTCATGCCATAGAACCTAGATCTGAGATTGGTCTTTTGTTCCAAGTTCATAACTCCCTATGAGATTGGATAGTTCCTCAAAACCAGGGTTTAATTTCTGTACCATCTTTAATGAGATTAAACTAATTCAAGTAAGTTAGAAATAAGTGTTATATTTAGATAGGCTGTTGTATATGGGATGAATGGTATCTTTTAGGACAAGATTGCAGCTTCTCAGTTCTAGCCAATATCTGTTTGTTAAAGCTAAGTACCTTTTCAAGTACTGACACGGTAAAATCTTCCTTTAAAATTCTAACAAATATTTACCTGATGTATTGCCAGACCCATGCAAGCCAAGGTTTTCTCAGGTGCATCCCTTAGTTCATTTGCTATATTTGATATCAAATTAGTTATTTCATCATCTTTTGTTAGTTCTTTAAAATCCACCAAAATACTTCCCTTCCTTTCTATTTCATCCTATAAAAAAAAGTTAAGGCTTGAAAAGAACAATTCCTTTTATGGAGTCAATTATAATAACTGAGCATTCAATTATGTACTTTGAGAAGGCATATGATGTTTATATGGTAATAATGGTAAGTACTGTATCAGCTTTGTGAGAAGCATGGTCTTAACACTTTAAATATATTAATGTAGTTAAACCTTTGAGGTAGGTATTTCTACTATTGTCTCCAAGTGATAGATGAGAAAACAGGCTCAGATTAGTATTTCACTAAAGTACACACTGCAAGTAAATGGCGGAGTTGGGATCTGAACACAGGCAGTCTGACTTCAGTGCCTCAAATATACTGTTCAGTTAGCTGACACATAAAGGTGGACAACTAAATGAATCTTACCTTATCGTATAAATCAATATGCCTTGTGAAAAATTTTTCAAATGCTTGAATCTTCTCAATAAAAGGAGAGCTATCCCTGTAAACTAACCCAACAAATACAGCATTAACACTAATAATCACATATTTACAAGCATATATAGCCATGAGACAGAAGAAACACTATAAATGTGGTAGATTTTTTTTTTTCCAGTTGCATCCTGGTTACATTTAGATAAGAACTGGTGTTAAAGCATACTTAAGATTCTAAAACAAGTTAGGTCTGCATAATCTGAAATGCAAACAGGAAGTGTCTCTCTCTAAAAGCCCCAATATCTGGGAAACTTGGTATTGAGTCTCAGATACTTAATAGGACCTATCAGTTCAAATAACTTACACAATAAGCTTAAAGCAAACATAATGAAGTCAAAGCCAGACACAGAAACTAAACTCTTATTTTCAAACAGAGCTAAAAACAATCATACTCTTTGCAAAGTGAATTCTACCAGTCCAAACTGTCATTTGTCAAACTCCTTCCTAAGATCTGGAGAGACCAATGCTTAACACTGATCTCAAAACTATAAAGCTGTATGTTTTTATATCCTAAGGTTTTGTAATTTTTTCAAATTGGCCTTTCACAGAGAAGCAGTATAATGAAGTAGTTTGGAAGTACAGCTGAGTCAAACCTAGGGCTAACTCAAAGATCACTCATAGTGTAGTGTTCTTAGCTAACTGCTAGGAAAATAATGCAAATGTTGATGGCTAATTCATCCTAAAGCAACAAATGAACACTTAGGAAACACATCTATTTAATAGGAAAAACAGAAACAAGACTCCCAATGTGAAAAGCATTTGTAAAGTATTTTATTCATTAATGAAATGAATACCAAGTGCTAGGTATGGGGCAGGGTCCTAGACCTCAAGCAGTATAGTATAGTGGGGAAAAAACCCAGATGTGTGTGAGCGCATGTAGCAAGAACAATACCCATACCGCCTAAGAGATGTAATGAACATAGATTCTATAAGAGTACATAAAAAAAATAGTTCCCTATAGCTTTATATACAGATGTATGATATTGGTTGATGTTCTTGATCATCACAGAGAGTTCCTTAACTATGTTTCTATGCACACCTGTGCTGGTTACTCGCTTAGTTCCAAGTCCATCATTCTGTTTTGTTCTGTAGTATGATTGAGATCTGCACCCTATACTTCCCACACTACCTTTAAATTCTGCCAACTGGAGGCACTCTAGAAACTGGAAGGTGGCAGAAGTGAGAAAGGAATTTATTCTTGTTTCCAATTCTTTATAGCACCTCTGTAGTTGCACAGGACGTGTATCATTTTAGCCTCCACATAACACCTGAGTCATGTCCCATTATCATGAACAACCAGCTTCATTCACCTCTGTGGTCTAAGGATAACTTTCAGGGACCCAAGCACAGCTTTGTAGGTGCCCCTCACCTTTGAATTCCTACATTCTGGTAACCTTGGAATTTCTTAATTTTCGTTCCCTCAACCATAGGGAGGTAACTTCAGGACCAGTTTCCTGAATTTACTGCTTCAGGAACTCAAAAGTTCTTCCCTTTCTGCTCTTTGGGTCTTCCACCTGTACATACAATTTCTTATATTAAATCCTTTTTCGAAATACCTAGTGTGGTTTCTGTTTTCCTAACCAATATAAAGCTTTTTTTTATTTGTTTGGAAGGGGTATATTGCAGTAAGTTAAATGAATTATAGTAGCAACAAGTTAACAAATATATAATTTGTGGCAGTTTTTGTACTTTTAACTCTACCTTCAGAGAAATAAAGCTTCCAGCCTTTATATGGTATGAATTGATGCAATGTTGACTGTAGTAAAGGCTGTGGGGTTTGTCCTATTTTAAAAAAAAAAAAAAAACATATTAATAAAAACAAAGTCATTTTTCCTAATTTTTCATCTTTCAACAATAAGAATCTTATATGACATTAATGGCATCTACAATAGAGGTTTCAGTAGGAATTTTGAATTTTAACTTTCAAATACTTGCACAGGAGTAAATGCTCATCAAATGAGAGTCAGACTTGAGTTTGAATTAAATTGCCTTGGCTGCTAGGCATGAACTGCTTCTTCATGAAGGAAAAAAAAAAATTGACAATCATTGACCTCACCTACCAGAAGCATATTTTCCCACAGTTTTACTCAAGTCAGGTCTGTGTTCTCTTGTTCTCCATTTTCCTGAGAAGTTTCTACCACCTCTTCCTTTTTTCCAGCTTTGAAATCGTCCTTGTCCAAATCCTCTGCCTCTATACCCTCCACTCATATCTTCCAAGAGATACCAAAAGAAGAAAAAACCAAAAGGCATTACCAAAACTGGAGAAATAGTGCTCCTAAAAATTTATTAATGTAAGCTGGATTCATGGTGGTTTACCCCTGTAATCCCAGCTACTCAGGAGGCAGAAACTTAGGCCAACAGACCAAAGAGTTAGCAAGACTCCCATCTCAACAAACAAGCCAGGTGTGGTGGTTCAAACCTGTACTCCCAGGTATGTGAGAGGCCTAGGTAGGAAGATCTCAGTCCAAGGCCAGTCAGGCAAAAAGCACCAAGACCCTATCCGAAAAATAACTAAAGCAAAAGGGGCTTGGAGTGTCGGAGAGCTCTTGCCTAGCAAATGGGAGGCCCTAAGTTCCAACCTCACTATTGCCAAACAAAAGTATACACGTGGTAAAAAAAGGGAAATTACTGTATTCCATGTTTGAAACTAGCATAAAGGCTTGTAAACTTGCATACTATGCTATAAAACCCAAACATTCTGCAGTTATCCTTTTAATCCTTGTCCTTTTATGTGTGTGTGTGAACTCAGGACTTCAAACTTGCTAGGCAGGCACTCTACAGCTTGAGCCACGTCTCCAGTCCACCTTGCTCTGGTTATTTTGGAGATGGGTTCTCACCAACTATTTGCCTGGGCTGGCCTCGAACAGGGATCCTTAGGCACCGATTTTTAAGCCCTAATCGTTTTTTAAAGTATACTATTGATGCTCAATTAAAGATACTAAATGCTCATGTGATAAGAAAAAAGGGAAAGATACTGCATTGTACCAGTTTTCAAGGAGCCACCATGATGAAAATTATAAAAAAGATAACTTGTTTGCAGCACTTGTGACTTATGATAAGGGCAGTACTGGCTGAACATTATCCTGACCTGTGAATTGCATCATCATCGTTCCTTACATTCTCTCAATCCTGCAGTGTCATACTGATTTTCTGTGCAATTTTTTTGGAACCTAACACTGTTCTAAAAAATTATTTAAAAATTCATATCTTATGTATACAAATAAGAAAAATACTCATACACCGTAGTGCAAGTCATTACAAGAGGGTCTACCGGAATTTTCACTTAAAGGAATTTAGGTAAGTCAGTAACTTAAAAGTTTCACAATTAGGACAGGACTGTGATCAGAAGAATCGCGAGTTCGAGTCTAGCATGAGCTACATAGCAAGCCCCTGTTCCTCAAAACAACCGAAAAAGAAACCGAAGCCCAGAGCAATCAAGCAAAGTGACCAAAACTGTTTGGTGACAGTCCAGAGATCAAAACTCTGTTTTCAGCCTCCCAAGCTGAGGCGCTCTATTGGCAATGCTATTGCCATACCCTTCTCAAACGAGATAATATGGTGAGAATAGCCACTAATCCAACGCGAACGTAAGGGGAAGAGGAAGAGTCACCAACAGCCAGCTGTGCTTCGTTAAATTCCCTACTTTATTTACGCCTCCTCAGTCGAAGCTCTTCCTGGCACGAGAAAGAGGTCCCCAAGCCTCCCAGGTCACGCCTGAATGTGCTCGGACACGCACGATTCTGTCGCCCACACCCAGCTACAAGGAGCCTCCAGTGCCTCGGACGACCCCCGCTAGGTCTCGCGGATCCCTTCCGGCTCAGAGCTGCCGTTCACCGCGGCTTAGAACACCGCAAAAACACCTCAAGGTACGGTTCACTTTTCCCTCTAAATTCTCTTTTGGCGCTTCTGTGACGCAACTTCCGTCCAAGGGAGCGGCCAGACGGAAGGGGCGGGCGTAGTGTAGCCAATGAAAGAGTTCGGCTAAACGGACGTCGCGAAGCTCTCGGAAGCGGTCAAGGCGTTCAGACCGGAAAGCGGAAGCGGCGCGCGGCACGTGGGGGCGGTGCCGGTCGTAGGGCAATTAGGTCCCTCCTAGTTGAAGGAGGTGAGAGTGGCTGTGGCGACGGTGGGGAGGGGCAAAGCTCTGGGGTCCTGGAGGGACGTCGCGAAGCACGAAGACCCAGCGAGCATCATGGAGAGCTCAGGGGAGCAGCCGAGCCCACCACAGCCTCTGCATCCCGGCGACCACCGCATCCACGACGGCGACTTCGTGGTGCTGAAACGCGAAGATGTGTTTAAAGCAGTGCAGGTGCAGCGCAGAAAGTAAGTCAGGTTGCTGGCCTTGGGGGTCGCCCGCCCCCCACGTAGGTGCTCTCTTCAGGATCTTCTCATAGGCCCGACCCCTCCCTGTAGGGTCTATTCTTGGCTGCCTGGATTCCCCCTCCTTCGTCCTTGTTGTCTCCGTTTGGACCTTCCTGTCATCTAGGCATTTTTCACGGTGATCCTTTCCCACCGTAGGCTCTCGGGATCTTCTCTGCCCTTTCTGTCTTCCCACAAAGCCCCACTGTATAGTATCATACCCAGCCCTCTACCTTCAGCATTCTTTTCAGACTTGCCACAGAGTCCCTTCCCCAGAATTCCATTCTTGGTCCTCGGGTGCCCGGATACAAACAACCCCCCACCCCTCGGCGTGGGTTCTTCTTCTAGGTTCTTAGGATCTCCATGTTCTTAAAGAAACACCTCTCCCCGCCCCCATTCACTTTGGAATCGTTTCATTGCCTCTTACTCTCCTACCAGCTCCCACTTTTCCCCATAAATCCTCCTTCCTCCCGAATTCCTCAGTCAGGACGAGTCTCAAAAAACGTGAGAACTCTTCCACCTGGTCTGACTTCTCGCAGGCCTCTTCACCCTATCCAAATGAAAATACCTATATGGAATAAGAAGAGGAGACAACTTCCCATAGAGTGTAGGGGGGAGGAAGGGGGATCCTTATTGTACACCAAGGTGGTCACGGTCCAGGAAAGTTGAACTGCTCAAAAACAGCTTGTGCAGGTCTCAAAAATTGAAATTAGGTTTAGTGTGTTAACCTGAAGACTAATACCACTGTTTTAGTACTAGAGATGTGAGATTTTGATAACTTTATGGCAGAGATGGTGACGTTATTAAATCCTAATAGCTTATTAATGGTGAGAACGTATTGGGATGTTTAGGTTAATTTATGCGAGACCAACCAAGTTTTCTTTTGAGCTGGGTTGTTATGTTATTCTTGTTTGTTTGTAGCAGTGCTGGCTCTGTAACCCAGGGCCTTATGCATGCTAGGTAAGTGCTGTACTATTCAGCTACATCTCCAGCCCTGTATTGAAACAGTAAGTTGAATGCAGTGTCAGACCAGAAAAGCTAGGCATTATGAACTTGAAATTTCTGGTAAATGCTCATTTCAGATAAAAAAAATTTTTACCATTTTTGCATCAAATAATTGACTAGTATTTAAAGTGAAGCAGGAAACATTAAAAATTAGTCAAGTAACAGTCCCCAAAGCATCAAGCTGGTGATAACCAAGTTTTTTTTGGTTTTTTTGGTTTTTTTTGCACAAGCAACAATTTGGTAAAGAAAAAGTTAAAAGGGAGTATGTTTCTTCTAGTGGAGAAATGGAATATCTTCAACTTTTTAAGCTTTTTAAAATTCCCCATTGATTAAATTTTATTTCCTTTTGATGTTTGAAATTAGAGAAATAACTGTCTGTCATCACTATTGTATTTGTGTGTTCTTGAAGCTAGTGTTTTTTCTTTTCAGAATTTTTCGTTAGAAATTCTGTGCTTGCTTCCAAGTACATAATTTTTGGAGTTTGTCAATACTAATTATTTAACCTTTTAGTTGAAGTCTAACACAGTGCAGCAGAGTTCTTAGATTATAGGTACATAGTTCCATGAGTAAGCCCAATGTTACACATCTGTGTAATGAACATCCAAGAGTAACTTTTTCTTTTTCACATTGTTCTTGTAAGTTGCTTTATTTTCTTTTCTCTCACTCTTCCTCCTCCCCTTTTTTTCTTTGAGACAAAGTCTGTATAGCTCAAGATAGCCTTAAATGGCAGTCCTCTCCCTCATATGCAGACATTAGATCCACATTAGATATGTGGACTTTGATCACATGATATAAAGTGAGAGCACCCAAGGGAGGTATGAAGATAGGTAAGACACCTAAAAAACTAGATAGCATTTGTTGCCCTCAACGCAGAGAAACTAAAGCAGATACTTTAAAGCAACTGAGGCCAATAGGAGAAGGGGACCAGGAACTATAGAAAAGGTTAGTTCAAGAAGAATTAACTTAGAAGGTAACACACATGCACAAGAAATCAATGCGAGTCAACTCCCTGTATAGCTATCCTTATCTCAACTAGGAAAAACCCTTGGTCCTTCCTATTATTGGTCATACTCTCTCTTCAACAAAATTAGAGATAAGGGCAAAATAGTTTCTGCCGGGTGGGGGGGGTAAGGGAGGGTGGGGGAAGGGGGGAGAAATGACCCAAACATTGTATGCACATATGAATAAAATAAAAATAAAAAAAAAATGGCAATCCTCCTGCCTCAGCCTCCCAAGGGCTGGGATTACAGCTGTGAAGAACCACCATGCCTGGCTTTTGATGGTTTGAATGTGTTTGTTATAATGTGCTCAGTTAGACAAGAGCTTTTTGATTCTTAAGGAGACAGACAGCAACATATTTAGTTCTAAAAGGTACTCTTTAGACATTACTTAGAAATACTTTTTATCAATCCCTCTTCTTGGCAGAACCATCGTAGAGATTTCTGTTTTATTTAGAAAATGGCCCTCTGAACTCAGCTGCATCCCAGGCCAAACTCCCTCATCCTCTTTGTCTATGGTGCATATAGAAACAGTCGTGGCTCTTGGAGGACAGTGCAGACCTACTCCTTCCGAGTGAAAGGATGTGAAGATGCATATCTGGGCTGAGCTCAAATACTTTGACTATCTGTTACGTTCCGATTGCTGGAGACCCAGCAAAGAATAAGAATGGCCCTTTCTGGATCACTTAGGATCTTGCCAGATTTCACTTCACTGGTTTGGGTGACATTAATAGAGTTGTGACACTCAGTGGCAGAATATAGGGAATCCAGAAAGAAAGGTCACACACCCAGGAACTAGCAGTGGTGGGAAACATTTGATAGGGAAATCTGGGCGGTGCAGCAATGCATTTTATCAGTCTGTAGGAGCAAAGAGGAAGGAAGTGGAGTGAGGTGGAGCACAAATAGTTCACCAGTTCATCTCCTTGAGTTCAGAATTATGTGGATGTGGGCCAGGTCCTGAAGCTAGATGGTGCTTCCTGGGGTCTTGTGGCCTTTGCTGGGCTAGACTCTGCAATGTAATAGAAAGAACCAAACTTTGGGATGAGACAAACCTGGATTTGAATCCCAGCACTTGCAGCTGTGATTCTGGAACAGCTCTAGAGAGATCTGTGTCCTAGGATTATGAGAATTAAAAGGTATGAAACAGACATGGCACACATTGCCTAATCTCTTGTTGATACTCAGCAGATAATAGTTTTCTTCCTTTGAAAGGAAAGGATATTTTGTGGGATTTCCCTTTTAACTTGTAAGGTACAAATCTAAGTAATAGGAAAACCTAAACTTGCTTGGTCCTCAATAGAGTATCATCAGTGTTAGGTTCCATTTCCAAATGTGTAGATTGCCAGTTATATTGATTTGAATGTGATACGTTTGTATCATGTAATCTTTCGGTAAAATGCCCAGTTAGACCAAGACTCAGGAAGTTTGTAAAACCCTTGTCATCTCAGTGAGTGTTCTTTCTTGAGATTTCCTAGTGTGAGTTTCAGGGGATGTCACAGTTCATGTCTAGAGTGGCCTGACAATGTTGGCATCCCTGCCTGCTGTCCAGAAGTGAGCCCATTAGTACAGACATCCTGGAAGACAGCGCAAAATGGGGTCATTCTGGTGCCCCAGAAGAAGAATGTCGGTTTTTTGGGGTTTTTTTTTTTTTTTTTTTTTTTTTTTTTTCATTTTTTCCTGGCTTCTTTATTAATCTTCCGTTTCTGCCCCACCCCGGTTCTCTCTAGTTTATTGTGGGTTTGTGGTCACAGAACTAATGCTGAACATTCATTGTGAGAATACTTCTGAAATAAAATAGGATGAGCATGGCTTTTATGTACTAAATGTAAAAGAAATCTGTTAATTGCCTGTTTTTTCTTCCCCAGAAAAGTAACTTTTGAAAAACAGTGGTTCTACCTGGATAACGCCATTGGCCATAGTTATGGAACCACATTTGAAGTAACCAATGGAGGAAGTCTTCAGCCCAAGAAGAAGAAGGAAGAGCCCACCTCAGGTGCACCACTTTGGGTATATGAAGTAGATGCTCTCCAACTGGCTAAGTCAGATCTCTAATTAATTCCAAAGTGCCAGCCCAGGCTATCTCCCCCGCAACAGTAGCTTAGTGGAATGAGGCAAGTACTACCTTTGACAATGAAAGTGCATGAAATGTTAGCTCCAGTGCACAATTAAGTGGCTTCTTGACCTTGAGCTTCTTGAGCAGAGACTTTGAGTCCACTTCATTGCAAGGACGTGTATAGAGCCCTTTTAGTACACAGAAGTTAGGAAACACCTGCAGGGTTAGTTAGCAGATAGTGTAGTGATTAAGAGGTCTGGGTTTGAATCCACCTGGTTAAGTTAAGTGCCTGCTTCATCACTTGCCTTACAACATTGAGCAGGTGATTTGATTTTTGTAATTTTTATACACTCTTCCACAAAATGAGGCCATAAAGAAATACTTAATGCTTGGGTCGTAGTATTTAGTGATAACACTTATAGGAAGATCTTGACAGTGCCTTGCCAGAAGTAGGGTACCATAATTTTAGCTACTATACCTAATTAAAAGTAAATGCTTATTTATTAAAATAACTTAAACATCTTAACAATAACATTTAAGTAATTAAAAAATTAGATTACTAAAATACTGTTAGAGTTCTGAGCCAAGCCAGTTAGTAAGATACGTTTAAATTAATGTCCGTGTTTTTATTAAATACCAAATAAGTACTGGGCATGATTAAGCACTGTGTTTATAACAGCTCATAAGCTAGACTGTAATTCCAGCATTTGGAAGGCTGAGGCAGGAAAATTGTGAGTTCAAGACCAGCCTGGGCTACAGGAGATCCTGTCTCATACCTCTTCTCCCAGTGGAGCAGCAAGTCCCAAAATCTTACTGAGGGCCTTGGTCAGTGTGTATGGTGGTACCCAAGTGGATAGTAAGGGGGCAGGAAGATGAGTTAGAGGCTTGGAGAAGCCCTGGCAAGGAAGAATCGTAGACGCCAGTGGAAGCAGTGGAACTAGAAGGCCATGCTTGAGTGACTGATGGGCTGGATACGGATATGAACTTAGGAAAAGAAAGACTGTACAGTAATTTCAGATCATAAATATCAGCATTTTCTTTCCTTAGAAACTAAAGAAGCAGGCACTGATAATCGAAATATAATTGATGATGGAAAATCTCAGAAACTTACTCAAGATGACATAAAAGCTTTGAAAGACAAGGGCATTAAAGGAGAGGTAATAGTCAAAGGATTTTTTCATTTTGTTTTTATTTTTTATTTGGTATATAGGAAATTGGTTTTAAAATTGTTTGGTTTGCCTAGGGCAAAATGAAAAACTAGTGTTATGCTTTTGCTAGAAATAGGTTGAGATGTACATGCAACTCAGGATATCAAGATTTTGTTTTTCATGTGCAGGAATACAAGTGAATGACAATAATAATATTACTAGTGGGAGAGAATGTAGTATCAGTACATATCAGGATCTTTTACTTTCAGTAATGTTTTCAGCCAGTGTCCTTAGGAATGATAGCTTTCTTTATCTCTCTTCTCCCTTTATTGCATCTCTGTTGTTTTATCTTTGTTTAAATAGATTTGTAAAGTACTTGTAATATGTTACAAATTCTAAATAGAGGTAGAAATACAGAGTTGTTCCTTTTGGACTTCTGTGGAAGAGGGCCTGAAGAATCAGACCTGTGGATATATTCTGGCATAAGAAACCTTTGAAGTTACTTGCACTATGAAAGTGAAATTTCAGAATATCTGCTTGCTCCTTTTCTTACAGGAAATAGTTCAGCAGTTAATTGAAAATAGTACAACATTCCGAGACAAGACAGAATTTGCTCAAGATAAATATATTAAGAAGAAGAAAAAGAAGTAAGTAGTTTTGGTTTGAAACAGTTGAAAACATTAAATCTTTTTACATGATTTTGAACTATATATTACTAAACGTGTTTTAAATCATTTTTTTCAAATTGATGTTCTGTTTTTAATTCCTCCAGATATGAAGCCATCATTACTATTTTGAAGCCATCCACCCGTATTCTTTCAATTATGTATTATGCAAGAGAACCTGGAAAAATTAAGTACGCTTTGTTTCCTTTCAAAAGTATAATTGGGGGAAAATATGTCTTTAAGAAAGTCATGATTTTAAGTAAAATGAAAAACTTGCTCACCTGCATAAAGTGTCCTCCTACCTCATAAATTGTAAGTCCTTTTACTGTCACTTCCAAAGCAATCAATCTTATCAACATAATTTTTATAAAACAAACAGAACTTGAAAAATAATGATTAAAATTACAGTCTTTTCTTAGCCAAAAATAAATTAATCATCCTTTTTTTTCCTTAGCCACATGAGATATGATACACTAGCCCAGATGTTGACCTTGGGAAATATCCGTGCTGGCAATAAAATGATTGTAATGGAAACGTGTTCAGGCTTGGTGCTGGGTGCAATGATGGAGCGAATGGGAGGTAAGAACTTACATTTTCAAGTTCAGTTAAACCCTACCCTGTTGTTGAGCAGAGAGGTCCAAAAATTTAAAGGGGAAGAAAGCTGAACTGAATTACTCAGGTTAATGAAGTGACTTGGCTTGCCTTTATAATTCCTGTCCCAGAGCCTTCCTGTGAGGTCCACATCTCCTAGTCTAGGCTGTGTTGATGCCTCACGATGGTGATTGTCCTTTCCAGCTTCCATATCAGTGGGGATGATTTTGGAATCTGTGGCTGATTAAGACATTCAGGACAATGATTTCAGTACACTTATTTTGGTAAAATGGCTGCTGCACATTTTATTGGCCTGAAACAAGGGGATTGAGTGGAAAGACTCAATCTTGTCATCTACTTTCTCCTGGAATACAACCCATCCTGATTTCCCTGTGCTGTCTGTGATGCTATAGACGATAAGAACTACCCCATTTAAAGATTGGAGTATGAGAAAGCAGAAAGCCAGTCACTTGTCATGTGACATACAAATTTGCATGACCATAGTGTTTTACCATAAATACCAGGTGGAGGCAAGCTTCTTTTTTTTTTTTAATGGGACTGGAGTTTGAGCTCAGGGCTTTGAGCTTGCAAAGCAGGTGGTCTACTGCTTGAGCCACACCTCCAGTCCATTTTGTTGTGGTTATTTTGGAGATGAGGTTTCACAAAGTATTTACCCAAGCTGGCCTCAAACTGTGATTCTCCAGATTTCTGCCTCCAAGTAGCTAGGATTGTGGGTATGAGCAACTCGTGCCCAGCTGGGAGCAAGCTTCTTTAAGACTTCTGTTCATCTGTTTTGTGATTATATTATCTCCATTGGGAATGTAGACTCCCAAGTAGTGCCCCCTGGCCAGGAGTTGCATCATTCTTCAGCCTGTAAACAGGGTAGAGAGACATTCAGTCTCATTACATGGAGGACTCGGGGTTTGCGTAGTCCAGAGTTGTCTCCATTTGTGCAGATATTTCTTTCTTTTATCTTTTCAGGTTTTGGCTCCATTATTCAGCTATACCCTGGAGATGGACCTGTTCGGGTAGCAACAGCATGTTTTGGATTTCCCAAATCCTTCCTCAGTGGTCTTTATGAATTCCCCCTCAACAAAGTGGACAGTCTCCTAAATGGAACATTTTCTGCTGAGATGTTATCTTCAGAGTCAAAAGACAGTACTCCGACTGAGAAAAGTAATGGTGCACTTGAGGAAAAGCAGACTTCTGAACAAGACAATGAAGACAGCATGGCAGAGGCTCCAGGGAACAACCACCCAGAAGAGCATGAAACAATGGAAATTGTTTCTCAAGAAGAGCCAGAATATAAGGAGCCTAAAGAGAGAGGAAGCAAAAAAGATTATGTACGCATGTTAAGAGTCACTATCTTCATAATAATTTCAGGGCCTCAGTTAACTTCTTTTAAGTAATGAGATCAGGTTTGGCTTTAGAGCATCAGTTCCAAGATGGACATGATGACTCACATCTGTAAGAAGGCAGAGATCAAGAGAATTGCAGTTTGAGGCAAGCCCAGGCAAAAACTTCATAGTCTCTATCTGAATTAACAAGCCAGGCATGGTGGCACACACCCATGATCCCAGCTATGTGAAGGTCATAGTTTGAGGCAGGCCCTAGCAAGAAGAAGAAACCTTACCTGAAAAACAGCTAAAGCAAAAAAGGGCTGTGTACATGGTTCAAGTGGTAGAGTGCCTAGCAAGCACCCACCACAAGAACCTGAGCTCAAAACCCCTGCCAAAAAAGAAAAATGCAAAGTTGGAGAGAAAGTGTGTATATACATGTACACAAGTGTATGACTTCTTTGGGAGGGAGCTCTAGGATACAGAAGTATTGCTTAGGTAGTGTAATGAGTTTTTTCATCTTCCTTGAAACACCCTCCTTTAAGTTGATAAATATTGTTGAGAATTTTTTTTGTTAGCAGTATTGGGGTTTGAACTCAGGGCCTTGTGCTTACAAGGTAGGCATTCTACAACTCGAACCATGCCTTTAGCCCTTTTTGCTCTGGTTATTTTGGAGATAGGGTCTCACTTTTTGCCCAGGCCAACCTAGACCATAATCCTTCTAAGCTTTCCACTATTACTGGGATGACATGCACACCACCACATCCAGCTTTTTTTCCATTGAGATGGGGTCTCACAAATCTTTTTGCCTGGGTTGGCTTAGAACCATGATCCTCTGATCTCAGCCTCCCAAGTAGTTAGGATTACAAGTGTGAGCCACTGGTGCCTGGATTATTGAGCTGTTTTGATAGACCAAAGCATTTCCATAAACTTTACTGAATTACCTCAGTACATTGGTTTCTTTCTTCCCTTGAAGGTTCAGGAAAAGCAAAGGAGACAAGAAGAACAGAGGAAGAGACATTTAGAGGCTGCTGCTCTGCTTAATGAAAGAAATGCGGATGGGTACGCTGATGAAAATTGAATGCAGGATACTTCTTGGTGCTAGTGGGCTCTGCTTCTAGTGGATCAGAATTCTCTTTCTGCTTTGCTGTGATTCTGGAGGGAACTGAGATGAGAATTCTATCTTGGGTTTTTAAAGAAAGGATACTGCATCTGGCAGAGGTGGGAAATTGAAGGTTTTAGAAGAAATTGAATGTACTTGAATGATGATACCTCAGAAGGGGCTGTGTAGTCCCACTAGGTGCAGGATTCCATTCAGATGGCTCTGGCACTAGCTAATGGCAAGGGCTAAGGTAAACCTGTCAAGGAGAGGTAAATTGAGGTATCTGCAAAACCAACATATTCAGCATTGGATTTGCTTCCAAATTATTAAAACAAAACTAAGAATGTCATTGTTACTTAGAGTTAGTTGGCAGCACCATGAGAACTTATAGCCCGATTTGTGTCACATAGAAATAAAAAGCTTATGATTTTCTTCAGCTTTTAACTTCTAAAATGTTATATTAAACCTTCCCTTGTGTGAATCATGAATTAAATGCATCTTAAAACCTATGCTTGACTTTGGGGAAGTAGGAAAATAATCTGTCTGACATTTTTCTTGCAGTTTAATTGTGGCCAGTCGTTTCCATCCCACTCCTCTGCTGCTGTCTTTGTTGGACTTTGTGGCTCCTTCGAGGCCATTTGTGGTCTATTGTCAGTATAAAGAGGTAATACTGGGACAAAATGGACAGCAGTCCTTACATCTGAATTTTGAGCCTCAAACTGCAGCCTAGGAAATATTTCTTAACCCTATTTTTGCCTTCAGCCTTTGTTGGAATGCTACACAAAACTGCGGGAGAGGGGAGGCGTCATCAACCTCAGGCTGTCTGAAACCTGGCTCAGAAATTATCAGGTGTGTATTCTTACAGCCAGGCCCTGGAGCTTTTGGCTCCTTGCAGTAATACTGGAAGTTGCTGTATAGAGAAATGGCCATTTCTTTCCCACTGTTATAGCAGTGGAAGAGTCTCTTGCCTGCCTGTGAATCAGAGAAAGTGCCACTGGCTCTTCCTGACTCTCTTCTCTTTTCATGCATGACAGGGTGCATTTCTCCCTCTCACTCCCTCCTTCCTTTCTCTCCATCCCCGTACGGCACTCCCCTACCTTTTTGAGGTACTGGAGATCAAACCCAAGGCATTGTACATGCAGCTACATCCCCAACCACAAATTGCAAAGATAGAAGTGGAAATGTTAAGAGATTTCTTGGGAGAAATGCCTTTGAAAAATAGGGAGAGGGAGCAGGATTAGCTGGTGCAGGTTGACTCCTGGGAAGAAGGGGATGGAGGAAGCATTCTTCCTCAGCCAGTCTGATGGGAAGCCCAGGAACAAAGAGTTAAAGGGGACCTAGATGGACAGAAATGGTCTAAAAGCAAAAACCTATGCTCAGTTACCAGCTGGGAGCAACCGGAGGCTTACTGCTCCCAGACTACATTGTAACCAGTGCCCTCATGAAGGCACCTTTCATGTTGAGCCCTGAGTAATCCTACTCTTTATGGAAGTCATCTTATTTAGTTAAGGTAACAGGTCAGAAGAATTCTTGTCAAAGTTAACAGTATAGCGGGGAAGGGAGGTTCTGAATGTTCATTCCTTAGCCGCTTTTCCAGACCCAAGCTCCATCATTGGTTGTAAACTTCCTGGAGCCCAGAGGAAGAGAGCTGTGTACAAACCATTTGCCCATTCTCCACAGAAACTCGCTTAAGATTTGACAGAAACAGCGCTTCCATTTTATTAAATAAGTAAATATAACCAATTTTTACACTTTTCACCATAATATGAAAGAATGAGCTACTTAGAAATTTATTCATTCAGATCTTCAAGAGAATTTGTGTCATCTGAATTCTAATTTAGTGGTGTGTTATTGGCATGTACTTTGTCATCTTGAGAAAACATGAGTGTCTATTTCTCTTTCTTGATTAGGTTTTGCCAGATCGAAGTCATCCCAAATTGCTGATGAGTGGAGGTGGAGGGTACCTTCTGTCAGGTTTCACCGTTGTCTTGGACAACGTTAGAGTGGACCCCAGCCTCAAATCCAGCACAAGCACTTTAGAATCTCCCAAGGCTGAGGAGCCAGCACCTAAAAAACAGAAATGCATGGAGTCTGGGTCTTAACTCTTCAAGGATTGCTTTGATCTTTGTTCTCATTCTGTAGTTCGTAATTAAACTTTAAATGCCATTACTAACTATTTCTTTGTATCCTAAAAATAAGAACGTACACCCCTTCCTGGGAAGGAGGAGTAAGCCTTTTGTCCACTTCTGACACAGAAGAGTGTAATCTGTCAAAACTACAACTCATTTGTGCATTCGTGGGTTGATACAACAACTCTGTTTATTTAACAGTACTTCTGAACGCTCTGCGAATACCTTGGAAATTTCAACATCCTGAAATGTATTTATACAAGACTTTATATTTTAAGCTAAGTGGATTGTCATGATGTAGCTAAAATTTAGTGGATTCCGAAAGGAAGAAATTTGTGGATGAAATTTCCTTTGTTCATTCCATTCTCTTCAGCCTAAGCAATATGGATGTATGAGTGTATGAGATTTACAGTACCAAAAATGTCCACCCTGCTCTCTGAAGTGGAGTAAACTTTTTTTAATGCTAGATTTTATTTTAATGGTTGACAACCTGGGAAAGTTACAAGTATTTATTGCTTTTTTTTTTCTTTCTTTTTTTTTGGTGTGTAGAAAGGTTTAGTAGGGTTTTTTTTTTTTTTCTCTTAATTTGCCAGTCCTCTTGTACTTTGTTCCAAATAAAGTGACTCCAATTTTTGTGTAATATTTAATTAAGCAAACAGTTGAGTTTTTTTCCCATCCCCAGAGACAGATACATACACACACCCCACATGCACACACAAACGGGGACGGACTGTGCTACCTATATAAATATACCACACAGAGAGACAATACACTGTTTGAACCGTGGTAAAGCTTTATGCCAGACTTAGAGCAGTTCTCATTGCATTGGTATCACATTCGTTGTCAAGCGTATTTTAAAGTGCCTTTTTCTGATGATTAATACTGGTATGAAAGCTCTCCCATGGTTAGGTGGTTCACCTTTATAGGCTCTGAAAAACTAGTCAAATAGTTTGACCATCTGTTGCAGTAAATAAAAAGTATTTAAGCCATAGCTCTCATCCATTTGAGAATCTGAGTCTTGCTCACTAGAATATGCTCAGCACAAGTACTGTTCCTGTGGTAGAGTAGATATGTATCATCCAAAGAGGAGCGGCTCAGAAAAAAAGTTCTTTCCCCTAATAGCATCTGCTATTCTGATAATGCTGATGTGATTACCAACAAGTACAGTTTTGATTCCTTTTTCTTAAAGCAGTTCCTTTTAAAGAACAAAAGTGTTAGGCAGCCCATTTGGGTCTCCTCCCTATCTCACATGGAAGCTTTGTCCTTCCTCTTAATAAACTTCTTGCCTGTATGCTCAAATACAAAAATAAAGTTTCCTACTATGATCTGTCTATGATAAATGATGCAGCCAGTGATGCCACATGGACTGGCTTTCAGCTAATTGTGACAGATAGTCTGTGTGTAGTAGAGAACATACCTGGATTGACATCTCGTTAAACTGACAACTGTTGTCACTCCCATACAGTCAAGTTGATTCAGGAGAACACAGGACTGCATAGATGAGGTTCAGTACTCTGTTCTCCACTGGCAACTGGTAAAACCTCCTAAATGGGACACACCTGTTTCCATATCCCCTTCCATACCCTGTATTGCAGCATTTCTTGAGAGGGTCAGATCTGAGCTACCAAGGCTCTGTGCCCATGAAGCTGCCCTGGGAGATGACAGGAACTCTCACGATCACCAAGAAAAATTAACGTGTTATTTTTTTCCCAATCAGGATTTACTCCATCTTTTAAGTATAGATGACTTAATTCAGTAGTTCACAACAATCTACAAATTTAGTGTTAGAACATTTAGAAACTTGAGGACTTGTTAAACAGATTGTTGGACCCTCTAACCCACTGTTTCTGATTCAGTAGGTCTGGGTTGGGTAAGTGTCCAGGTGACGATGCTGGTTCTGCTCTCTGGGAGCCACTCCCTCAAGAACAATTAACTGCTCCTGCATCGTGGATGCAACAAGATACAGGATGTCCTTACCTTCTGTGTAAAGTGAACATCTGTTTTTGGAGCAGATGAATGGATAATTTTATGACTTCAGGGCATTCAGTCACGGGGGAATTATGTGGAATAGCACTTAAATGAGTAGCAACTAAATCATTTTGTAATGTCGATCCTATGTCTCCATTAGCCTAGGGCACTTAACAATATACCATTCATTTAAGTTAAGAACAACCATATGCATTGTTCACATCCTCATAGAAGTGTATCTCCTCAATGGATAGGGAGGAACATCTCAGAAAAAAAATCTTTTCCCTAGTAGTATGTGCTATTCTGATAATGGCCATTAAAGGATGTTTTTAACTGGAAGATACACTCATGAAGCAAATCTTACTGAGTATTTTTATATTGGCTGGATATGGAAAAGCTAAAAATAGTCTTAATACATATGAAACCAAGAAGACTTTACATTTTGTTTTAAAGCATTGGTTGTAAATATTGCAAGAACAATATAAAATACTAGGAAGCATATCCTAAAAATCTGGTCAAGAGACAATGCCCTTAATGTTCCTGATTTGTAATGCATTAAAGGGCTGTGCTTCAAAGGAACAGAATGTACCTAATGCCTTACTTGAAATACAATGTCTCTAGGCAGATAATGGATTTTTGTAAGAGGATTACAGATGTTCTTTGGTCATAACTGAAGCACAGGTCATATGGCAAGAGCTGTGAGTCCTTGGATAGCTACTTCAAGAGGAAAGGTAAGCTATCAACATTTACTAACCACCCACCGCTTTTGATACTTTTATGAGGAAGAACTAAATCTTTTCTTTTTCTACTGAAATAGACATTTTGATTGAGTTTTGTTAAATTATACAAATCTTCCAAGTGATCATAGATGAGTTCTCATTATAGGTACTTAAAGCAATACTTTATAAAGTCACACAACTGCATTTTAAATTTTATCATGTTTATCAAGTTAAATTTCTACAGCTAGCAGATATCACATGAGTTATCAGGACTCAAAGTACATTATAGGGACTGCCCATTGGGTGATCTGTTACACCACAGTTAAATGATTAACAGTATTTCCCATCTTTGTACTTTCTTCATTTCCACTACTGCTCACGTCTTCTGGTCCTTCATGGGCCATTATCGTATGACCATTGATGATCTCCTGAGAGTGAGATCAGAGAATTTTCAATGAGTACTTGGCCATACCATCTTTGCCAGCTGTCACATTGCCCAGGTCTCCAACATGCCTCTCTTGCATGGCATTGGCCCACCATGTATTTTTGGGTAAAGTATTGAAGTAGCAATCTGTGTGGACACAGCCTTGTGTATTATCTCCAGGTTGATAGACATGCTAGCCTTTAGCCACTTCTGTAGTGTGGCTACCACTTGAGGCCACACCCATATGAATGAAGTTTTAATGAAACACAGCCACTCTCATTTGTTTGCGGCCCACTATGACAGAGCTAAATATTTGTGATACAGACCCTACAGTCTCAAAACCTAAAATGTTTGCTCTCTGGCCCTTTAAGAAAAGTTTGATGATCCCTAATTTTGGTGAAGCCATGAGATGGATTGTGGCAAGAATGGGACAGAGGGTGGCAATTGGAAACAGCCACAGTGGATATGGTTTGGGGTGGGCAATGGTCAAAGTCATAATGTGAAATCCTGAGCTCCTTCTCGGCCCTCCAGATCTACTAGCAGCATTGGACACTGTCCACCCCTCTCCTGGCCACAGTTTCCCTCACTGTCTCCCAGGATACCTCCTCTCTTTTTCTGGCTCCTCCTCATCTCTGAGACTTGTAAATACTTTCCACTCCCCTCTTCCCTCTCTACTATGCTCATTCCTGGTTTTTTTTTTCTTAGCAATATTGTCAGGTAATACCTATAGTAATTAAGGAACTTGGAGACTGATCAAAGAAAAATGTATCCCCATGAGGTGGCAGTACCACACATGCTTTATTGAGTGACAGCAACACTAACAGGTCTACATGGGGAAGAAGAAATAGTCCTTCCCCACAGCATCTGGGCTGCTACTCAGAAGAGGAGGAGAGAGGGCAAACCCCGCCACCTAGCCCACCCAGGGAAAGGAGATCAGAGTGGGGCTGCATGTGTAGGTGATGTTGTCTGGGAGGTTGGTGGGAAGTGGCTTGGGGTCTCACAACCACAAGGCTCTGTCTTACCAATGGCCTCCAGTATTGACCATTGTTGGATGTAGTTTAGTTTGTGTGTTAGGGGGCAAGGAAATTTATTTAAAGTGTGATTAAAATAATTGTATTGTAAAAAATCTGTATTTGGCCTGAGTAGGCTTTTAAGCTACTTAACCTGCAGGCTGGACACAGTGACACAGGCTAGTAATTCCAGCACTGGGGAGGCTCAGGCATGAGGACCACAAGTTGGAGGCCAGCCTTGGCTACATAGGGAGACCCTGTCTCAAAAGACAAAACAAAAACAGAAAGAGGGCTAGGCATGAAAGGGAGGAGAGCACTTGCTGGGCATGTGTGAGACCCTGAGTTCAAGCCCCGGTACAGAAATCAAAACAAAAGCCAGCCTTTAGTCAAGCATTAAATATCCTCTGGACCAATCCCCAGAGGCCATCCTGAACTCGTTTATTTAGTACTAGGTGATCACATCCAGCTTCCATGCTTTAAATGACATCTCAATGATGATGGCATCCATGTCACCTTCAGCACTGGCCTTTTCCTTCAGCTCCAGCCCTGTGTACCCAACTCAACAAATCAAACTTAACGTATCCAAGCCTGAGCTGTCCATCCCTCCACTCTCTAGTCCCTCCTACAGTCTTCCCCATCTGTTTTCGCAGTTGTTCAGGCCTAAAACCTGGTGCCAGCCTCTTATTCCCTCAGGTCACACCAAATCCATCAACCCTGCCTGTTCACAGAGTAGATCTAGACTTGAGTACTTACCCCTACCCTGCCACCCTGGCCTAAGCCATCTTGATGAGCAGCTAGATTATGACAGTGCCCTCTGTATTGGTTTCTCACTTCCCCTACAGTCTACTGTCAACCTAGTGGCCAGTGTTGTTATAATGTAAAGCAAATCATGTCACTCTTCTGTTGAGAACTCTGCAATCACAAGGGCAAAAGTCCTTACCAGGACCTACAAAGCTCTGAGTGACTTGGCCCAGGTGCCTCTCTAACATCATCCACCTTCTCTAACAGTTCCCTCATGCTAGCCTCCTGCTTTTCTTCAAACTTGTCAAATACATTCATTCCTGTCTCAAGGCCTTTGCACCTGTGATTTCCTCTGCCTGAAATGCCTTTCCCCTCGGTGTCTACATGGCTTATGTTCTCAGTTCCTTGAGGTCCTTCATCAGCAGATGCTTTCTGAGTGAGGCCTGTTCTATATCTGAGTGGCTGGTTCCTAGACTGCAGAATTGTAATTACTGCAGTTAGTTAACTATTTCAGCACCTGAGATCTTCCAATTATACTGCACTTTACCATGGCATGAGTGTTTTTACTTTGTAATGACACTGACCCATCCCTACTGACCCATCTCTGTGCTATAACTCCTTGATACAATATTAGAGACCATGGCAGTTAAAATATTCAGATAAAAGCTCTAAAATAATTATAGGGGGCTATAGTTACAGGAGGATTTGGGGGGGGTTGATAGAGCCATTTGTTTCTCATTGTGTTAGGACCTCAGGGTTGACATAACAACGTGCCACAAACTGGGTGGCACAGAATTTTAAGCCACAGAATTTTATACCATCACAGTGCTGGAAGCTAAAAGTCCAAAATCAAGGTATGGGCAGTGTCAGCCTTCCTTAGTGGAGGATCCTATCTTACCTCTTTTTAGCTTTTGGCGACTCCAGTGTTTCTTGGCTGGTAGCAGCTTCACTCCAGTCTCTGCCTCTGTCATCATCTGTGTTGCCTCTGTGTCTTCATGGCATTCTCTGTGTGTGTGTGTCCAAACTTTCCTCTTTCTGTATTTTTTTTTCTTTTTCTTATTTTTTTTTTTTGAGACAGGGTCACATTTTATCCCAGGCTGGCCTTGAACTAGCCATCCTCTTGCCTCAGCCTCCCAAGTGCTGGGCTTACAGCTATGAATCACCATGTGTGCCTCAAATCTTTCTATTCTTAAAGTACACTAGTCATATTGGATATGAGCCTCCCCTAATAGCCTCATCAGAACTTCACTGCATTTGTGGAGACCCTATTTCCAAATAAGCTCACACTCCCAGGTACCATAAGCATATACAATCAGGTACTGCTTAACAACTCTTTGATCAGTGATGGGCCATGGGTACAACAGTGGCACCATGGACATAAAAAAGCTGAAAAATTCCTATCACCTTGTAATGCTATTGCAGTTGTAATGTCAGAATCCAATGCCTCAGTCACATGATTTGGGTCATGTTTGTGAAAACAAACCATTGCCAGTTGTGTAAAGGTTTAGCACAATGCATAATACCTGATAATGAGAACAGATGCCTATGTTGCTGGTTTATGTGTTTACTAGGCTATACTTTTTAATCATTATTTTAGGGTATGCTCCTACTTATTAAGAGAAAATTTATGGGTTGAAGACATGGCTCAAGTGGTAGAACACCTGCTTAGCAACCATAAAGCCTTGAATTCAAACCTCAGTACTGAAAAAAATTACTAAAGCTAGATATAGTGCGTCACATCTGTAGTCCCAGGTACTTGGGAGGAGGAAATGGAAGGATCATGGTTTGAAGACAGCCTGAGCAAACAGTGAGACTCCATCTCAACCGGTAAAAGCAGGCTGTGGTGCGTACCTGTGATCCCAGCTACTCAGGAGACTGATCTAGATAGGAGGATCTCGTGGCAAAAGCACAAGCAAGCTGAGACCCCACTTGAATAACAACTAAAGCAAAACAGGATTGGGGGTGCCTACCTAGCAAGATCTCGAGTTCTAACTCCAGTACTGTCCCCCTCAAAACTAAACCAATTTACTATAAAACAGTAGACTGACTTATGCCTGCAGCAGCCTCCTATATCATGTTTAGCTCATCTCTTGATTACATCCTTTTCTTTTGCACTTCATTTGATCTTATGTTGTTTATCATGACCCTAGGAGCAAAAAGCTATATTGTCTATGTATGTGTTGCTGATTGTTTTACATAAATTCATATCATCTTTGTAAAAACCCAATGACACAGATAATCTTTATTTTATGGTGAACCTGAGATCCAGAGAGGAAAAGCAACTTCCTCAAAGCCACACAGCTACTTAGTTACGTCAGAGCTCCGTCTTCCTATGGGGAAAAAAATTCAACAGGCCCTGAGGGAGGGACCAGGAGCCTATCTGGATAGACCAGACGCTTGGATTCTTGATCCAGAGGGGCTTTTTGTTTTTGTTTTGTTGTTGTTGTTTTGAGACAGGGTTTTGCTATGCAGCCCTGGGCTATAAGCCCTATGAAGCTTGTGCTTCAGGCTCTTGAGTGCTGGGATTAGGGGTATATGCCACCATACCCAGACAAATTCAGGGTTCCTCCCATTACCCAGGTCTTCTTTCAGCCTTAACCTGCTATTCCTAGAGCTCTCTAGTTCATAGGTTTCATTTTTATTTTATTATTTTTTGGGGGGGGTACTGTGACTTAAACTCAGGGCCTACACCTTGAACTACTCCACCAGTCCTTTTTTGTGATGGGTTTTTTTCAAGATAGGGTCTCATGAACTATTTGCATGGGCTGGCTTCGAACCACAATCCCCCTGATCTCTGCCTCCTGAGTAGGTAGGATTACAGGTGTGAGCCACCAGCATCAGGCTCATTTTTGTTTTTCTTGAGGTGAAGTTTCACTGTGTTGCCCAGGATGACAAACTGCTGAACTCCTAAGCTCAAGTGATGCACACAGCTAATAATGAGAACTGGCTGCATTTCTGTTTCATACTGCCCTATTTTTTTCCAGTGTTGGGAATGGAACCCAGAACTTTACATATGCTGGGCAAGTGCTCTGCCTCTGTGCTATACCCTCAGTCACCCAGTTTGTAAGGTTTAAAATATAATATGATTATTATTGAAACAGGTTCTTCAAGCCTATCTAATCTCTCTCAGGACAGAATATATGTATTTTTTTTCCTGCATCCTTTTCTCTTTATTTCCGGCACATTGTTTTACCTTAAAAGAATCGGGGGGGGGGGGTTTCTTGTTGTTGTTTTTAGCCCCTCTGCCTTATGCATTTGAAAGACCAACAAATCCCAATGCTACCTTTCAGAATTTAAAGAGTGGATTTGAAAACCACATTCCTCCCAATTAACCCAAAGGAAGCTGAGAAGCATGAAGCTTTTGGTCTCAGGTGAATCTTTTATTATTTCAAACTGAAACAAACTTTTTTCAAAGACAGTAGCACAGTCATTGCCACAAGCATATTAATATGTCTATTTTGCAAAAAAGAGTATGCTACAGGTCATGCTATTCATATTTCCAATAGCATTCAGCAAAGATTAAAGACATTTCCAATTGTGTCAAACATTTAATGAGAAGTAAATTCTACTTTCTGCCTTTGGCTAAATAAATGCTGCCATTCAGTGAAGTAGTGCAAAACAGATAGTGTGAGAACTACTTAAAACTGCCATTGCTCCGACAACCATCAGCCCCTTTGGCTGAATTTCTCGGCTATTTTCTGTAGTTCCAAATCCATTGCGGCCAAGTTTTCAAGTTCTTTTTCCTGGAAAATACAGAAAAGTAGAGACATGAGGTTCCAGGTCAACTTCTATTGCTATAGTTTGAAGGAGTATGATTAGAAAGGGGGTTTTAGGTATGTTAGACGCTGCCTGAGTCAAATTCCATCAGTGGTTTTCAAAGTGTGGTCCCCTGACTGGTGGCATCAACACCTCCAACATCACCCAAGGAACTTGCCAGAAATGCATGTTTTTGAGTCCCACCCCAAACCTACTGAATAAGAAACTCTAGGGATTAGAAATCCCTTGTGACTCATGCACATTCAAGTTTGAGAAGCACCAACCAAAATAACAGTAGGAAAAACATGTTTTGGATAGGGTAAAGCTCTATAATACAACTTCTCCTGCATGTAAATTTGTGATGGTAGGAAGATATGAGCCAATAAAAATAGACCAAAACATCTGATTTCTGTACCAGCTGTTCAACCCACCGTGGGAGACAGTGATGGACAGTGAGATGATCACGGGAAAGACACCAGAACAGTGGCTGTCAACCTTGACTCAACTCTAGAATAATATATATATTATCTTGTATATAATATATATATACCAGATATTGTTGAACATAACATATTAACATCGACCACTGTAAGTTAATTTTCAGTTAAAGCCCCATACCGTACCTCTTCCTCTGTCAGAACTCTCTGGTCAGACTCATCCTTTTCATTTTCTGCCTCATGGCCTGTACCCATCTGTTCCTCGGAGTCATAGAAGTCGGGAAATTCATCTGACTTCTTCCTGTAGTGAAGGAGCTGGTCCAGCTCAGCTACTCTGTCATACTGCCTTTTCAGGTCCAGTTTGGGGGCCTTTTCGAAGCTTCTCTTCTCATATCCCCAGTTCACATCCTCCGAGAAGGGCTTTTTCTCCCACCAGTCATAATTGTACTCTGGGAAGAAATTCTTTTCATTCAAGGTCAGCCCATTTTCCTCTTCACCCTGAAGAAAATTATCATCCATGTTGTCTTTTCTCTCAAAACGGCTGCTCTTCCATTGGAGAGGGTCAAAGTATGGGTTGAACAGCACCCCTAATCTCTTCCTCTTTTCAGGGGTATGATGAGAGGCATATTGTTTATCTTGAAGGCCGGCTTCCTCCCTGTTTTCTTTAGGGTCTCTCATGTCCTCCTGCTGCCGCCATTTCCCTTGGGCTCCTTCCTCACCATAGTTGAGGTAATTGGTTCCTTGCTCTTGCCATGCATTTTGGGGATGCCTTTTTGCCTTGTCCACCTGGCTTTCTTGAATATGGTGGTATCCTTCGCCCAAAAACCTTTTCTCTTCTCTGGTGTCAGGAGTAGAATAGGCACTTGGCTTCCCCTCCTCTGACTCTGTAATGGCGTCCCTTTCCCCCGTCACGGCCCCGCTCTTCTTCACTTTCTTCATTATATCTGTGTACCACGTTTTTAAGCTGTGAACTGGGATAGTTTCTCTTGTTCTCCTCCTGGCTCTCCTTACTGTGAGGCCTTGGATTCCTGTACTCCTCGCTTCCTCTTCCCCCATAGTGTCCCTCCTCCAGGTCCTCAGGAGCCTGGACACCTGGATAACTCCTCACTTCTTCCTCATATTCGGGTTCTTCCTCTGAAGCCCTGTAGTGAATTGAATGGTGGACCCTCTTTTCCCCTAAACCCACATTGTCCTCCTCAGATTCCTCAAGGGCATGTCCCCTTTCCTCAGGGGGAGGATTCCCTTCTTGGAAGGACCTGTCAGGCCTGCTCCTCCCATGGTGGTGTCTGGGCCTCATGCGTCGTTTGGTCGCCTGAGAGGTAGCGTCTTCCTCACTTTCCTCAGAGTCTTCCTGGCTCTGGGGTTGGATGTTAGACTCTTGAGGGTGCTTCTCCTGGCTCCTTGTTTCCTCTCCACTCTCCTGGCTGCTCTTCTCCCTGCTGTGTGTCTTCTCCTCAGAGTGCCCAGCAGAGTATGTACCTGATCTGGTCACTAACTCCTCTTTTTTCCTAGCCGTAGCCTGGTTTCTTTTGTTGAGAAAAGCGTTCTGTGTTTCTCCTGGCTCTTCAAGGTGTTTCCCTTCACTGGCATCTTCCTTGAGCTCCCCTTTCTGATAGTTCTCTCCCTCTTCTTCCTCCCTGTCCTCTCCTTCATTTTTCTCAGAATGGTGTGTGTCTACTTCTTTAGAAACTTGGCTGTCAGAGGGAAAGAGGCTCCCCCGGGGTTCATCCACCACCTCTCGGCTATGTCCTCCCTCTGCCCGCTTCTCTGTGTCTTCTTTTGTCTGGCCTTGAGTGTCCTCCTCCCCTGGAGGTCCTGCTTCCTCCCTACTGTAGGGCCTATGGGCTTCTGAGACATCAACTGGGTCTCTTAACAATCTTACTTCAAACTTTGTGTTTTCATTTGCATTTTTCTCTTCATCTTTGACCTCTTTTCCATCTACAATGAAAATATGGGTGGAAGTATAACTTCAGAAATGCCATGGTTCAACAAGTACCAGCCTTGGTAATCATTATAAATCCCAAGGCCCCTGGAAACTGCTTAATTTATTGTTATTAAAGAATACATTCTGATACATTTTAAAAGTAAGTGCTAGATGGGCGCTGGTGGCTCACACCTGTAATGCTACCTACTCAGGAGGCAGAGATCAGGAGGATCACAGTTTGAAGCCATCCTGGACAAATAATTTGTGCTCTTTTATCTTGAAAAATCCCATTACAAAAAAGGGCTGGTGAAGTGGCTCAAGGTATAGGCCCTGAGTTCAAACCCCAGTACTGAAAAAAAAAAAAAAGCAAGTGCTATGAAAGCTCTTTGGTTGTACTTAAATCTAATAATAACCCTATATTTGTAAGTTTTCATAATACCCAATCAGAACCTCTCATTGGTACTATTAATGGTCAAAACCCAGTTACAGATTTATGAAATATCAGAATTTAGAAACAGAAGTCTTAGAATTCATCCAGTTCAACCTCCTACTTTTGCAGATGGGGAAGACATGGAAATTCAGAGTGTTATAATTCTGGATCATTCTTTGCATATTTAGCAAGGATAGAAGTATATAATGATGGTGCAGTCAACAGTGGATTACATCTACCATCATGGTCCCATAAGAGTGTATAACAGTGATATTGTAGCCATCTTAGTATAAGTATATAGTATGGTGTCCACACAGCAATGAAATAGCCTAACAAAGCACTTCTCAGAATGTACCCCATCATTAAGAGATGCATGGCTATAACTGGTGATAAGAAAGGTATATATTTCTTTCCTGAGAAAAGTACACAGCAATGGAAAGGACATTTCTTCCTTCACTCAGGTCCCATCCACTCCACATGTTCTTAGCTGCTGAGGGTACAGGTCAGGAGACTGAGTTGTCTTTGTGTTCCATGAGTCAGCAATAGATGGTGTAACTGATATTTTGCTGTTCTCTTCCATATTTTCCAAATATCTATAGTTCCTTTACTAAATCCTCCTTAATTCAAGGGCACCCCATGAAAAGAGATATACAGTCAACACTGTCTCCATTGTTTACTGAGAGGGTTTGGATTTCAACTTGTCTCAATAAGTTCAAGAAGAAAGTCTGAAGTCAAGGCCACTGGCAGCTGTGGGTCTACCTCTGCACTGTCCATTTTGGGAGCCACTAGCCCTTTGGGGCTATGGAGGTCTTAGCTGCATCTAGTCAAAACTAAAACATGCTATATGTGTAAGATACAAACCAGATTTCCAAGACCTCATATGAAAATGGAATGTAAACTATTTCAATAATTTATGTGTTGATTATATGTTGAGATGATAATATTTTGGATCTATTAGATAATATATTATAAATAGACTGGATATATAAAATTGTATGTTAGATAAAATATAATGGATAAAAATGAGATATATTATTGAAATTAAAATTATATTTGTGGCTACATTATCTTTCTATTGAATGGTACTGATGAGTCATGTTGAACTTATATTTACAAAAATGTATGTTTTATAAAAATGTCCAAGAAATAGTGAACTATATGTACCCCTCTATTTAAAGCCCAGAATGTCAAGATAATAAATAACATTCTCACATTTATGAGGCAATGGGATTGTCTCTGACCTTCCACATCAAAATACTTGAGGGCTGGCCCATCTGTCACAGTCCCCATGCCTTTTAAGAGCCCATCATGGTGCGTGCAGCTTTGGGGCTCCTAACCAGTTGAACACTGTCAGGCAGGGAAGCTTTGTGTGGTACTCTTAACTGAGTGTTTGCACCTCCCCAAAATTCATATGATGAAGTCCTACTCAGCAATGTGATGACATTAGGAGGTTGGCCCTTTGGAAGGTACTTAGGCCATGAGGATGGAGCCCTTATGGTGGCATTGGTGACCTAATTAGGGGAGACATGAGAGAGATGGTCTCTCACCAAGTGAGGATACAATGAGAAGTTGGTTGTCTATAAGCCAGCCTCCGCAACTGTGAGGAATGAATATTTGTTGTTTTAGCCACTCAGTTACGATATTTGTTATAGCAGCCCAGGCTGACTCACATGGCAGATGCTGATGTCATTCTGAGTATGCTGAAAGAGATCTGAGCAGACAGAATCTCAGCCTCAAGGGGAAGGGGTCACAGTCTGCTGGTATGCGGGGTTCTTAGCTGCCAGGAACAGAAGTATTTTTGTTGTTTCCTGCCTATAGCAACTTATGCCTAAGGCTTAGCACTTCCTCCTAAATTTAGCTCTAGTCCCCTGCGGGTGAGATTGGAAAAGGGCTGTGATTAGCAGCACAGTCATTGTCAAGCTGTAAACCCAAGGTGTGAAGTTCACCCTTGCTTTCAAGTTAAAAAAGAAAAATGCACCTTTCATCTTTGTCATGCTGCAAAGATGACCAGACCAACCCTGGTCAAAGAGATCTTATAGCTGTTACAAAATTGGCTGTAATCTCAGCTACTTGGGAGTTGGAGCTAAGGAGGATTGTGGTTCAAGGCCAGCCTGGGCAAAAAAATTCCAAGACCCTATCTCAACCAACAATCCTGGTATGGTGGCACACGTTTGTCATCCCAGCTAAACAGGAAGCATAAATAGGAGGAGCAGGGTCCAGGCCAGCCTGGGCAAAAGCACAAGACCCTATTAAAAAAATAACCAAAATGAAAAGTTGAGAGGGGCATGACTCAAGTAGTAGAGTGCTTGTCTAGCAAGCACAAAGCCCCAAGTTCAAAAATCCCAGTACCAATACCTCCTCCTCCCCCTAAAAAAAGAAGAAATTGGACATATTCCCTATGTCCATGAAACAATCCTCCCAGATGCTCATTTGCCCACTGAGTGAACACTGACTTGGAACCTTCCGGAGAGAGTGGGGGGCAGAGATGGGTGTGGACTGGGGCAAAGGCCACATGGAGGAATTCATCCAGTTAGCCAAAGCTCCTCTGGTCTTATGATTGGCTTAGGACACATTGCCAAGAGAGATTAGAACGGGACAGAAGTTGCAAACTGGTGGCCTAGAGATAAGTTCCATTTGGCTAAACAGCATTTTAGTAAATTCAAATCCAGAGACAATATTTCAATGCCAGGAGAGTTCACTAAAAATTTTATGTTGAGGATATAATTCAATGGTAGAGCACTTGCTTAGGTTGTGGATTCAATCACAGCACAACAACAAAAAATAAAATAAAGTAAAAAATTTAACAGCTTTTGAAAACTCATGAAATCTGATAACAGTCTGCTGTTCTCCCTAGTAGGATGAAATCTGAGAACTATATGCTCCCCTCAGAAGAGGCATGTGACCTCCACTTTGTGGATCTCTTCTGACCTGCTTTACTTTTTTTTTTTTTTTGATGGGACTGGGGTTTGAACTCAGGGCTTCAGTGTTTGTAAAGCAGGCACTCTACTATTTCAGCAATGCCTCCAATCTCTGCCTTACTTCCTTATGTTATCTGTCTAGCCCTGACTAGTGCTTGAGGCTACAATCCATAGACGCTCTTAAGTCTTCCCTGTTTCAGCATTCTATCTCTCTTCAAGGTCCTTCATAGACATGGGTCATTTGGTTTTTACCAGTTCCCTGAGGCTCTCTCAACAGGTACTAAAAAGATCCCGGGACATAATCAGTGACAGGCAGAAGCTATGGCGACAGCCTAAGGGCCAATCATCTGATTTTGCTAGACAAGCAGACACTGACAGTCAAAAACTTTTCCTAAGCAAGCAAGATTATTTGATAACTTCATAAACAAACCCCTCACTTTTACATTCATCTGGTAAACAAAGAAAGGGAGAGGGAGGTAGCAAAATGGGTTTGCCCAGAGTAACAGCCTTTATGCCCTGCTGGACATCCACTCTGTTTTAGCTAGCAAAGAAAGCTGGGCAGAAATCAGAAAGAAGTGTGTTGCCTGAGTGATAGGCTCCCCTTTTTGGAACCTCCAATGGCTCAGTCCCCCCCCCACCCCCGCCCCACACATCTACCATGATTACCCTGACTCTCCCAAAGGCAGAGTAAGTTAGTGTAGGTTAGGCTTTGGGCCAACGGCTAATACTTGTTTTTACCATTTTATGCACAAAAGCCCATGTGTAGCAATAGCAAGAGATTGTTTCTTGCAAGGAGAGATTTTAAGTATGAAAAGAATAAAGAAAAGAAGTTCACTGTTCCCAGCAGAATGGAAAATTTAAAAGCAGAGTAGGTGTTGAAGAAGCAGTGTTTTTAGAATTTGTTCGAACCACTTTGACTTCTTGCATAAAAGCAACTGTGTAGTTTTGTAAGACTGATCTCATGATGTCAGCTACCAATGAATACTGCTTATATCACCGTTCAAACTTGTTTTCAACTGCGGCTCTTTGGTGCAGAGGAAAACCAGTGTAGACTCAGAAAACTGTTAGTCTGGTTCATTGGGATGCCCTGCCTCTACTCTAAACCCTCCCTGTCTTCAGACTTGGAACTTCTGGTGCTGTTTGGTAGTGCCTTCCAGTCTACAAAGCAATGTGTTGAAATATCTTAACTAATCTGTCATGTAAATAGGCCAGAAATTTTCAAGTCATTTTTCTAAGCTTCTAACTTCTCATTGTCAGAAGAGTGGAGGGTAAAGAGAAGAGTAATTCTTTTTTTTTCTTTTTTTGAGAAGAGTAATCCTTAAATCTTGCTCTCCTCTCATCATCCAGCCCTCTCAGCCCCCTCCCCATCTAATCACAAACAAGCACTCCCCACGCCTCTCTCCACCCAAATGGAAGTCTGTTTTGAAAACCCAAGACATGAAACCAAGAAGTTTAGAACGAATAGACATCTCAAAGACTACAACTGAGCTTGACTCCCCCGCTTTACTTTGAAGACTCATCCCAGAGAGGCAAGGGGTCTTTCCCACGGTCACACATCTACAAAGTAGTAGAGCAGAGGCTAGAAGTCATAACTCTGTTTCCTCAGGAGCTACTCTAGTCAGTTAACACTCTTCGTAGTGCATTATGCCCCCAAGTTCATTTGCAGGTTAGTGGAGAAAGCAAGAGCAAGGAAAACTGGGGACCAGGGTCTACATGCAGTGTGGGACAATTACCATTCTTGAGGACTTGCCGGCACTCAGGGGTGACAGGTGGAATGCTGGACTTTGACAGGGCATTTGAGAGGACCTCAATGATGCAGCGAGTCACCTGGGGGAAAACACAAAAGCAAGTTGGAAAAGTTGATGTCACTAGAACACAACTCAACCCAGAGTTGCTGTCAAGGGAGGCTTGTCTATGACCTATACTGATGCAGGACCATGCATCTCTTAGGGCAGGAATACAGATATCCAGGACTATGATGAAGCCTCTGAAGCTGCTACAAAAAATGATGCAAGAAGGCACTGGGTTGTGTTTACTCTGAGAAGGGAAATGAACACCCATTTCTGAGCAGGTCAGAAGGAAAATGCTGTGATGACAGTTATCCTCAAGGGGTGGGGGGCTAAGCTCTCCAGGAAGAATGTGGGGGTAAGAAGGGACATCCCTTACTCCTGTTCTCTCAGGGATGAAAATCCAGCCTTGTAAGACTAGGCTGTATCTGTATGTGTGTGTTTGGTTTGATAGCATAGGGAGTGGAAGTATCTAGAGTCTAGACACAAGTCTATATTCTAGACTGACATTTTAACTCACCATTTCTTCATTGTGGTTTCTGTTATCCACTGGCACAGAACTGACAGCTTTGAAGTTGCAAAAGAATGGAAACAGCTTGAGTTAATTTTTGGAGGCTATGTAAACCCAAACTCACAAAATCACCCCCCATTATTTGGAGAGGGGGGCAGAGTCAAGACCAAAAGAGTACCGAAAGGTATCTGGGCATGACTGCAACAGTCACCATAATGGCCCCAGTTCATGTGTACACATGCATACATACACACAATATACATACACGTGCACACATGCACACATATAATATACATATGTGTACACATGCATGCATGCATGTAATATACATACACGTATACACGTGCACACACGATATACATATATGTGTACACATGCATGCATACACACAATATACATACACGTGTACACATGCACACATATAATATACATATGTGTACACGTGCATGCATGCATGTAATATACATACACGTATACACGTACACACACAATATACATATATGTGTACACATGCACACATACAATACACACACGTACACATACAATATACATACACGCGTACACATGCACACATATAATATACATATGTGTACACATGCATGTATACATGCAATATACATACACGTATGCACGTGCACACACAATATACATACGTGTGTGCACATGCACAGTTGTTTTACTCTAGTAATGGCTTAAATACATTTGGAAATGAATGTTGACTTACATCCAGTATAAATAAAATATAGAGCACAAACAGAGGCTTCTTGGGTTTTGGTAACATACCATTTCTTGGTCTGGTTACTGATTACACAGTATGAGAAATGTGTTAGGCTGTATATTCATGATCTGTGCAGTTTTCTATATATTATCTAACTAGAATCAAGCTGCCTTCCTTAATCCTTTTCCTCTGCCTACCCCTAATGGGTACAGATTTGTGACTCCCTCTGCCTATCCCTGTTCCCAAGAAAATAGCCTCCCTCAAGCTCACTTTATAAAAACATGGTTATTAAATAATTAATTACCGTGACTTTTATCCAAGGCCTTTGCCTAAATAAGCTTGGTTATACATTTGTATCAGTACTGTGTTTACCTTCCCCTAGGTTGTCTCCAACATGTAAAGAACATGGAAAAGTATCAAGTTCTCCTAGGACATTGTCAAGCCTGCAATATCACATGTAAACTGGTGTTTAACAACTGGCTTATAATATATGTTAAGAACAAAAAAATTTATTTATTTACCTCAAATGTCATGAGATTCTGCTACCTTTTTTCTTTTGGTGTACTGGGGTTTGAACTCAGGGACCCATGATTGCTACGTAGGCACTCTACCACTTGAGCCATGCCTCCAGCCCTTTGCTTGCTTTATTTATTTATTTATTTGGTGGTACTGGAACTTAAACTCAGGGCTTCATCCTTGCTAGGCAGATACTCTACCACTTGAGACACTCCACCAGCCCCCTTTGCCTGCTGGTGATTTGAATTTTCCACAGCCATTTTTTTTTTCTCAATGCTGCTTTGATCCTCTTACCTTTCACTTTGACTTTGCTTTGTCTAAGCCCTTTCCATTAGAAAAGCTCAAAGCATTTGCATATAGGTGCTAGTTCTCCTGGCACTTCTTGGAGTAGACAACCGCTATTGTGATAGAAGAAACTCAGTTCAGAAATTTACTCTAGGTCCCTGAGATAAAAGAACTAGCTGGGAAGGAGCAAACCCCTTGGACATCAGGCATGGAAGATACTCAAATGCAGTTTTCTTATGACCAGGAACTTGATCTTCCTTTCCAAAATGCTTTGCTTTTCAGCCCTCTTCAAACACCTACCTTCCCCCAGCCCATCAATTACATATCATAGGGCCTATCCTAGAAATAAAACACCTATCTCATTTGCTCACTTTGCAAATTTTTTCCTTTACAAAGCAAGGCCTGGAATTCACTCCAATTGTTTTAAGAGGTCCAAGATTATCCAAGATTAGAATAATTTTTAAATTATTCTAAAATGATTGAGAAGAACATAACAAGCTGTGAAAACCCTGAGTTCTTCCTAAAATGTAGATCAGATGAGAGCTGAATAACCAACCCTTGGTGTCCAGGTCCAATATATGCTGAGCTTTTCTTTTATGCACAAAATAGATGCTATTTGAGAACATAGTCACTTCAGAACTTTCTCTTTTCATTTGAAATCAGTAAAGTGCTCTGGAAAGAAATAAATATGAGAGAATTGCCCCTAGTAAACTACGAGTTGCCCTTTTAAAATTTTAGTTCAGTAAACCTTCTCTAGTAATGCAGTTTCATGTTAATACTTCTCTTTTTTCACAAATGTAAAAGATGATTTTATTAACTACTTATATTGCCAAAGTATTGATAGTTTTCAGATTTTGAGGGAGAGAAATATTTCTCTTGTTATCCTAGACAATTTGTAGGTTACACTTGTTATTGCAGAACAGCCCTGATTCTCTGTCGGAGGATCTTCAGACTCTTTTTAATGGAAAGGAACTAGCATTTACTTGTGCAATCACCTGTGCATCTTGGTGAGACATCTAAGTGCCACCATATTTCTTTCAATAGAATTGTGAAGCAAAGTTGATTCCCCTAAAGTAGTGTAACTTATTGTTGTAGAAAGCAAGATTATGGGGCACAAAAGAAAAAAATCTGCTTCTGTTAAAAATGAGGTAATCAGGGCTGGAAACATAGCTCAAGTGGTAGCGTGCTGGCCCAGCATCTGCAAAGCTCTAGGTTCAATCCCCAGTACCACCAAAACAACAACAATGAAATGAAGTAACCAAATGCAAAAACTATCAAATAATATGATAAATCTTAAAATAATCTCTAAGGTATTAATATCTCATAAGGCTATTAAGATTTGACCCCAGATTTAAAGAAGAGCTACAAAATCTGTTAAGTTCTTCTGTTAATAAGCTATGACGACTCCTAAATTCCTCCTAAAACCAAGGTCAGGCAAGATGTGGGTAGCAGAAGCCACCCAGTATAGCAGCAGAATAATAAGGATACCATGTGTCTACTTCACTCATATTAATTTTTAAAGTGTACAGAAAGTTGCAGATCTCCCTCTAGAAGCTCTTACAGGTGGAAAATGGACTAAATTGTTTCCTGAGGTTTTCCCCCAGCTCTGTGATTTTGCTAAGTAAAAAGCTGTACTTGAAGGCTATCATGTCTTATTGCCAGGGGTTGGGGAAGGGAGAGAATGGAGAGGTATCTGCTAGTGGGTACGGGGGGTGTCTTTCTAGGGTGAAGAAATTTGATAGTGGTGATAGTTACATAACCTGTGAATATACTATAAACCACTGAGTTATATACTTTGAAAAAGGTGAAAGATTTTTAGCTGAAGAAAAAAGCCAGAGTGTAAGTTATACTTGTGTAAGTTATATATTTTAAAAGGGTGCATTTTATGATATGTGAATTATACCTCAATAAAAGTATATATAATATATATCCACTTTAGCTGCTATTGAAATATTCTATTATGTAAGAGAGCTGAAGAATTCTACCACTATAGTTAAATAAGTCCCCAAAATGTCACTATTTTGTGGTCTATAACACAATGTACCATAGCTTTGGCTCCTTTAGCAATTCCTTTCTGAAAATATCTTTAACCAGAAATAACTCTGAATTATTCATTTAGTATTCTTTAATTAAACTAAGGTCATTTATTAGCAATTTGTATGAATGACAAAAATTTAGAAAATTCTGAATGTCTGTAGTCTGCTATAAAATAGGTTACATCTGACTTTCATTTTGTTTCAACATTTTTGATCCAATAATTGCTATCAATAAAAGCCATGAATATGGATACCCAATATCTCAAGTCTAGTTAGGAATCTCAATCTCAGAGACGGTTTTCTCTAGGTCATTAAAACAGCTGCAGAAAAGCTTGAGTTTTATGTGGTTATGGTATGCTTATTTCTCAACAATTTCCATACTCATAGCAACTTTACTTTAACACACACACACTCGATCCAAATATTCAGAGATCATTTCTTTGAGATTTATAGTAGTTTTAAAGATGAATGTCACAATCTCCACACATAAAGAGAAGCTATCAAATATCTACTATTGAATTTCATCCTCCTGAATTGACTAAAACTATTTTTTTACCACTCCAGAGATACTTTTGTGATTATTTTTATACTCTGGTTATTTTCCTGGAGTACAAGAATCAAAATATCTAGTGTAGTTTCCATTCATAACTTAAAAATGGATTCATTTAAATCTGAAAATTACCTCTGTCTAGATTGGAAATACAAAGCAGAGATATATTAACCTTTACATACAGACATATGAACAAAATATATACATATAAAAACGTGAAGAAAAAACCAAATGTCTTATATACCTATGGGATTTGTTTTACCTCTTCCTGTTTCTGTAATAATAGTAACAATAACAGATGAAATTATGCAGGTACCAACTAATGTAAAACTACACGTATTCCCTCCTCTCTGTGCTCACCTGGCTATAAAAATTCAAACAAAATCAGACTACATTAGCGTGTCTCCAGATGGGGAGAGAAGTGAGCACAAAATGCGGGGTTTTCTTGGAAATGCTTTCTTCCTATCTGTAGGAAAATTCAGGCAGGAAAACACTGGACTGTCCTGGCTAGGCTTGGAAGCCCACCGGCTCTTTCTGAGTCAAACCGGGGCCGGGGTAGGTAGTCCAAGGGAAACACCGAGGAAAGAGAAGAAATGAAGAACCTCGAGTGAGGAGAGGAACCTTACACTCCACCCTTCTCACCCAGTATCCGCCAGCGAGGATGCGGGGATCCTGGGGGAAGCCCGAGGCCGGCGCTGTCCGCGGTGCTGAACCGCGCACTGCGCCCACTCACCGGCCAGCAGCGCGGCTCCCAGGAGGCCGAGAAGCGCGATGGGCTGCATGGCCCCGCTCGCGGGTGGAGGATGCGGCTGGACCGGTGCGGCGGAGTGCGGAAGGAAGGCGAGCTGGGGATGCTCGAGGACACCACTGCGTCCTGGTCCCCGCGGTGTGGCGCGGTTGGCGCAGGCCGGCCTCTTTTAAAGGGCAGGTGGGGGCCGGCAGGCCTGGAGGGGCGAGCAGCCGGGAGGAGGCGCCCCCTCGCTCAGCCCTGACGTCAGAAGCAGCCCCCAGGGCGGCGGCGCAAGCAGGCGGAAATTTACGCCATTCCCAAGGCCTGGGTGCGCACAGCCTGCAAAGGAGGTGGAGAGGAAGGCGGATAGAGGAATGGCAAGAGTGAAGGGAGGCAGGGTAGATCTGAGACAGTGAGAGAGGCGGAGGTTTCGCTTGGATTGCCCAAGCTTGCTCGCCATCTTCCCTCCCCACCCCAACCCCCAACACACACCACACCTCCATATCTAAAAACGTGCGTTTGAAGCTGTGCATATGCCTCTGGGTCTGCTGAGAGTGTGAAAATAACTAGATCTGTTTTGTGTTACTTCTACCTAGCTAAGGAAAAGATTCCTGCTAACAACAGAAGGCTAAACAGTCGGTAGAGGAAACTGAAATAAGGCAGTGATGGCTTCAAAAATAAAAAGTGCTGTTGGAAAATATGGAACCTGCTCTTCTTCAGACTTTTGGTTTATGTGTCTATCTACCGATTTATCATTCTCTGTACTATTCGTGATCACCTCCCAATACGTAACATTGACATGGTTTAAAAAAAAAAAATCAGGCAGTATAAAAGGATGTAAAATAGTCTCCCTCTTCTGTCACCAATTTCCAAGATCCTCAATTCCCCTCTGAAGAATCAGTATGACTTAACCACTTTCTGTAGTTTAGGCTTAATTTAGTTTGGAACATACACAGCTGAATCTTCTTTTGAATGGCTGCTGTGTGTGACACTGAATAGATATACTGTACTTTTACTAGTCCTTTCTAATGGACATTTATTTAGGTTGTTACTCTGGCCTTTACTCCTTTATAATAGAGGCATAGCTCAGAGGTGGGTTATGGAACAACGTGCTTTTGGAGCTAGTATATCCTACAAGCACTGTGTATTCTCTCTTGCTTTGAAATTGAGATAGGACTATACTTTGTTATTATGTGTGAAAGGAAGATGAAAGCCTCTTCCAGAATATTTTTGTCATGGATTTCCACAGCCTAATGAGGAATCAGGAAAAAGCATCAGGCGGGTGCTCTGCAGGGAAGAGAAATGATCCTCTCTGATAACACAGGATTGGGAGAACAGAGTGAGATTTCATTTGAGATCTCTTCATTCAGCTAATGAAGCTATCTACGTGCACAAAATGAGGTTTCAGAGCCCTTTTCCTGAAAATCAATGAGGCTCAAATTCTTTTTTCATGTGCTGAGTAGTTGGATACATCTTCTTGAAAGGGCTGGGAATTATTTCACCCAAACCACAACTACAGAATATTTAAAAAGTGTTAAAAAGGATATTTGTGGGCCAATTGGTAAAATTTGAATAAGATGTATAGATTACATCATCATATTATATTAATGTTAACTTGCTGGCTTTGAGAATTAGTACTGCCATTATGTAAAAGAAAGTCCTTGTTTTAGGAAATGCACATCGAGGTCTCTAGAGGTAAAAGGATTTATATTTAGTGTCAAATTTTTAGGAAAACCATAGACTGAGAAAAAGAAAGGGAAGGGAAGTAGAGCAAAGTGTTAACATTTGGGCAATGAGGTGAACAGTATACGAGAATATTTATACTATTTTTACATTTTTCTAAAATCTGAAATTTCTCCAAAGCAAACAAAAAAGAATGTTTTGGGCACAAAAGAATTTGTTAAAAAACCTCTGTAAAGGAGTGGGGACAGAAAAAGGAAATGTCAAGTGAGGGCCCTTCTTTGGTGTGGATCTATGAGAAATTCTTTCTCTACCATTGAAATAACTAAGGGTTCAAACTGCTCTTTAAAACACACCTATTGCCAATCATTCTTTAAAATGCTTCTTGAAGCATCTGCACTCCAGTTTTCCAGTATTTTCCTTCTCTTTTCGCTCCACTGAAAAGCACAGGGTTTAACAACGTTATTATCTTATGGCTTATCAAGTTAGCGTGGGACTGTTTATTACTCATCAAGACAAGTCTTGATGGAGGAAAGATGTCATTATTGCCAACTGGATTGGAGAAAAAAGGCAGTCCTGTGTTACAGCCAGTTTCCACATTCAGACAGCTTTCCTTTTTTAAAAAAAATTATTTTATAAACTTTTAATGATTTTGCCTTTCACATTTAAATCACTTTGTACCAGGAGGAGCGTTTCTCAGGAATTCTCTCAATGCAAGATGAAGGAGAAGAACCAATGGTTTCTTAGGAACCATGGCTTAGAATAAAGATGGTTTGAGACAGGGGTATATTTACATTGTCTTTTTTTTTTTTAACCATATCATTACCCAGCTGTCCTGGGAGTCTTTATTGAAATGACCATTCTTTCTTACCTCTCCTGCAATGTCACTCTGAAAAAAAATACAGAGTCATATGTGCATGAATGTGTTTCTGAAAGCTTCTAGAACATTGACACATCACATCTCATTCTTCTCCTTATTGGAGTAGCACCACACTTTCTCTAAATCATATCATTTTTTAAAAGTCTTGTGTGGTGGAGGTCTTCCCATGTTGTTTTTGTTTTCAGGAGGTTATTGGGGCCACTGTTGGCCCTTTTCATTTACAAATAAATATTGGAATTAATCATCAATTTCCAGTTGTAAAAACCCTGTTAAGATTTTGACAGGAAGCACATCAAGTGTATGGATTATTATAGGAACAGCTAACATCTTTACAATATTGAGCAGACTTAGCTTTTATTTTTTTATTTATTCTGGTACTGGGTTTTGAACTTAGGCACTCTACCACTTGAGTCATTCACACCTCAGCCCCATACTTAGCTTTTGATTGTCGATAATATTCTGATATTATAATCTTATCTCAAATAGTACCAACACACACACACAGGGAAAGAGAGAGAGAGAGAGAGAGAGAGAGAGAGAGAGAGAGAGAGAGGAAAGAAAGCTATAGGGAAAAGTGTCTTTCAGGAATCCCTTCAAAGAATTGAGGAGGAAAACAAACACATCTATAGGAACCAGGATTTAGAATAAACATCATTTTGTACATAGCTTCTCAAATAGGTTTATCCATCAGGGTCCCACCTGGAAAATAAAACCCATAAAGGGAATTTGATACTGGAAATAACATACATGAATTAGAAACATTGGAAGACCAATTAAGAAAAGGCAAGGATAAACCAGAGATTAGCAGCTGGAGGCTGCCACTACACCCCTGCCAATGAAAAGATTAAGGAAGCATGTGTGATCCTTCCAAACAACAAACACAGGCCACTTCATAGAAGGGGAAACCTCTGTGGGCTAGGAAGGCAGGATTTGCAGACAAGGAGCTGGAAACAGAAGAGCAGCAGCCACTGCTCTCTCTTCCTCTTAAGAAGAGAAAGGGGAAGAGACACCTTGGCTTTTCCTTCTTAGTGCTAGTGCCTCTTAGCAACTGAACCTATCTGGGAACAGCAGACAGGGAAGTCAGGAAAATAGTTTTCAAAGGCCAGTCCCCACCAGTGACACAGAATAGAGCAGGGAAGGAAACTGGAGAGCCCACAGACAAATGAATTGTATATAGAGTAAAGCACCCAGGAGTACAGTATTGAATTTGGACTTTCTCTCACCATGACTAATTCATTGTATTTGCTGATATGAATGCTGACTATGTGTCAAGCACTGTGATGGGTGCATATTTCTCTGCAATCATAACAAAGTGCAAACCCCCTAGAGTTGTGGGTGGAGGAGAGAGGTGTCTCAATTCCAGGATGCCTTGGATAGAAGGAGACTAAGCCATAAGGTCCATGAGGCTTGGACCTAGAAATGAAGGTTGTTCTTACTTACAACCTTCTCTGGCAATGCAGAGACGATGCAGAAATGCAGAGTACTGAAACCCACTGGGAGAACTCTTCATTCATTTTACCCATTGCTTTAACAATCCTTGACTTCAGCATTTTTCTCTAGAAAGACTAGACTAAGTGGCAGAATGAGAGAATGCTCTAGTCTCCTTCAACTTCAATCTCCAGAAGAAACCAGAGAAAGAGTTCACCCACATAACACCCTTGTGGAAGTCTTGTTAAGACTGTTGGACTGGTACAGAGTTAAAGAGAAACTTGAGATAGTTTTCAAGGATCAAAAGAGAGATTTGACAGAACATACTTGAAGGTGGCTATGAAAGAAGAAGTGAAACTGTTTCTTGAGTATACCTTCCAAGTCCAGCATGTGCAAAATGCTGTATTTGTAATGCAGGATTGAAAAATGTTTGCACAATGTATATACATATTGGTGCTGCACTGTAGAAGGGAGTAGTCTGCTTGGACCAGAATTCATGAAGATTCCCCAAAAGATAAAAGCAGATGGGTTCATACTAACCCAAGAGAAAAATCATAGTCCCTCAGAAAGGACAAATGCAAAAGATTGTGGCAGCTTTGGGGTCCCTCTAAGCCCAGAAGCAGAAGGAGAGTTGGGGGAACTGTTAAAGAGTCTGGGTGGGGCTTCAGGTGGAAGCAGAAGTGCATGGTCCCTCCCTCCTCCAGCATTTGTGCTGAGCAGTATGGGGCTGATGTCAGACCCTCATCTTGTTCTGCTAGGGTTCATTCCACCCCATAGTAGCAACTTCTCTCTATCCCTGGCATTATGATACCCACAGCCTCTTTCCCCTCTTCTGAAAAAGCAGGGATTTTTGATGTTTAGTTTCATTCCAAAATACCCATTTAATTGTATTTTTTCATTTATTGTTTATTTTTGGCAGTACTGAGGGTTAAACTCAGGGCCCTGCTCTTTGTTGAGCTCTTTACCACTTAAGCCACCTCCCCAGACCTTTTTTGCTTTAGTTATTTTTCAGATACGGTCTAGCATTTTTAACCAGGGCTGATCTCTAACCACAATCCTCCTATCTTTGCCTCCACGTAGCTGTGATTACAGAGACATACTGCCACACCTGACTTATTTGATATGAGATCT